ATAGATTTGACTGAGGAAAAAACATCATGGGGAGAGACATCAAGAGGTTTAGACTTCTTACTTCCGCGCCTTAATGGTTTATAAGCAACCTTACAACAGGCCCGAGTTGGGCAAATTTTGGTATAATTGAATCACTATGCTTGGTAAATGCAAGTGATTCGGCGGATGATCACCCACAAAAGAACTATTTCACACCTAGCGTCCACCAATCTACCGAATCGTCATAGTGCTTCTATGCGCCCATTTGTTCTTCATAAAAACTTCCCATCAATCTCCCCAAAATGGGCCACCTGGTCAAGATTCCTACAAAAGATGCTAGCCTCCGTGCCAAATTTTGTGTACTTGAATCCAATATTATTTCCCTGAACACCCCCCAAGCCTTAATTAAAGCTGGTGCCCCAACATCGTTAGCTAATGTCGGAAAAAATCACCAGGTAAGCTACGGTTTATGTCTGTAAATATAGATTTCTGTTGGTTTACCAGCAATGACATCTGTGACGCATTTTCTCAGCAGCACAGCACGCTGATACCCTCCGAGTCGGTGCAGAGTTGGGATTGCCATTGGCATCTCTAGATATCTTTCTTTTGATCTATTTTGGTCATCTATTTTGGTTATCTATTCTGGTCATGTATTTTGGTCATCTATGCTTGATATATACTTCTTTAATCTTCTTTACAACTTTTAACGTTTGCGACGTCTATCGACGTCTATCAACAAATGCAGGGTCTATTCAATTCACATTTCCTACCAAGCAGCTCTCCAAAAAGATGGAAGTGGCCGGAAGCTCGGAAGCCTCGGAGAGCTGAGGTAACGCGTGCGGCAATTCAAAATTCAATCGAGTGGTTCGTGGGCAATTCCATGTACCTGATCTGAACCTTTGTCTGGCTGATTACTATAGTGCCCGTTTTACTTTTAAGTAACAGTATAACCCATGGTTATAAGTGAACTTATAAGTCATAACTTTCATAACTTTTTATAACTTTTCAAAACGGCATAAAAACTTGAAATTTGAACTTTGCTTTTTTTGTTGTTTTCATAACTTTTTCTGATCACTTTTAAAAATGTATTACAAAAGTATCGTTTTTGCAGCTTTTTTGGATCATGAAACGGCCAAGTTCTACACGAGACAGACCAAGATCACCTTCAGGGGAACCACCAAGGTCGTCTACATGGGACCCGCCAAGTTGGTCTACATGGGGCACACCAAGTTCGTCTACATGGGAGCCACCAAGTTCGTCTACATGGGACGCACCAAGGTGGTCTACATGGGACACACCAAGTTGGTCTACATGGGACACACCAAGTTGGACTCCTGCAGAAGGACAAGAAAATTCCAACCTTCCAGCTGCATTTCAAAACCTTGTAGCAGAAGATCCCCGCCCAGCAGCCAACCCTCCAGGAGATGCCAACTTTGCAGCAAAATCAAATCGGCAAGAGTATCTTGAGAGGAATGGGAAAACGAAAAAGAGAGGTGGCAAGAACAAAGATTGGTATAGTGCCAAGTATGGCAAAGGCCACGACACGCAGTGAGTGAGATCCCAAGTCGCGCTGAAAAAATGTTGCTGCTGCGAAGCCTTGGTATGAAAGCAACTCAAAGGAAATAATGTAGCCAACAAGTTTGCAGTATCACCTTCAAAAATGAGCTTACCTCAAGTTATACTTTATTGGTGATCTTTTTGGGTGTGTCATTTTGCTATGCACCAGTTTGGTTCCGCTGTAGGTAAACTGATAGGGGTAGCGGCTGTTGCCGCTGTAGGTAAACTGATAGGTTGAGCGGTGTTGCCGCTGTAGGTAGGCTGAGGGGTGTACCGCTGTAGGTGAGCTGCTGTGTCAAACTTTGGGATGCCATTTATATGTTCCACATGGCCCCTTGGGTCGATCTAGAATAGAACGATTCAAAACGGTAATTTGACAAGCAGAAGAACACTTATGCATGTTGGGCTTCTTTTCTTTTCCAAACGAGGTTTCTGTCCAAGCGTTTCGCATTACGGTATTCAAACCGTCCTTTGTTTATCTTTGGACAAGTTGTCTTCTACCATGGCAATAGGTGTTCAAACCCATATTGCCATTGTACCGTTCTCAGTCAATTGTGCTTCTCGTGCAGCATGTCTTTGACTCCGCGGGAAGCATGGGAAGCGAAGATCAGAGAGATGGGCATCCTGATGTCGCTGCACTCCAGCATTGGCTTTATCCATCACCAACTTGTGGAGGCAATCTATCAGCTTCAAGATCTCCAGACAGTGACTGGTGAAGGAAATGCTCAGATCGTTGTAGTGGGGCAGGCCAAAGAGACAGTTGACCAGGTGAGGCTTTGGCTGAACGAACGGATAACCACAGTCATGGATGAAATGTATCAGATCCAATCGAGACTGCCGGCTGCACCTGCTGATGCTCATGCCTGATCGATGGTAAAAAGCGACCTCATGCAGCTGAACTTTGGTCAAGTTTGCGTTTAATGAATGGTCACTCTCTCCCTCTCTCTCGCCTTCTCTCTGCATAGAATCGATGTGTATTTTCAAGCTATATTGTTGTTTCACGTCATACTCTCTGCAATATTTTCATGAGATTAAAAAAAGCAAAAAGGGCCTGCTCAAGGTCTGATCAAGATCGGGTTGAGCGGTGTTGCCGCTGTAGGTAGGCTGAGCGGTGTGTACCGCTGTAGGTAAGTTGAGCGGTGTTGCCGCTATAGGTCTGTACGTAGACTAAAACCAGGGTTGCATCGTGGCCGGGAAATGCCAATAAGATCAGTGCCTCACACATTGCCGTAAGCCAATGGCGGTAAGTCGTATTTAGATTTTTTGGGTGTAGCGGTGTGACCGCTGAGCGGTTATAACCGCTGAAAGCATGAGTTGTATTTTTTGGCAGCGGTGTGTCTGCTTCATGTCATGACGGTCGCACCACGTTTTTGGGACGTTTGTTTTTTTGAAATAAACTCTCGTGGAATTATAGTGATGGCATTTCCATGCTGCCTCATCAAAGGAGTGGAACTTGGCCTGTGAGGCGTTTCACAGGAAATAACAAAATGCACATAAACACGGGCAAGCCCTAAAGGTGCATGTATCATGATGCCACCACAGTGCAAATCAATTGCATATATGTTGCTGGGTTTCTTTTTGGACACAGGTCTTTTCGAATCCTGGGTCATAAGACCTAATCCATCATGTCGTCTGGTGAACAATATCAAACTGTTGCATCACTTCGAATGATGTCAGTTCATCCAGTATATAGCCAGTTTTTGTCATGCCATGCCATGCGAAAGCGCAAAGTCGATGAATATTTTGAATGCTATGGCATCCCTGGCGTCAGTGATTCGGCTATTCGCAAAGTTGTTTCAAGACTGAAAAAGCAAAAGGAAGATTCCCATGCGCATAGTTTCAAAGAAAGGTTCCAACACCTAGATGGAGCACTACTTCGTGAAGAAAAAACTGGCATTTACACTTTGAACCTGCAGTTCTACATCGATACTTTGTGTCAGAAGTCAACAAATTTTACCGACTTGTTGAGGCGAACAGTGTTGAAAGACCATGCCAATCAAGAAGCCATCCCAGGATGCCTTTACGCAGATGAGGCAGTCGTTGGTAACGTACTTGCACCAGACAACAGAAGACGCTCATGGTGCTTTTATTTTTGTTGCATGTCGATTTTACCGATGAGGAAAGATACACTTTGGCTTCCAATCTCTGTTATCAGAAGTGATATTATTGAGCAGTTGCCTGGAGGACTTCCACAAGCACTGAGCATTGTGATGCGGCAGCGCCAACAGTTTTTGTCTGACGGAATCATCGTAGACGGGCAGATTGTTATCACCCATCCACTTCACCTTCTTGCAGATGAAGATGGTTTGAAAAAATGGGTTCACACAAAGGTGCTTCTGGACTGCGCCCTTGCATTCGATGTGCCAACTGTATATCCAAAGGAAATGAAGTGGATGGATTCTACAGCATAGGGCATGAACCCTTCGATGATTTTGAACAGGCATTAGATGATTTTATGAAGGCCACTATGGAATATTTGCAAAATCTATCTTTGACTTCGACAGCATCTCACTTGCAGGAAGCCGAAAAACTGTCAGGTTGGAAATGGGAGCCTGAAGAGTTTGCCATGGATGCTGCCCTGTGGCAAGTACTGAGACCCAGCAGGTTCATCTACGACGCCATGCACTGTCTCTGGAACAATGGAATTACATGTTTGGAACTTGGAGTGTTTTGGCAAGCTGCCAGTGCAAATGGGGTACAACGCGCAGACTTGCAAACTTTTTTGGATGCTTCATGGGAACCAAGTATGCAAATAGGAAGCGCTGGTAACTTGAAGTCCCTTGCTCACCCGAAGCTTCTCAAAACCGATGGGTCCGATTTTCGGGGCGATGCAGATCAAACTTTGCAGCTCATGGTGTTGATGACTTTTTTTGCTCAACAACTGTTATCAGATGTGGATGCTTTAAAAGACAACATCGCCTCATTGGTCGCATTGAACAATGTATGTGTGAAAATTTTGAATGCAAAGATCCATCCACATGATGCTGCAGGATTAGTACAACTTCAAGAACAACATCTTCGATTGTTCAAAATCTGTTACTCTGAGCATTGGGTCCGACCGAAGCACCACTACTCCATGCATATCGAAGGGCAGGTCGAATTGGCTGACATGGTTTTGGATACATGCTCCGCGAATCAAACGCTTGCAAGAATTTGAAAAGTCTGTCTTGATGCGATGGGTCGAACACGATCTAGATGTTTTGATTCGCGAAGATTTTCAACAGAAGCTACTGCAGCCGCTCAAAAAGCAAGACACTCCTGGACTGCAATTTGGGAAAGCCATTCAGACTGAACGTGGAAATACATTTCGGATTGGCAACGTTCTTCTCTTCAAGGAAACAGATGCGTGGCAGGCTTATGAAGTGGCATCCTGCTTTTCCTATGCTTCAGGCCTTGGAGTCGTTGGGCAGCAAATGGACCTAATCAAAGACAGCCCACACATGTCATGGAGCGAATGGAAGCTCAAAGACCGATACATACCTTTCACCCTCGAAGAAGCACAGGCAAGTTTCAGAACAACTTTTTGCTCCAAACATGAGGATGGCCGCATCGTGTTGCTGCGATAAAAAAAGAGGTCTGCAGCACTGCAGCGGTGCAAACCGCTTTTTTAAGCGGTTGAAAAACCGCTGTAGAAGACCAGAGGAAAAGCGGTCCATCACCGCTGGGTATTGCTCCACTGTTAAAACACTACATTTTAGACAGGTTCAAAAATCAAAAACACATTTTCAAAATAAATTGGTAAAGAATAGCTATCTTCGGAATTGTTTTTATCTGTTAGACACTCCCAAATAAAAATGTCAAAACCATTTTTTTTAACTCTTGTCATAACTTTTTATAACTTCTAACATAACTATGAATTATAACTACTTATAAACCAAACGGACACTATAGTAGTTCAGATAGGTCTATTGTCATTATTATTTGCCTTACTTTTTGTTTGGATATGTTTGGATGGTGGTTTTAAACTGCTTGCAAATGGACTGTGTTTTTTCATTTGGTTTTCCAATTTATGAGTATGGGTCTGGAGTGGGTGATGAATGTGTGGTCAATCATCACCTGGTTGCGCATATTTACATATGTAATTTAATGTATGTGCGTGTGTGTGTATGTTCATACACATATAAGTTATATACGTGGTTTTCCGCAGAATAATTCAGTAATTATAAGTTTTGTTTTTGTTTTTAACTCTATACTTTCCATCACTGTAAAACCCCATATATACATGTGTATATAGGTGTTCCCCAGCTTAATCACCTAGTCATCTATGGAAATGTCCGGATTAGTTATGAAACAAATGCATTAAACAATCCCAAAACCCCTAGATATTTCCAGACTCATCAACCAATCATCACAAGAATTTCCCAGAGTGGCCAACTACTTCCAGACATTCCCATATATTCTCAGATATTTCCAGATATTCAACATATGCATTTTCCCATGGTTTTTATCCCAATACACCGTTACTTAGCTATCTCCAGAGTCTACGAAATCTCCAAAGATTCCCACATTCATCCGCATGATTGCTCCAATCCATTGTATATAAATTGCCACTTTATCAAGGGAAACTGGTCATTTAACCACTTTATCAACCAAGTTCCCCCCCCGTTGATCCGCCATTTCTCGTGGTTTTTTCCAACGGTCAGGTGCTACTTCGACGTGGACCGCTTTCCGGGCGTCATGAACCACGTGGCCCTGACCATTGACGACGTGCCCTGCCGTTTGGGGCCTCGCAACTCCATGTCTTTTGGCGCGTCGTGGGATGCGGATGGATGCGGTGACCCGGTGATGGTGACATGGTGAATGTCATAGATTAGATACTCATATTAATTACTACAATGTGAGGCCCCCAAGATAGCTAAGTTGGTGCAAATAACTTCAACAACTCTGGTTTATGGATGTTTATGGCACCCAAATAACTATAGTTACTGGGGCGAATCTAAACCAACTTATAACTGGGGGGCCTCACATTGTATAATTAATACATGTTTAAGGTTGATAGACTTGCATGTCCTATGATCTTATTCGTCTATGAATTAGGTATGTGAAGGTATAAATTAATAAAGATGGGATCAGAGCGCTCCCTGTTTGTTTCACCTGCATATCCTATGTGTATATATACATATTATATATACACATAATTTTGACAGAAACAAAGCTAACCACCTAACACCAACTGCAAGTATGATTCTCTTGGTACTCTGCTGAGTTTGGTTCGACAATGAAGCCGTCCCCAGGCGCTTAAGTCTTGCTGAGGATCAAGCAAGTGCAGAAACTCCTCAAGTCCTACCAGGACGAATTGGGGATGAAGTGCTAACAGCCGATGTCATTTTCAAAAACAGACTAAGTGCGGCACTTTTTTTGATCTCATGGGGAAAAAAATCAACAGATTTTGTCACATCAATCATAGATACCCTCTGGTAAACTAACATAGCTATGGAAAGACTGGGTCATGGCTTCCATGTCCCTTTTTGTTTCAGCTTACCAGGCCGGGTATAGCAGATGGTTGGTGATATCCCATTTTGGATCATAAAAACTTGGTTATTACTATTGGTTTAATTGTTTTAATCACTAAAAAAAAGTTTCATTATTGGTTTAATGACTAAAAACAAGTTTCACTATTATTGGTTTAATCAGCATTAATTAATAACAATTACCATCTACCAGGCCGGGTCGTTTCGGTTCATCTAAAACATTTGGGCCAATCAGCAGTCCGACAGGCACAGGCCACCTTTATGCTGATGGGCAAATTCATCCCGGGCAACGAAGCCGATCTAGCTCCTTGGCGGCCAAGTTGGTGTTGTAAAAACTAGGATGTGTGTGATTTATACAGATATAAGTGCGTACAATTATATATATACATATATACATATATATGTTAACTTTCATAATTCCCTGTGCTTAAGGACCCCCCCTGTCCTTAAGGGTCGGGTGTGTGCGCAAAGAGGTGTTTGGAAGTCAAAACTAGATTAGACTGGGATTGGATACATCCACCATGCGAGGGTGTAGCTGCATAGCTCAAGATGACCCAGCAACTTTGGTGTGACCAGCTGAAAACGCAAACAACAACAACAAAATAGTATGATTTGCATGCAGAAAACTGCAAATCAATCACTGTGAGCATTATGATCACTGACAACTCTGAAACTGAATTTCATGGTGGCATACTAGACACCAACCGCCAGTGCCACCAAACAAAACGGAAACTTCTTGACGCACCATTTTTTCTTATTGTTTTTTGATATTGTTATAGTTTTTCTTTTTTTAAATATTTTTGATTTTTTCTAGTGTTTTTCTATTGTTTTTAAATTTTCATTGTTATCCTCAAAAATATATTGTAATTTGATTTTCATTTTTCTCGTGTTGTTTACAATTTTCAATAGTTTGATCCATTTCCAGTGTTTTTTCAAAACAAGAATGCTTATTATTTTTATTTAAAAAAACTTTGTAATATTATGTTTATTGTTTGTTTCTAGTGTTTTTCTATTTTTATCTTTCAATTTTTTTGACTGTATTGCCTTCTTTTTCATTTTTTTAAGGGTCAGTCCTTAAATTTAGAGGGTCCAGCCCTTAAATTCAAATGGTAAATCCTTATATTCATAGGGTCAGTCCTTAAATTCATAGGGACAGTCCTTAAATTCAAACAGTCCAGCCCTTAAATTCAAAGGGTCAATCCTTAAATACAAAGGGTAAATCCTTAAATTCAGAAGGTTAGTCCTTGAATAACAAAATTTCCATTGAAAGGGGTCCTTGGGGTAAATGGGGTCCCGAGCTGCGCGCCGCGTGCGCGCGCGCCAAAAAGGCTTCATTTAGGAGACCATTGTGGCGCGCGGCGCGTGCGCACCCAGGACCCCTTTCACTCCGAGGACCCCTTTCAAAGGAAATCTTGTTAAATTCAGAAGGTCAATCCTTATTCAGTGGGTCCAGCCCTTAAATTCAAAGGGCCAGTCCTTAAATACAAAGGGTAAATCCTTAAATTCAAAGGGCCAGTCCTTAAATTCAGAGGGTCAATCCTTAAATTCAGATTGTCCAGCCCTTAAATTCAAAGGGTCAGTCCTTAAATACAAAGGGCAAAGCCTTAAATTCAGAGGATCAGCCCTTAATTTCGGATGGTTAATCCTTAAATTCAAGTGGTCAGTTCTTAAATTCAGAGGGTCCAGTCCTTAAATTCAGACCGCCAATCCTTAAGTACAAATGCCCAATCCTTAAATTCCGATGGCCAGAATTTAAATTCAGATGGTCAACCCTTAAATTTTGATGGTCAATGCGTAGAATCCAATTATCCTGAAATTGAAAGGGCCCAATCCTTAAATTCAAAGGGCCTTTAGACTCTTATGATCCAATCCTTAAATTCAAAGGGTCGGACCTTAAATTCAGAGGGTCAGACCTTAAATTCAGAGGGTCAGACCTTAAATTCAGAGGGTCAGACCTTAGGTTCAGAGGGTCAGACCTTAGGTTCAGAGGGTCAGCCTTAAATTCAAAGGGTCCCTCTGTACTTAAGGAATTTTGGCATCACTTTTGGGTAAAAAAACGACCAAAAACAAATGATTTGTATGCAAAAGTGATGCCAAAATTGCCAAGTTGGCCTAATTTGGCATACATTTTTCACCAAAAACTTTGATTTTTGTTTGTTTTTTATCAAAAAGTGATGCCAAAATTCCTTAAGTACAGGGGGACCCTCTGAATTTAAGGCTGACCCTCTGAATTTAAGGTCTGACCCTCTGAATTTAAGGTCTGACCCTCTGAATTCAAGGTCTGACCCTCTGAATTTAAGGTCTGACCCTCTGAATTTAAGGTCTGACCCTCTGAATTTAAGGTCTGACCCTCTGAATTTAAGGTCTGGCCCTCTGAATTTAAGGTCTGGCCCTCTGAATTTAAGGTCTGACCCTCTGAATTTAAGGTCTGACTGGCCCTCGGAATGTTAATTTAAGGATCGACCCTGTGAGTTTAAGATTTTGTAGCAGGACTTGTAACAAAGTGCTTGTCACGTTTGAAGGGCAAACTAATGATTTAACAACCACCCTACACAATAGTTTTGGTTGCAGTCATCAGCAAAAAACAGTTACCCAATCACGGCAGCACATTGACAGAATCTGACCATTGTTTCTGGTAGGTTCTCATGTCTGTGCTTTCAGGTTCACGCGCAGGCCAATCTAATCATCTCCTAGCAAGACTTTTGTCAACTCCGACTCTGTCAGAGCCAACCACGACCCATTAAAATCCCGTGGGTGGAAATGTTGGTTTGTGTTTCAAATCAACCCGCCAATTTTCCCTTAAATGTGGCGATTGCTAGACCGATTTGCCAATTATGTTGGGCTGAACAGCATATTCATGGTAATAGATTTTATTTGTTACCCAATAATGGTAGCAATGCCATATTCGATAATTTTCAGGGAAATGTCAACATCCAATACTCACCACCAGCGCATGATTGAACGGTACTTTCTGCCATCAATTCGATCCATTTCCGACCTGAGTTGGAAGAATCGAGTTGGAGGGAACCCAGGATGAGGACGATGATGATGATGATGATGATGATGATGACGATGACGATGACGATGATAATGATGATGTTGATGATGATTATGATGTTGATTGCGATGATGATGATGATGATGATGATGATGATGATGATGATGATGATGAAGATGATGAAGGTGATGATGATGATGATGATGACGACGATGGTAATGATGATGTTGGTGATGATTATGATGTTGATTGCGATGATGATGATGATGATGATGATGATGATGATGATGATGATGATGGTGATGATGATGATGATGATGATGATGATGATGCTGCCGCTGCCGCCGCCGCCGCCGCCGATGATGATGATGATGATGATGATGATGATGATGATGAGAATGATGAAGTTTATGATGATTATGATGTTGATTATGATGTTGATTATGATGTTGATTATGATGTTGATTATGATCATCATCCACAATCCTACTGCTGCCTGGGGAGGGAAAAAACGCACTGACAGGCTGACAGGTCTTGCAGTTGTTTGAGATCATACTGGGCATTGAACAAAAGCAATGGTCTGTTTGGATTCTGTTTAACGCGTTACAGTCTGTTACAGAAATTCAAATCAATTAGATTCTTTCGTGCCGCCACTTGTTTGGCATGTTTGGATCAATTTTTCTTTGGAAAACAATCCATTCACTGAGCTCGCCTGTTGTATATCTTCAAATGATGGTCCTTATTTTGTTGATGCACAAATTTTCTATATAGCAAGGAATGCGATTTAAACAGAAACACAATATCGCACATTGAAAACATGCTTAGGGACATGGCCTCAACCTTAAATTCGAGGGGTGCCCCCGAATTACGAAAGTTAGCACATATATATATACATACATACATATGTATAATTATTAATGATATAGTGTGATGCATATTATAGAATATTATATGTGATATATTATCAACATGAGACTGGCTTATGGTGCAACTTAAAACCATTTCTGAGGTCTTTTGTTTGTCCACCAAACATTACACAACCTTGGAGAACATTTCTTAGGCAAAACTGTGTAAGTCCCAGTTATCCTGGCATCATGAACTGTTGGAAGAAACTACCGAGGTTTCTTTGCTGAAAGATGGCCATGAATTTGGAAACCATGGCTTGGTGGACAAGAGTCGCTTGGCGTCCAAGTCGAGTCCTTTCTGGGTCAGCTTTTTTTAATGGTAGTTTATTGTTGGCCATAATTGTGACTCTATACTGCAGGAGGGGTCCCCCCAGCTATAATATTGTTTATTGACCTAATTAAACTATAGGTTTATCCATTAAAATGAAACTAGTGAAATAGACATAGACATCATAGACCAACAGAAATGGATCGTTTGGGCCTTCCTGTACGCGGAATCGGCGAAGATTTCATGGAGCTTGCCCCTAAGCAAGGAGGTTTCTCCATCTCGGGATGCCGATGATATTCACTATGTATCATCAAAAAAGTCTTAGGGTGAAAAGAATGGTACAAATTATATGAATTTATTGAGTTCTTTGGCCATGCGTTTGTGTTTTACTTTTTTTCTCCTCCTGCTTAGATTAGTTCACATAGTATTGCAGAATGTTTGCGGGCCGAGTTTTGGGCATGGGTCAGTCTCGGATAGCCTCAAGGATAACAAAAGGTTGTGGCACTTGCAGCGTGGCAAACCAAATGATTGGCATATGAACTGGGTAAACCTTGGATGTGTAGTTTAATACTTTGAAATGTTGCTATCAATTTGGAGGTATACACTATAAATTTGATGATTTATGCATAGGCACTTAATATACTAACCACCCACTTTGCATGATTTTTTCGGGGTATCTTCCAGAATGCATTGCGTGGTGCCATTCCCATCTTTCGGGTGTTGAAGGCACACCCTAGATGTGTTTTTTTTTGATCAGGAGGGTGTTTGGGATTCTCAAAAACTCATTGAAGAACGATTAGTGATTATTAGTGGGAAAAAAACACATGGAACCACATTATATGTTTTGAGAAAGTTCAGGATAGGTAAACTCTATTGAAAGAACTAGGTGCCACTTTGAGAATCGAGCCATGGCAACATGTGTCGAGCCAGATTGAGATATGTTCATCAATTCATGCCACATATACCAAAAACATCCAAAAACACATGCTTGTAGATCGTGGCACATATTTCTAGACATCCAACATGAACTCCACTTCAGCTCGTCAAATCTCTATGTTGATTCTGTCGATCTCAAATATGTTCGTAATCATCATGACAAGTATTGTATTTTGTTAGTAAAACAAAACAATGGCATGTGTATGCATGTGTTGTTTTGTAATTGCTCCATTCATTTTGAGTTGCCTGTTGAGTACACACAAAATTGACGGTCGAAAGACAACTCATCAGCTCGGTTAGGTTACTCCAATGACTCTCGTGAGGATTTTGAGGTGCTGGTCATGGCTTAAAAAAGGGTGGCTTTAGAGATATAGGAACTGATGCACCCTGCAGGAGTCCCTGAGCGATATGATTCTGTTGGTTGAACTGTAACTGGTTACAATGGAATACAATGGATAATATCTATCATTCGCTGGGGTTTTAAATCAGCTTGTAACTTGGGTGCTTATGATACCAAAAATAGCTGGGACGCATTTTTGGTAACCTCAGAAAAAAAGAGCAGGGTTCAAGTTACCATGTTCTCTCTCCCTTTTGAAAAAGGGTTGCTACAGCTTAAAAATCATACGTATTGCAATCATTGGGATATATAGCTGCTATGCTTACTACCACCAGTTGCTAGTTACTAGTTCTTAGTCACTTGTTATTAGTTACTAGTTACCAGTGATCAGCATCAAACAGAACAGAAATTCGGTGGATTGCCAGGTCCCAAATGTTGATCCACACACATCTGGATATGATATATCACAATCCACTTGTCAACAAAGCTCATTGTCTACAAGGTGATGCCCCGTATAGTGATATAGCGAAGTTGGTTCAAAAGTAGATCAACTACGGTTCATGGTGATCTGATCATAACTATATAGGTACATGGGTTCATACACAAAGCTGTAACTGGGAGGGTACCTCCTTGAATTTCAAGGAAAATCAAAGGGTACAACGCAATCTAAGTGATGAGATAATGGTTTGCCAGTCACCGGCCAGTACCTAGCTCTTCCAACAGGATCCTTGACCACCTATGCCAGATTGAATACATATTGAGGTTTCCGAAGTCATGGGGCCCGAAATCATCCAAGTCATGGATGATTAGCTTGGTATTGAAACCCATGGTGACTTGGGGATCCCCCATTTTAAGAACCCCCCATACGTCTTACCCACACATGTTTTCACATTATTTTTAAAAGGATGGTCGCAGTTGATTTGGTAAACTGTTAAACTGTTCAGGCCAGTATACACTATAGCCCTGAGTGCACCGGGACTGACCTAGTGTTTTCCTGATTAGGTGTTATAAGGTATACAACCTATTTCACCAAGAATGGCTTACTGGATGGATTGCAGCCATACCAACAGATTTTCTTTGTGGGCGTTATCTCTACATTATGTATCCTCCAGTAGCAGGTTTCAATCCAACACAGGAACAGAACAGAAACCTAGATTGTCTGTTTTTGGGGTTTGGATGCTTTACAACACGTCCCACAAGATATAGATTCTGGTACCCCAAAAAAGATCGCAACTGTGATTTGCCACATGTTTTTATATATGTTAAAGACACATTTAGGATTTTACTTTCACTTTTCTCTCCTTTTTGGGGATTGCCTTTCTTGGACTAGGTGAGACAGTGCCAGGTCGCTGTCGACGAATGCTCTCAGCGAATTCGCGCGTTGCACAGTGCTGCAGGTTTATCGCAGGCGGGGGGATCTGCTGGGTTGTATGCAGACTCTGGAGAGATAGGTGCACTGTGGTAAATCATCCCATACCCAGAACACATCGGAATATTTTCCAACAATACTGGATATATATATATATATATATTATATATTATATATATATATATTATAGATGGATTTTTAGCTGGGAACAGGTAATAGCGGGCAAATTACCTGGGATCATGCAATGTGCCTCGAGAAAATTGTACGTTGGATTTCTATGTCATCCCATCCGATCCCATCCAACGTGTGTCTGAAATCCCTTGGAACTGGGGGTAGCTATTTTCAGACAAAGCCACCCGAAAAATAAATGGTTGTTTTTTCATGGAAACATCCCATTGAAATGGATGATTTGGGGATTATCCGGGATACCCCCATTTCAGGAAGCGTCCACATATAGAGTATAAACCACAATCATAAGCCTAGAAACCGCACCATGCTGGCCATGGGACATCACTGTTTTGAATCTTTTGTTGATGTTGAACCGCTTTGATTTGAGATCCAGAAGATGAGTGGGTGACCAGTCTGTGAGAATTTGATTGGCATGTGAATTACTGTATATACTCCCAGTTGATTGTTTCGCATATGATGTTTAGTATGACAATGTTTGGTATTGTGATCCCGGCCGACTCATATTCAGGTTGAAAGCGCCAAGTCTAAACTGTTCACGTCAACACAGCTGCTATAGCTGGATGTTCATCCGGATGTGACAAGTGGTGTCCCAATGTGTCGCAGAAAGTGCTTTGTAAAATCTATGGGAATTTCAGGACCCTAAAATAGAAGTACTGTATCGTGTAAAGCCATTTGTTTTTCGGAAAATCCCTAGACCTTATCATATTTATATATTGTATAATAGCAGGCCATATGCTCCATGATTATCCTCCGGTAATCAAACATGGCTTGCTGGATTATGGATGATTTCCCAGCTATCAACCTCCATTTAGTTCGAGGATTTTCAATCTAGCTATACCATAGCTATGTTAAAATTCCAGAGACTATATTCCCTTAAATCCCATTAAATCACCGTGGCACGAGATCATCATATCTCCGTGCCAGGAAGCTGTGAGATGGTTTCGAGCCCCACACGGCAAACTCAGTGCTGCTGGGTGCTCAGGGACGTGAAAACGTTGGGAGCGCATCCCTGGTTGATTCATGAGGGATCTGAGTACCCCCAAGTAAAAGTAGTGATACTTTGCGACCAAAATGGTTAGCCATCCAATTGGGGTAGGCTTGATGCTAACATATACTAACTCATCATAGCTGACTCAGGCCCTGGTAGGCATCTATTTGGTGTAAACAACGTCATTAATATTCGCATTTGGGGGGTTCCCAGCAAGCATCCTACAGGAAACGGCCTTTTCGAATGATGATCTCAATCAGAAAGTATCGGGTATCCACGATGTTCATTGAAAACGACTTCAACACGTTGTCACTGAATTTCCAAGTTCATCAATAACCTTTAGTAAGTTCAATTCTTATTTAAACAGTTGTTCAATGAATTTAATAAGTTATTCAATGAAATACTTAGTAAGGGCAATGGTCCAAGTCCACCTTATTTCACATCAACAACTAATAACAACTAGGTGTCACCGATGGTTATTGACTATATACACACCATTTGCAGGATTCAGGTCCTAGTGTGATGAGCAACCCATATGTTCGCATTGATCATTCGTTTTGGACCTTTTGGATATGCGGAAATACGAAGATGATAGAAGTCTATTTCAAGATTATCATTTATATTCGGTATATATATATAATATATATATAATATATATATATAATATATATAATATATATATAATATATATATATATATAATATATAATATATATATATATACATCAATTCCCACGATTATTTGCAGTTTCGCGGGTGCAGAGGATTATATACCAACCATTTGCAGTTGAAGGATCATGCTAGTGAGTGTGGAGAACTCAAGGACACCCTCCTGGTGAACACCATCAAAGCTCTGGTCACTTCCGGTTTCCATTCTATGATTGATCAAATGCTTTGTAACCTGCATTGAGAACAGGTCAATTTCATTCAGCAACCGGCAAATTCCTTTGCAACATCTGTCACAAAAAACCCTGGTTTTTGCATGATTTTGCTTTGGTGAACCTTAACTGCCCTGGCTTGTTGGGTTTGGTTGGACCGAGCCTGTGGACCTCTTTTCAGAGAAGATCCAGGACGGCGGTGAAGGGAGGGGGCATACATATTCACAAGAAATTTTTGGAGCTCCCTTGGAGCTACGTTTTTTGAGTTTCTCAACCAAATGATGGTAACTAATCCATATTTATCATTATTTATCCATTGTTTTTTGATTATAGTCACTATAGATATTCATCATTTGGTTGACCTTTAATATCCATTTACAGTGACATTCATTTTCAAATGTTTTGATTATAGTATATATATAGATATTACAAGCATATTATTAATCATTATTTATTATTTAGATTCTTATTCATTTGATCTGTGTAAATTATAACGACCTCACTACGACCTCACTGGAAATCATGGTTAGTAAGGGGAATCATCCCCAAATGGCCTTAATTCAGATTAGTGAATTATTGTAATTTGCCCAGATTTGATATATACATTATTACTCAATATTAACACATAGTGAGTTACTATTATTCTAAGGACCCGTCAGATATCAGATCTCCACAGTCCAAGAGTCCAACACGACACGTATCGACACGTCCGTTGCACCGACATGGCCGCGTTGCGAGGTCATGACGGAGGTCCTTCAGAGAAAAGGCTTGACCAACGTCATGTGCCGGGAAGCACGGCTGGGTTGGTGTGTTGCTGATAATATCTCTATATCGATGGATGGATGGATGGATGGATGGGTGGATGGAATGGATGGATGGATGGATGGATGGATGGATGGACAGACAGACAGACAGACAGACAGACAGACAGAGAGAGAGAGAGGGAGAGATAGATAGATAGATAGATAGATAGATAGATAGATAGATAGATAGATAGATATAGATAGATAGATAGATAGATAGATAGATAGATAGATAGATATATCATAGATAGATAGATAGATAGATAGATAGATAGATAGATAGACAGACAGAGAGAGAGAGAGGGAGAGATAGATAGATAGATAGATAGATAGACAGACAGACAGATAGATAGATAGATAGATAGACAGATAGACAGATAGATAGATAGTTCGATAGATAGATCGATATATAGAAAGATAGATCGATAGATAGACAGATAGATAGATAGATAGATAGATATAATCATATATATATATATAGACAGATAGTGAAGATATTATAGATATAGAATTATGTGGATCTATATTTCTTTAACAATCATAGAGATCATATAGGATTATGTGGATCTATGAGTCTACAACATTCTACAACCCACCAACCCATTCTTGGCTGGTTCATGATTTTGACACACACCCAGCTGACCCATGTTTGATCCATGGAACCCTAGTCATTTGAACTTTCACTCTTTGGGGCCTTGGGACCAAAGATGATGTGGATTTTCTTGCTGTCGAAACCACCCATTCTTCGTGTCGAGATCGGTGCAATTTCCTAGATTTGAGGTTCTTTTCTATTTGCCCATCCAGAAGTCGGAGAAGCATACCCTCTGGTAAACGTTTCCAAAACTATGGAAAATCACAATTTTTAATGGGTAAATCCACTATTTGTATGGCCATTTTCAATAGCTTTTTGTATGTTTACCAGGCTGGGTATCTGATTACTAGTAGCCGTAGCCCACCTCCAAGCCATGCGGTCCTGAGGCGATACCTATGCATGCTGTCCGGTCATTCAAGACGCAGATTTCATCGGCAATTTCCTCGGGAAACAGGCGCTCATCACTGGGTTGTAAGCTTAGCCAACCCTGAGGTGGTGCCACCCTCCGTGAATTATTGTACTATATAGTGTTATTATTATTGCCATTGTTATTCTCATACATATTATCATTATATATGGATCTTCGAAAGGACACAAATAATTGTCCGTTTGCAAGATTTCTGCCCTTAGGGCGGATTTCTTGTGAAGGAGCTGGAAATGGTCATTTCTTGACTACTGTGGTCAATTTTGGATTTCGTACCTTTTGGGCTGATCTTACTCTACTTTGCGTAAAAATGTGTCGATTTTTCTGGGCGGAAATACCCGGGAAAAGGGCCGAAATACCCGGGAAAAGGGCGGAAATACCCGGGCAGATTCATGATGACTCAAAAATGAAAACATGAAATGGTAAGTTTTTTCTTGAAATTGTAATGCTTATTTTGAAATGGGCAAATCTACAGAAAATGGACAACTGTGACTTCGAAGCTGCTACGAGCAGCCGGATCTGTTTTCCACAACAGGAAGGGTCATCGGCCGGGGCTAGCTATTTGAGCGCCGAATTGGTGTACGCACGGCCCCACTTTGCCCTCTCGAGCAAAGAAACCCTGCGCCACATCGGTGTCTACCAGAATGGATGGTAAGCAATCATCGCACCAAAGTAGAGTCATTCGCTTCCATCTTCTTTGATAATTAATTGATGATAGCAGCCTGGAGAGAGCATGAATTAAAAGGCAAAACCCTAGCTCCAGCAAATCTTTCACAGGAATTGGGTAAGATGTAGGGAATCAAACACCCACCCAAAACAAAGCAAACATTCAGGGCGGCACCAGAAATATCTGTGCCTGTGAGGAAATGAAGCAGCCGCGTGGTGGCTGGGTAGTCCCAGCTTAAGGTTTTGATCGCCCATGCGACATCCCAGACTGCCAAACCATATGAATTTTTACCGAATGCCCCCAGTGAACCCAAAGCAAAACCAAACAAAAAGCAACAAAAACACAAACAGAAACCAACCACAAGAAAGTGAGGAGGCACCCGGTACCAGCTATCTATTCCGCAAGTCTCTACACTGGCAAGCGGCCTTCATGGCTGAGCGAATTCTTCCAGCGATGCTTTCAATCCAGCCAGGATCTTGGGCACAATGGTGGCTGTAGACCTAGGGAGATTCCCTCTTCGGTGAACGTGACGAAACAACACTTTCAGCCTTTCCATGTCTTCCTTGGCAAGGCGGCTTTCAAACTCGGACCACTGATTGCACTCTTTCACACCTTCATAGGACCCAAGCGCGTGGAAAATGGCCATCTTTTCTGCTGGTGTCAATGGCTGGTCCTTCACTTGGTTCTGACCTTGGTCCTGGTTCTTTGGAGGCCCGGGCTTGTGGTCAGGTTGTGCTCTGGCTCCTGGAAACTTGCTGAGCTGTGCCAGCAGGTCTTGCTGTACGGCGGCCACTTTGCTTTCCATTTCTTGCATCAGTTTGTCCTTTTCAGCTGTAGCTTCCCTGGCTGCCTTCTCTGCCTGGAGCATCTGCAGTTCCTTTTCGAGTCGGTTTTCGCGGTCAGACTTCCCGCGCCGGGGTTTCTTTTCTTTCTTCTTGCTGTGTCTGCGCCGTGAATGGGATGATGAGGAATCTGAAGATGACCAAGAATATTCCCTCTTGCGCCCATATGAGCTATTTTGGTGCCTGCGGCTGTGTTCCCTTTGCCTCTCCTGCTTCTGGGAGCTCTCACCTCTGTCGACCTCAATGCGAATCACTTGGGCTGGCTGGGTGTTGTGGGATGGCCTCCACTGGGACGCTGACCAGCCCCAGCTTCTTCCCTTCTGTTGGCCCCAGCCCATCGATTCTGCACTGGACATTGCGGAAAGAAACACTAAGAGCAGCCGGAGGCCAGCCATGGCAGACACGCTGACTACACTAGGTCGGCAAGCTAGACGGCAGCACGGACCTACTTTGTTCTGGGCTTAAAGGACCTCGTGACAAAGGCTTTTGAAAGCAGGTGAACATACAAACGCTCTGCAAAACCGGAGCTCTTCTGCAAAACTATCCTTCCACATACCAAAGATTATGCGTCTTAAACGTTGGCGGCCAAAATGTTGCCTAGCAAGGGCTACCAAGAAAAGGCCAAGGTCATGCTCTTTCTCCCGGGTTTTTAAACCTATTTGCCTGTGCCGGGCCAGTCGGCCCCACAAAAACGCACGAATACTGCTTTGCCGAACATCCCATGGGGGTGGGAAATCGAACAAGCTTTGTTTGATATCAAGTACAAGGCAGTCAAGGTCAAGAACAACATCAAGCCAATGCAACTTGCGGGATTGTGGGGCTGCATCAAATTTGACAGTGTACATGGCATGCGTCATGTCAACCAAACAACTGAAACAAAGCAGTTTGGAAATCATGACAACATCATCAATGTAGCGCCGGGCAACGACGGCTTGGTGCCAACAGGGAGCAGAACAAGACAGTCCAAAGTTGAGGGGCCACTGCTGGACCCACATGTGCTCTTCCCATGCTAAGACTGCACTGGCAGCAATTCTGGAAAGTAAACCTCCTATTGGCAACCCGCTCATGCGGATGATGGTGCTCCCAAGGCTGCAAAAAGGGATGTACATGCAAGCCGCAAAGCAAAACAATAGATCACGGAAAAGGAAACAAACCAGTTTAGGAGAAGTAATGGCTGGATTACCTCCTAGGTACCCTTGAACTTTCTTTCGGCGGAGGATAGTCACTGAAGTGGTCTGAGACTTGCGCGCAACATCATGGAATATGTTAGCCATGCAATCAACTGCTGTTGAAGGCTGCACAACTTCAAAGAACTGGCCCGCGTCTGCAACGACACCGTTGAGCAAAGGCTTAACACACCCACATTTGCAGCACTGCAAGCCAAAGTCAATGTACTCAAGGTTACGGCAATCTTCTAACAAGCCTGAGGTGGCATGCTTCAAGCTTGAAACTTCGGAACCATGACCCCATTTCCTGAGAATGACATCACATGCACGACTAACTAGTCTCCATCGTTGCCGAAACGGCCACTTGCAATACGCCACAATTTTGCGACAACAGCTATGCCCTATTCTGGTACACAATCGTGCCCCAGTGCTGTAGCATTTACTTTTGATTGTGACGTACATGTATGGCACCCAAGCACATGGCAAGCCAACACCAAGCCAATCATGCAGACAATAGGGGACCAAAGTGCGAAGTACAAGTTGGCTAAGCAAGGTTGCATCATGTGGCATCAAGCTGGACAAAGTCCAGGTTGCAGAGCACACGGTGTAACACAGCAAAAGTGCATGGTAACATGTCAAGTCAACTTTCCACATGCGTGCCTTGTCTTTGTCATCAGGGACGCGAACTATGGTTGTCCCGGACAACAACTCACCCGCAAAACTATCATATTGTGCTTTGGTAAGTATATCCCGCGCCAAGGAGGACTGAACGGCAACATGACTGGAGACACAAGAAGTGAGACCTGCCTGGGACGCTAGATGGCACCCTTTTGGCAAACGCGCTTGCTGGCACCATGTCTGGACAGCAAGGTCAACAACTTTGGTTTTCTCTTCTAGGGAAAGTCGCTTTTTGGCTTTCATGTTTCTGTCAACTTTCTGCATACCATTTCCTTGGATGGCATGCGACAGTGATGCAGAATCCAACGACAAGGCACTTTGCAAACAAAAACTTCTGGCAGCCCGGCCGTGTGACAACAAATCCTTGAAGGTAGGACATTTCCCAACAAGAACTCGTGTCTTTTTCAAGACCCATGTCACCACATGCGGCGGCCATCTTGGCGATGACCGGGCTAAGGTAGCGACCAACGATTTGCAAGGACCGACAAGACAGGGTTCCGGCACAGTCACAACAAGCAATTTCTTGGAGGGAAGACCTTCAAACTTCATGCATTGCGAAGCACGGCGCAGGACCTGTCTGCGTCTGCCAGCTGTTTGCACAAGTCCCCCAAGTTTTTCAAGCTCAACACCAAGGAAATCACACTTCCATGCCGCACGCAAGCGATTCCAAGCAACACATGAGCCGCGTGTCCCTATCCACAGAACCATGAGACGGCGAACCTGAGGGGAATAAATGTTCACAGGACCACAGAAGCCACTGGAGAGGAACAATTGCCGCTGCAACTTCCGGTACGCCACTGAAAAGCTCTGCGACCAAGCTCCAACAAGCAATGGGTCAGGATTTGGGGGCCGCACTGCGAGGTTCCTAAGTTTGAGTTCCTTACAAAGTTCCCGATCTAAACGCATTGCACCAACATGGCAGGACCAGGTCGGATCAAGACATGGCAATTTTTTTGGCCGGCGTCGCCACTGTGGCGGTCTCATCCGGCGTTTCTTTGTTTGCCGTGCTGGAAAATTTGCAGGTCTGCGCGAGAAATTACCATTGGGCCGATACGCCTTAATGGCAAGAGACTCACGTGCCCGGATTTCGCATTCTGGCCCAGATCGGACCGGCAACCACATCATGGACACAAGTGGGATACGTCGTGCAAGACGGTACCTGTGGATGCACCCGTGTGTACACTGGGCTCTAGCTCTTAAAGTCAGGTGCTCAAACAAGCGACAGACCATGCCAGAAACTTGCGGACGGGACATGCGTGAAAACCTAGCAATGCCAAGGTATTGAAACCCACGACCAAACCAAGCATACATGCCAAAAGCATCGGGCGTACTCCCCTGAGTCACACAGTTTGTGGCCCAGGCAACGAGCTTCTGCACGTGCTTCAAATGCCCAAACAAAATGGCCGCCTGGTATTCAAGATCAAGCAAAGCAAGGACTTTTCTTGCAACAGCACAATGGGACGAAATCTGCAGCCACACCAAGGATTTTACAATGAACAAAGTGGCAACTAGTTCTTCCAAAACACGGTCTTGTCTCCGCCATTTATGATCAGGGGGAATCAAAAAGGTGAGTGCAGCAACTAAAGACCGATTGCAAAGGAGAATGAAATTGCCATGTCCCTGTTTCTTTGTCAAAACACAACCTGCATCAAGCCAAATCTTCTTTTTTAAGATCTCCCACGTTTCATGGTACACACATGGTGGCTGATTGATATGGAAGGGCAGCCCGAGGAACTGCGAGAAAACTTCATTAAGCGGATCAGCCCACACAGCACTCAGAAGCAGAACAAGCCCAAATTTGGAAACCAAATTGTACCAGTCTCCTCCGTACCGTGTGGTGAACAAGTACGCTAGCTCACTTGTTTGAAAAGGCATCAAGCAGATCCAAACGAAGCAACCTAGCCTTGAAGCGTTACACTGGCAACCGTTGTGATCGGCAAATTGCGTCAAACCGGAAATGCCAGGGCTGTCTCAACTGTGACTTCGAAGCTGCTACGAGCAGCCGGATCTGTTTTCCACAACAGGAAGGGTCATCGGCCGGGGCTAGCTATTTGAGCGCCGAATTGGTGTACGCACGGCCCCACTTTGCCCTCTCGAGCAAAGAAACCCTGCGCCACATCTGTGTCTACCAGAATGGATGGTAAGCAATCATCGCACCAAAGTAGAGTCATTCGCTTCCATCTTCTTTGACAATTAATTGATGATAGCAGCCTGGAGAGAGCATGAATTAAAAGGCAAAACCCTAGCTCCAGCAAATCTTTCACAGGAATTGGGTAAGATGTAGGGAATTGGGAAAATGGACAGAAATCAAACCAAAATCTGCCCTGGAAAGAAATTTGTAACCAATGAATATCCATATATTATTATATAGGTGTATCATATCTTCACCCCATTAAACTATAGTTGGCATCATCCTACGTGCTAGTTTGGCTACGTATAAATCAAGTTGGCTATTGGCTAACTATGGGGCACCTCGTAGTTACATGGAGAATGATGGGTAATGTGATATACTGACAGTAATGATGGGTAGTATTGGCGGTTTGCTGTTTCGATGTGTGCAGTCTGTACAATGTGGGACCCCAAGTTACAAGTTAAGATGGTTTATAAACCCCATTGACTATAGTTATTTCCGTATCATAAACCATAGTTATTGGAGTTATGTTCACCAACTTAACTATCGTAAACGGGGGCATGGGGCCCTTGTAGCTAATAAAGAATCCCATTGACCCAACAGACTGACGTGTCCAACTGTTGAAACTGTCATTGATTGTCACCCAGTTGCTGAATGGTAGGAAAAAACATTCATCCTTGGATCATGATTCGGGCTTATGCTGGTGAATATTACATTGGGAAAGCAACATATTTTCTACAAGTTTCTATATTATTATATGCGTATCATTGCTTCATGTTTTATTATTAATCTAGGGGCTGCAAATGATGCTAAAATTATATGCCAGTCACAGGTCCAAAATGTTTTTCTCAATACTCACCATAGTAATTGGTTGCCATGAACAATATATAATCCTAATCTTTGCGTATCTTTGCGTATGATTTCTTCAAATCATCCCTATTATGTAATGTGTTCGCATTTCCAAATAGATCTTTGCCCCGCACGATGTAAATATTGCTTGGAAATCCATGGGTTTTTCTAGACATTTCCCAAGGTCGGACCTATCTCCCCCGGGGTCCCGTGCCGAATCGGAGGCAGAGCATGGCTCGATCATCCTCATTCACATGCCCGAACGCGGCTTCCGAGAATGGTGTCTCCGTGGCGGCTTGGTTGACTGGGAATTTAAGGTGAAAACCTCCGATTTCACCCACTTGTGGATTTCATGAAAATATGACTTAAATAGGAGGTATAATATTTTTTGACGTATTGAACATGTAGAATGGATAAGTGGGATGAAGCCTCTGATATTTTTCCAATGGCTGGATTTTTTTTTCCCATTGTTCAACGGTGATCCCGGCAGCCATGAGGATCCACATCCCATGAAATCATCCGAAAAAACAATGCCGCATACATGAAATATATTGAAATATGTACATTAACATACTAACATACCACAATATACCCGGAATTTACCCCTTGGAAGAGTGTATGTTATCCAAACTGTTGATACTGTAGTGCCAGCATTTTTTGGGAGAATTGAGGATCAAGGTCAAGGTAGCTAGAATTCCACCATGCCTATGTTTGTTTGGGATTAACATCAATCTTGCAATACAATTTCTGAGTTGTCAGCAGTTGGTTCGCATTTTTTGGTGTTACGCTTGCTGGTTCGCAGGTATTGCAGCTGTTTTGTTTGAGGAGTGCAGAGACTCAAATAGACCCATTGACCTTCGATAACATTTCCATACCCATCATGGATATAAGAATACTAGGTGCATCTATCTTACAATGTGGCCCCCCTAGATAGGTGGGCCATTGGGTCTATGGGGAACACAACTACAGCTGGATGGGTTGATCACAAGTGTTGGGTTGGGTGTTGGACGGTGTGGTGCGTTCTGATGAATTTTCAGATGATCTCAACACTTGAATACATCCTGAGAGATGTGTGCCTCATATGTGTATACAATTATAATATCATATAATATATGTATATAATATAATCATATCATACGTATGTGTACATATTTTAACATACGGTAACGACATTCAAATATGTGGAGGGCAGGCGAGACCGCGACGCCCCGGAGGTAGTATGTTCCATCCGTATATTTAAATGTATGTGTAAACAAATTGGATTCCGTATGTTTAAATGGCCGGGCGGGCCAAGGAAAGCCTTCCCGGAGGTAGTCTAAAATACCAATTCGTATATCAAAAAATCAGTACATAATATGTTGCATTCATTATTGTTTTAGTAACTTATCCATGTATATAAACCCATTTTGATTGGTGGCCATCGCGTTTGGTTCAAACATGTTGATGAAGATATACACGTTGACTCTATAGAAACACACGGAAAACATATCATAAAAAGCATCAGCCAATCTGGTCGCCCTGGGAACTCACCTTGAAAGAGGTCTCGAAGAGTTGCTAAAGCAACTCAAGAGTCGTGGCCTGCAGCCAGTGAGTGTAGGCAAGTTGGCCCAGTTGGCCGGCGACAAAAAGATGTCGCATCTGTAGGATTTATGTCTGACCCCGGGACCAGTTAACACTTACCAACCACTTAGCTACCCGAAGGGTTTTTTAGACAGGTTATGTCACAAGTCCACCATAAATCCAATTGTTTTCCTATACCATCCGACAATCAAACATAGCAATAAAGAATTCCCCATGTATATAGCGGGTATTTACAGGTGATTTCCCTTTAAAAACCTCCATTTATAGAAGGTTTTTCCAGCTAGCCACGTTTGATTTCCAGAGGGTATATGCCAATTCTTATCCAATGATATTAACCACAGTATGCCAATTATTACACCAGTATTAATCCATATGAATTCCATATTTTATGCCAACATATGATAGGTAAATCCCATTTAATCGCTATAGGGATCCTGTACCAGCCACTGTATGGGCAAATCTCTGGAAACATGGATCGCATCAATATACCCCCTTTATGTTAGTATTAATATACCAGCACCATGGATCCGTCATGGGTATGGTGACCCTTATCCCAACATCTGTTTGTAACTTTCCTTTTTGGGTCCATCCTGCAACCGGGATCAGCCCTGTGAAACACCCGACGTCACGACGTCCAGCCGCACGTCATCACGGCCGTGCGGTTCGGACCCCTGCACAACGGGAGGAACAAAGGGGAGTGAACCACTTATGTTCTCTGGTAAACGAACATAGCTATGGAAAAATGGTGGAAAATGACCAAGTATAGTTGATCTACCTATATAAAAGGGTGATTCTCCATAGTACATAGCTATGTTAGTTTACCAGAGGGTTTTTGGGGGGAGATCAGCATATGTAGATTAAGCAGGATCAATGCAAGAAACTTGGATCAAATTGGGGCTTAAATCATTGGCTAAAAACTACTACCCTGGTTGAAGGGTACCCCAAGATTCGCCATGCCTTGGCACTGTTCTCCTGCCTCTTTTGCGTCCCCAGACGTTGGGACGTTGGTGCGACTCGGCGCTTCGAGCCGTCCGAGGAAGTGAATCATGTTCAATGAGAAAAGTCATGATCATGTTTGAGAATTGGACATGAACACACAATCCCATATGCTCCATGGTGCTGGTATATTTACCTATTTACCTACATGACTGGATGATTTTGTTCGGGCAAATGTTGGTAAATATTCCAGCACCATGGAGGATATGCAAATGGAATGTTCCAAGAATCACCGGAAAGAATGCATAATACGAGTGATGTTTGCATTGATATCAGCGACTGAATGATAACCCCTTCCCCCTAATACTAAACCCCGCACCCCACCCGTAATAATAAACACCCGGGGCAGTTTTCAATATTAGGGGATATTTAGTATTAGGGTGCGAAGCTTCCCACCTAATACTAGTTTTTAAAGCTTTATACAGAGTATATATATATGTTGCTTTCTATTTCAAAATCGGTTAAATTTCCATTAAAATCTAATTTAAAAATAATGCCCAAAAATGGATTTCGATGGTTTCCCTGTTGAATTAATAACCTTATATATATATTAAAATCGATGAAATTCTAAGTCCAATATTGCCAAAAATTGGGTTTTTGAAGGTTCCCGTAATATTATAATCAAAAGCTTAAAAAGAAGCACCGTTTCAAAATATATGAAAATTACTTTTTGAATCTAATTAAACTATTGCCAAAAAAATGATTTCCCCTAGTATAAAATAAAACAAAAACACCTTAACAAAGAAGTAATTCTAAAGGACGGACCCTAATAAAAAAAACACCCCGTCTTGACTAGTTTTCATTATTAGGGGGTGAAACCCTCAAACAGGACCTTCATGTTCAAATTGTTTTCTAAAGGGGATCATTTAAAATTCAAATTGGCCAACAAATTTCCCACAATTTCAAATGAGCTCTGAAAACATCCCTTTACAATTTTAGTAATGGCCTTGTCAGAACGAGTTTGGCGTAAGCAAAACCCTCACTTGCGTAAGGCCGCGTAAGGACTTCGTGTAAGGGCTTCCTCAATTTGCTCCGCGTAAGGAAAAAACCACGCGCGTAAGTATGGCGTAAGCTCTGGCACACCCAAAATGATACGACATAGCGAGTGACTGAAGGTGTTTAGAATGGCTCAAATGGAGCCTAGTTTTTAGTACTCGGGGATATTTGGATTACGTTTAGTAATAGGGGGAAGGGATTATGTGTTCAACAGCAACCAGCCCATCCGCTTACACCCTGATTTTTCAACATGGAACCCTCGCATCATGTGTGCAATGATCAAGACGGAAGGTGATATCATGTTCGCTGAATGTCTAGTTTACGGGACTGTTCTGCCCAAACGAAGCCAATGCAAGGATTCCCCAATGTTGTTTGGATGAGTATCCAATTTGTCAGGTGCTTGACACGTAGCAGCAACAAGCTGGATGTAGATAGCGCAAGTTCCCTACAATCTAGAGAAAGTAAGGAGGTAGCCCATGGTAGCCAATTAAATTCGCGCAACCATTCCAGGCAAATTATGATAGATGGTACCAAACCGACTCCTTAATTTCCCACAAAAGAATGTTGTTATAACTAGTTTGCGAGCTAGTGAGAAAATAAACGTAATAAAGAAGCACCCATACAAGGTGGTGCCCCCCCAGTCCCTCCAGTTATAAGTTGGTTTATAATCCCGATTAAGTATAGGTATATCTACCAGTAACCCAAGTCATTGGAGTTATGTTCACCAACTTAGCGATTTCGTAAACGGGGGCACCATGTGGACCATCTCAGGCCACCATTGATCTATCAAGTTGCACGAGACCTCACATACCAATCATGTCCAATTGTGCATGTGTATAATATATATATATATATATATATATATGACATCATTATGTAAGTGTATATGTATATATATATATATTATTATTTCTTACATGATGGGCTGTGATGTGATAGGATGGGGTGTACACGTGAATGCATATTTATAAATATACATATATATATATACATATATGTACAAATAGGTACATATATTGATTGATATGATGATACATTTGCAAATTGGCATATTGATAGATTATATAATTATATATATATGTGCTCAATTTACCATGCATATACATATATATATATACATGTATATATATATATATATATGAATATACATATATACATATGTACATATGTACATATGTATGTATGTATGTATGTATGTATGTAATGTAATGTAATGTAATGTAATGTATGTATGTATGTATGTATGTATGTATGTATGTATGTATGTATGTATGTATGTATGTATGTATGTATGTATGTATGTATGTATGTATGTATGTATGTATGTATGTATGTATGTATGTATGTATGTATGTATGTATGTAGTATGTATGTTAATGGTATGTATGTATGTATGTATGTATGTATGTATGTATGTATGTATGTATGTATGTATGTATGTATGTATGTATGTATGTATGTATGTATGTATGTATGTATGTATGTATGTATGTATGTATGTATGTATGTATGTATGTATGTATGTATGTATGTATGTATGTATGTATGTATGTATGTATGTATGTATGTATGTATGTATGTAATGAATGTATGTAATGAATGTAATGAATGTATGTAATGAATGTATGTAATGAATGTATGTATGTATGTATGTATGTATAGATAGATAGATAGATAGATAGAATAGAATAGAATAGACTAGAATAGAATAGAATAGATAGATAGATAGATAAATAGATAGATAGATAGATGGATGGAACATGAATAGATAAATATATAACTTTCTGAATAGAAACAAATAATAAATAAATTAATATAAATAGATAAATTATGCACATATATGTATATATATATATGTGTGTGTATGTATGCTATATATATATATACTATACATTGCACGGCACATGAGGATTGGATGCACAGAAGCTCCCAACAAACCGGGACGGACCGGAGCGGGGCTCGTCGCTGGTGAGTCACACGAAAAATGCGCGTCCCGCGGTGTTCCCATCGCGGGGAAGCTGTAGGACGGCAGGTCACCATCGATGAAACCAGGTTTACTGTGACATATATATATATGATTGTTGCTTTGGAACATGAATTTTATTTTCAATAGTTGGGATGATGATCCAATCTGACGAACTCATATTTTTCAGGTAGTACGTATACCACCAATAAGATATATTTAGATTTATATATATATATGTATACAACTATACTACGTAGTATGAAAATATGAAACACTATATGAATAATAATATATATGTATATATCAATTATACTACATATAGTAAATTAATCATGGATTGGTTGAAGCGGTGGGAAGGTGTCAGAGCGATTTTTGTTTGAGAAATATGGCTGGGCAAACATCATTCCAACAGGGGAATTCAGCAGCAACGTTTCTTGGAATTTTGAAGATCACCCATTTTTGGATGGGATAATCAGGATAGTCCACGAAGAAAGGGGACCAAGATATTCCGAATCCGCTTCACCAGGGTTACGATCACCACTTCCTAGGTGCGATGATCCGCAGTGTTTTGAGGAATTTCCTGTTTTGACGAATGTCATCCAGAAAAAAAAATCACCTACCTCGCCAAAGCAGTGTGGTTATTCTTTGCCAACCAGGATTCCGAATCATTAGTTCGGCCTTGCTGGTTCTTTGGGTTAGATTCGTTTAGCCAGCTTGGTGACTCTTACCTGGCAGAATGGTCATGTTCCATTGTTATTACCTGGATCAGCCACTTGATTGATCTGGGATGTTTTTTCCATGTCAAACCCGGTTATGCATGGGATATCTCCGGTTACGTCTGGTTCATTATCCACTTATTATTACTGGAAGGCAGATCCTTTTTCTACTGCAAGACCCTCCGTTTTCCACTAAGTCCCTGTGCCGCCAGGGTTTCTTGCACGCCACAAAGCAACTGGTGGCAAAACGGAGATTTTCCGAGGTGCAAAGACGAGAACTTTCGACAAAAACCCTTTGCAGGCTGTGGTTTTCTCAAAGGAAAATTGTGGTCCCATGAAAATAATGCAGCCTTGTAGCGGCTTGTATAAGTATAAGCTGTTGGTAGACAACTTTATGATACCTGGGCTCCCAGTGTGATGTAAGCAAGTCTGTCTGAATGGTTTGCCCAGCAATTAAAGACGTATATCTATATATATATATATATACAGTATACATATGTACTGTACACAGCATCCTCGGGTTTTAGATCTTAGTAACCGATGTTCTTTCACGTATAGCGTGGGTGACCATTGAATCTTGTAGGTCAGTATGTAAGTAGAGTGTGTGGTGGTGTCAAACACATATGTTTTCCTTCCATCCCTACTAAATTTGATCAGCCGCAATTGACTTTGGACTAGGAACTAGTATGTATGTTTGGAATTGGTTAAAGAACCCGGTGTGGTTGGGTTCAATCATATTTGATTTGTTTTTGGATGTTTTTTGGGTTAATCTTGAAGGTTCAAGTCCAGCTTTTGCTTGTTGGAGTCCAATGTTGGTTACTTTATATCCCATTTTGGTTGTTAAAGTTAACCATGATTGTTTCGAGGGTTTTGTCAAAATGTCAATTTCAAATGGTTGAGACCCAAAGCACAAAGATTGTTGGTGACACTCATTCAGTTTGCTGGCTACAATCACATACAATCACGGTATGTGGAAATATGTGGAACCAAATTGGAACCACTATTTTAATCATTAGTCGGCCAACGGAAACGCAGCTGCTCGCACGCTGCGGGCTCGTCCCAGCGTCGGGTGCCATGAGTCAGCTCTTCGGAGAAGACCATCGTATCAAAGAAGGATACAAACAGCAAGTAGTCAAGCTGCTTACTTGCTTGAAAGTCGCTTTTCATCCAGACAGATCCTTCCCCACAGAACTGACGAATCTTATCTCTTCGGAGATAAACGAGGCGGATAAAGCGTTGCACGAAGGAAATGCCGCCAGGCTGGCAAGGTGAACGGCAAAGGAACACTCACTACGTACGCTTGCAGCGCTCATCGGCGCCAGCGGACTTGAGGGTCGCGCAATACAAATCAGTATGCCAAAGCATCTTGAGCAGGTCACCGAGATCATTAATGAGATCTATAGTCTAATCAAAGCGGACAATGGTACGCTGGTGATTGACTTCACCTGTTCAGTTGAGGCGGCCACAGGTCTAATGAAGACCAAACCAGCGTACTTCAACCCAGTCGACATTGAGGCTGCAAGGCTGCTGATCCGTCAACAAGTCCCCAGTGCCAGCGCAGGGGTGCAGGCGTCCAAGAAGGAAACCCCGAGCGCTTCAAAGGGCGGCAAGAAGGGACAGCCAGCAGGCCCTATTCATCGCTGCACTACCGCCAAAAAGTGCAAATTTACAAAACTGTGGTTGAATCAAGGCTCCTCTATAGCCTGTGCGCATTGGTTTTGACGAAGCAAGAAAAACGTCGCTTAGATGGTTTCCAGAACAGACGTTTGCGTTCTATTTTGGGAATACAGCTATCTTTCTTGTCCAGAACATCCAACGCTGAAGTCTGGCAACGAAGTGCGCACGTTCCAATGCCCAAACTTCTTGAACGAAAACAGCTGTTGCTTTTGGGAAAGATTCTGCGTTGCCACCCGAACCACCCTCTGAGACAAGTCTCGTTTGAACCTGGCACATACACTGCTGCTACATCTCGATATCTGAGAAGGGTAGGCAGGCCTCGTAAAGAGTGGATACCTGAAGTTTTTCTTTAGCACTTTCCTTTACAGGTAGTACTCGCAATCTGTTATTTTTTGTCCAGAATGAAAAGCGATGGCGCCAACTGGTTTTGAACCAATGAATCGATTGGGGCCAGTCAGGCTGCCTTGTAGCACAATGCCTTTAAGTTTTTAGTCTGCATGTTGTGTGCATATGTATGGAGTTGGAGCCGCCCACGCGCCGCGCGGCGCACGGCTTGACAGACAGACAGTGTTAGATATTTTTTTGCCGTTAGTTTCACAGCCTGTTGCTTGATGGTTGAAGCATAAACAACATGTTAAAGTCTGATATTGCCCAGTGAAACAATCGCGGGTCCATTGGTTTACAATTTTGTTGGGTAATACATGATACCCTCTGGTAAACGCTTACATAACTATGGAAAATCACCATGCTATTAATGGGTAAATCCACTATTTCTATGGTCATGTTCAATAGCAAACTGTTAGTCATTACCAGAGGGGAATACAGGATAAACCAAATTCTATATCGCATGCAGGTGGCCGGCTGGCGCTCAGACTTGTTGGAGGTGGTGAGACAGGCGCCCACTGTCACAAAGAGGAACACCGGCTATAGCGGAGAAATGTTCAAAAGTGAGTTGTTGTTTTTTTTATTACTCCAATTTCAGTGAGTTGTTTTTTTTATCAGACTCAAATTCTATCTATATGTTGGTTTATAAACCCCATGAACTATAGTTGTAAATCAACGCTAGTTCACCAAGTTCTTTGCGCCAACTTAGCGTTCGGGAGCTTCACCGTATCAGAATGCCATCATGGGAATCCCTAAGCAAAGAGGAGAGAATGACGGAGGGTTTGGCACACTTCTCAGATATGTTTATGGGAAGCATTGGGAAACACAAAAAGGTATAATGGTATATATATATATATAGAGTTTGATGGCTTTGTAAATCGTTTTTAGGGAAACATTAATATTTAGTTCCATGGGTTTCTTCAAATTCACTTACGGCTCCAGTTTATGCCATCTGTAGCTACGACAAGGACGTGCATGATCTCCAATCTCAGTTTCCTGGTTGGCTGTTGCTGGTTGATTATATGTTGAAAACATCGTTGGATGGAAAACCACCAAGTGTTGGTTTGAGGAACTCACGAATAATCATGTGTTAGACCCAACAATTGACAAATAGGTGTTGGGTATACCCCTAGTAAGTTAGTCATGGGATTATGTTTTCATTATTCCCCTGCAATGGTTGGTTTCTGGCGTTGCTTTCTTAGTGTGTTTACGGGGATACTCTCAGCACGGTTTGCTCTGGGTAGGGACCATTTACAAACTGGGTCACACATCCATGTTTGGTTGGTGCTTTGGAACATGAATTTTATTTTCAATAGTTAGGATGATGATCCAATCTGACGAACTCATATTTTTCAGGGGGGTAGGCTTGAAACAACCAATTAGATGTGCATGTCCCTCTGGTAAACTAACATAACTATGGAAAATCACCATTTTCAATGGGCAAATCAACTATTTCTATGGCCATTTTCTATGTCGCAAACTGTAACATTTTTTTCCAGAGGGTAAACACATCATCATTTTCCCCATGATATTCCCATTGTATTACCATAAAAAAAAACAGACTTTTTCATGGTGAATCCCCTATTTGTTGATGGTGACAAAACCACCATGAAATCACCAGGTGCCCGGCGAGTTGTCGGATCCCGCAGGTGCCCAGCGACTTCACCCCGGCGGGCCGCGCGGCACCGGTCTTGGAGTCACTGCGGAAGCTGCAGCTGCTGGAGGCGCAGATCATCGCAGATCTCCCAGTGAATTTCGAAGAAATGCAAAACTCTGGGAATGGTTACTATAAAATAACCACATATCTATAATGGTATCATTAATGGTATAGTAACATTGCGTGGTAACATTAATATAGGTAACCATAGATATCATTCCATTATATAGATGTATACCATTATTAATGATAACCACATATCTATAGAACTGATTCCATTTTGATGATTGACAGATATCTATAGATATTTAAGCATTAATAATAATGTCCAGTGATAAAATTCATGATATCTATAACTATCATTAATGATTGATATCTATAGATACCTATAGTTTTTTTTAAAAAAAATAATAAATAAACCTCACAGTCATATAACTTGTAACTGTTGTATATAAACATAGTCATACTATGTCATACTCCATAGTTTTAGGTGGTTAGCAACCATAGTTAACTATAAACATCCGCTTAGTTTCAGTTCGGGTATTTCCCAGCTAGCCACGTTTGATTACTGGAGGGTAACGGATATGATACCCTCTGGTTATTTAACATATATAATCATATATATATATAGCTGCTGGCTATGGAAAATCATTGTTTTTGAGAGGCAAATAATCATCTGATTGGTGGTTTGGAACACTTTTTATTTTTTCCATATATTGGGAATAATCATCCCAACTGACTTTCATATTTTTCAGAGGGGTAGGTATACCACCAACCAGATCATGTTGATCATCTATCAGTGGGCCACCTATACCATAGCTGTGTTGCATCACCAGAGGGTGCGACGATGATCGTTTGAGGTGAGACACCCAGGAAACCATCGGAACATGGTGATTTCACCAAGAAAATGATGACTTCTGGATTAATAAACTGAATAATATGATTAATATGAGTGTTAACCTTTTTTTTTTAATTTTTTTGGTAACCATAGTTATAGGATTACCACACCCTTAGCCGCTTAGCCTGTTTTTGTTCAGGGGGGACCTGGCAACATGTGACTTACATGTTTCGGCGGATTCATTGTAACTTAAAAGCTGTCAGGCACCAAACATCAAGGATTAAAAATGTAAGTAGCCAACCCCTACGCCATGGTCCCTGGTCAAAGATTTTTTTAGTATCCCCCAGGAATACATCAGGCATGCTGTGACCATGGAAATAGGGGGCAGCCAACAAATTGTAACTTGCATTTTTTCTGCCCCCTCCGTTTTTGGTATCTGACCACATTTGGCTGGCCACAGCAGTTTTCTCTTCCGAGCGCGGCTTGATGCTTCATTTTGATCCATTCCAAACCCTCCCCCCCAATGTTGGGAAGCATGGGCAGCCCGAACGAAGCATGGGCAGCCCAAATCCTTCAACATCTTCAAGGTACCCCGGGAATCCTAGTAGGGAACAATGATGTAAGGTCCCTTGGGGCAGGTTCCCAACACCTGCATTTTTTCAACAAGACCTCAGTCACCAACTTATATTTTCCATGGCCCATCACCCAACACCACTGCCGGAATCTGTTCTTATTTTTTCCATAAAATTTGCATCTTCAAAAATATAACTTACATTTAGGAAGGTTTTACCTTCTGAATGTAATATTACATGTTTTAGGTCCCTCCACATTTCAGAGGGACCTCCCTAAATGCAAGTTACATTTTTGAAGGTACTGATTTCATGTTTTTTTTGGGGGGGAGAATGTAAGTTACATTTTTGAAGGTTTTACCTACCCCAAATGTAAGTGACATTTCGGGGAGGGCCCCTCAACGGTAGGGGCGTTATAGGCCATAGTTATAAGTGATTAATAACCATATTTTGATATTTATTAATTTAATAATCCATAGTTTAGAGTTAATAGCCATATTAAATAACAATAATTAAGTGATTCTGGTTGGTGGCTTGGAACATTTTTTATATTTCCATATATTGGGAATAGTAAACCCAACCGACTAATATTTTTCAGAAGGGGTTGAAACCACCAACCAGGATTTATAATTTCACAACCATAGTTAAAAAAATACGTGATAGCCATGGTCGACCATAGTTGACCATTTCTTATAAGGTGAGGAGAATCACTGATAGCGTTCGTTCGTTGATGACTTGGTGAACTTGGGTTGATTAGGGTGATAATCATGTTAGAAATGGTGATAATCATGGGAATTCTTGGGTATATGATGGGTATACCCAAATGCGCCAATTTATGATTAGGAAGTAAATTTTATGATTAGGTTAACCAAGTCATTAGGATCAATGATAACTTGATTAACTTGGAGCATGTGGTTAACCTGTTAAATTTATGATTAGGATCTATACCCAAATACGAACCATTGTGCTGGAATATTTACCAACATTTACCCGAACAAAATCACCCAGTTTTGTAGGTAAATATACCATACATGGAGCATATGGGACAGCAAATGGATTTTGAAACCAGTTTATAATCATCCTGGGGTAGATAGAATATGGATGACTATGGCAATAATGATAATAATAGCATCCTGACTGAATGGGAATATGTTTGTATAACTACTTCAGGAATATATATATATATATATATATACACTGTATACTATATATAACTAGATGTTTATACACGTGTTTAACACGTTGATATATGATAGACAGATAGATATGTATAATGTAATGGGCGAAGGCTGGGGGTTCCCCGGAAGCCAAAGGCATTTTATTTGTATGGATATGGAAAATGTTGATTTTACACTGTGTTTTACAGTGTTTTATGCTTTTCTCTGAAAGTGTTCGATCAGCCAAAGTTTCAATGTCGGCGCGGATAAACTTGACGTTTGTCCGCGCAGAAAAATGATAAATTTACATCTTCCATGGATGGCCAAAAATGTGTGCAACATTCTAACCAATGGAATTGCGGTTTCATGCATTTTTGGTTGTTTTGTTGATAACTAGAAAATGTCATAATTCACTGGAGAACCATGGACGAAATGAACATCACACCTTTTTCATCTTCATGTCCACAAAGGCTTTTTGAAGCAGTTGCTTGGAGCGAGAGCAACAACGATACTTACAACGTAACAACATCGTCAACGAAGCAACATCCTCAAGGTTTCCACAAGTCTGAATCCAACGCGCTCCACATGACGTTATTACACCCCCCCCACCCCCCTTCTGTAAACAACAACGTAATACTTGCAACGTAACAACGTCTTCAACGAAGCAACATCCTCAAGGTTTCCACAACTCTCAATGCAACGCACTCCACATGACGTTATTACACGCCCCCCGCCCCCCCACCCCCCATCTCTATACAATAACGACGTTTGTAGTATAGGCTCAAGACTGAGGGTTTCTGGAAGCTCCGGGGAACCCCCAGCCTTGAGCCTATATATATATATACATACACTGTATACTATATATAACTAGATGTTTGTACACGTGTTTAACACGTTTATATGATATACAGATAGATATGTATAATGTAAATATAGAGTATCCAGTTACACAACATAAACATAATGTACATGTACATCTCATACATATGTTTATTCACATATTGTATACAAATCGCATATTTATACTGTATACATCTACTAAGTTCTACCGGATACCCACCGTTTTCAGGTGCAGCATGCCGAGCTTCTGCAGCAAAGAGATCAGGAGTCGAAGGCAACGACGTTTTTTTTTACTAATTGGGAGATGGTGCAGCAGGTTTGGAAAATCACTTTTTATTGGTAAATGATGAAAATAATGCTCAAAATCAGTTTTCAATATGCTATAATTTATATGTTTGGTAAAAATGATCATGTTTATCATCTGGAAATGGACCTCGACAAAAAATGGCTATGCTAAATTAAACCGGTATCACCGGTATCGTCATGGCACCTGAGAAATTCATAGGGCCCATTGACTTGACCATTTCATGGGGAAGTGTTTCTTGGTAAACCAGATGCGAACCATGGTGCTGGAATATTTACCATGACTGGGCCATAAAAATGGGGTTTCCATGGTGCGGTAAATATTCCACCATGGTTCGCATCTGGGTTTACCAGCATGACGTCTGTTTCTTGGAGAAACAGGCTGACTGTTGTGGCGCAGGCGACTGCAACTGCCGAGGAGATGCGCGAGTCCTTTTCGCCATGCAGTATGATGGGGGTTCCAGTCACATGCGAAAACCATGGGACCATGGCCATAAAAAAAGGTATCAGGAAATGATCCCCGCTACCATCTGGTTATTTAACATAGCCATGGAAAATCACCTTTTTTAATAGGTAAACCATCTATAAATGGGCCATTTTCCATGGCTGTGTTAAATAACCAGAGGGTAATGAATCGTGAAGAACTGATGATTCAAATCTGACAGTTCTGGAAATTTTCACATGACTCAGAGGAACACTTGGCAGTGCAACACTACAATGGAGATTTAGACAGTTTAGACACAAACAAAAAATGGGACATGGATGAACGAACCAGCACTTGATTTAGATGTGAGTGTGGGTCAAATTTACAAGACCCTTAGAAATCGTTTGTTTGGCTGCAACCGGAGGGTCAAGGGCTATTGGTTTTGTGGAGACAAGTGAATTTAATTTCACGAACATTCTTTCAATCAGATTTGTTTCTCTTGATACAAACATCTTCCAGCCAAAACTTACATCGTCAACACATCAATCGCAAACCAGACAAAGGATAGAATCGATGGAACATTGATATGATCAAAAAAAATAGATAGGATTTTCGGAATTGACCACGAATTTTACAATGTTTTTTACCATTTTCTTTTGAATTTAACCATGAATTTTTGAATTTTACCATGGATTTTAGAATTTTTTACCAGGTTTTGTTTAAATAATTTTACCAAGAATTTTAGAATGTTTCCATGAATTTTAGAATTTTACCATGAATTTACCATGACCTTCCCATCGATTTTTGGGTTGCCCCTGGTCAGAGGTTGATGTTGCTCTACGACTCTGAGCTCGAGGTGCGGCGCTAATGGACATGTGGAGGTTTCCTGAAATGGGGGTACCCCATAGTTATATATCATCCATTTCTAGATGGGATTTTCCATTAGAAACCATCATCGAAATGGGATATCCCCATTTCAGGAAACCCCCATATATATATACACTGGGTATTACTGGGTCAAGCTTGGTTAGATACTTTATATATTTTTATATAGTACTATATATAATCTTTTGCCATCAATGGAAAAATGTACGGACCAGCAGCAAAAAATGGTTGTTTGCCAGGTATCTGAGATTCACCATCAATTCCATGGGGATATTTTTTTTGGGGACAATCAGCACACATTTGGGGTTATGAATTGCTTTAATTGATGAATGACGATTGATTGATGGTTATTGGGGTCAGACTACCTATTTGATTGGGCACTACTTATTTCACATGAACTGGGAACCCCCCTTTTCGAAGCAGTCACTAAAACGAGGACGTCTACCCATGAAAACGTCATTGCACATCTCTGCAAGTTTGGGTTCGTGGGATGATGATAGAAATATACCCAACGGTGGTCTACTTATTCGAATGTGCTTTTTCTTCCTACTTGGACAGTGCGGAAATCTTTAGACGGTGTTGCCCACTAAAAAAGCACTTGTTTATACATCCATCCAACAGTATAGTCATTTCATCAGCACAAATCCAACAGTCAAGCTACAGGTATGGCTCTTTACAAGTCATAAGTTATAAGTCAAGTATAAACCCATTCATGGAAATATAACAACACCTTTATAATTGGTAATGACATAACATAGCTATGTGGCTAAATAATCCCAGTAATACTCCCATGATTACTCCCATCACCATTAATATATCATTACATCAGGTGAGAACTTATATAACTATAACATAGCACAACATAGTATAGCATGGCTACACAATCCCAATGATAACATAACTAAATAATTTCTAACATATTCAATATATCAATACTGGTTGGTGGTTTGGATCATTTTTTCCCGAATGCGTAGCAAGGGTTCCCGTTTCACTCTGGGGGTCTGGGGGTTGAGAGTGTGTTCGCTCGACGTTGCGTCCGCGTCCGCAACCGTTCGCAACCGTTCGCAACCGTCCGCAACCGTTCGTACGAACTCCGTATGGCCGTGCCTATGGGAAGTTTTGCAGAGGTGGTCCTTTTTGGAGGTTTCAGACGTCTGGTTGCTTCGTTTCGCGTGGCAGGCGTGGCACTTTGTGACATTCAGACGTGTTCTGCAACGTGTCGAAAGTCGTTTCGCGTGGCAGGCGCAATACTTTTGCGACGCTTTCAGAAGATGTGTTGCAGTTTTCGTGGCAGGCGCAGCACTTTGGACGTGTCCATCGTCATTTTTCGTGGCAGGCGCAGCACTTTAGACGTGTCCTTTTGCGTGTTTTTTGTAAATCGCATTGGCAGGGCTGCGTCAAGTGGTGCCAAGGTGCAAATTCCGTGGCAGGCGTGGCATTTTCTCACATGTGTTGAAAATTGACGGAAGCCTCGCACGAAACATCGATTTTGATGTTACAAATTTTCAGGTTCTAAGGAAAACTCGTGGGAAAACGTCGATTTTGGAGCTGCAAAGTATGAAAATTGGAGGAAGTCTCGCACGAAATGCTCGTTTTGGTGCTCCCACCTGTCTCGTCTCGAGTCTCTGGTTTCCTGTGGCCTCGCCGTGTCTATGGGGGAAGCTGCAAAACTTGTCCTTTTGTCATGTTGCCAACTGTGAAAATTGGAGGATGTCTCGTACGAAATGATCGTTTTGGTGCTCCCACGTGTCTCGTCTCGAGTCTCTGGTTTTCCTGTGGCTTCGCCGTGTCTATGGGGGAAGCCGCAAAACATCTCCTTTTCGAAGGTTTCCAAGGAAGTTGTCATGTCATTTTGCGTGGCAGGCGTGGCACTTTGTGACATTCCAACCTGTTTGATAATGTGTCAAAAATGTCAAAATTGGAGGAAGTCTCGTACGAAATGCTGGTTTTTCTGCATCCACGTGTCTTGTCTCGAGTCGCTGGTTTTCCTGTGGCGTCGCCGTGTCTATGGGGGAAGCTGCAAAACCATGCAAAACCTCTCCTTTTCGAAGGTTTCCAAGCAGGTTGTCATGCCGTTTTGCGTGGCAGGCGTGGCACTTTGTGACATTCCAACCTGTTTGATAACATGTGGAAAATGTCAAAATTGGAGGAAGTCCCGCACGAAATGCTGGTTTTTCTGCACCCACGTGTCTCGTCTCGAGTCTCTCGTTTTCCTGTGGCGTCGCCGTGTCTATGGGGGAAGCTTCGCACTCCACACTCTACACTCCACACTACACAATTTACACTTTAGACTCCACACTCTACACTTTACACTCCACACTTTACACTTTGCACTTTACACTCCTCACTCCTCACTTGAGACCTTACACTCCACACTCCACACTTTACACTCCACATTCCTCACTCTACACTTTACACTCCACACTCTACACTTTACACTCTACACTCCACACTCTACACTTTACACTCTGAACTATACACTCCACACTCCACACTCTACACTTTACACACTCCACACTCCTCACTCCTCACTCCACACTCCACACTCTACACTCCACACTCCTCACTTTACACTCCACACTCCACACTCCACACTCTACACTCTCCACTCCACACTCCACACTTTACACTCCACACTCCACACTTTGCACTCTACACTCATCACTTCACACTCCACACTTTACAATCCACAGTCCTCACTTTACACTCCACACTTCGCACTCTACACTTTCCACTCCACACTCCCCACTCCACACTTTAGACTCCAAACTCCTCACTCCACACTCTACACTTTACACTCTACACTCCACACACTGCACTTTACACTCTACAGTTTACACTCTACACTCCACTATCCACACTTTGCACGCTACACACCACACTTTACATTTTACACTCCACACTCTACACTCCACACTCTACACTCCACACTCCAAACTCTAGACTCTACACTTTACACTCCACACTCCACACTTGACACTTTACAGTCCACACTCCTCACTCCACACTCTACATTCCACACTCCTCACTTTACACTCCACACTCCACACTCTACACTTTCCACTCCACACACCACACTTTACACTCCACACTTTACACTTTCCACTTTACACTCCTCACTCCACACTTTCCACTCCGCACTCCACTCTTTACACTCCACACTCTACACTTTACACTCTACACTCCACACTATACACTTTACACTCTACACTTTACACTCGACACTCCACACTTTACATTTTACACTCCACACTCTACACTCCACACTCTACACTCCACACTCCACACTTTACACTTTACACTCCACACTCCTCACTCCACACTCTAGACTCCACACTCCTCACTTTACACTCCACATTCTACACTTTCCACTCCACACTCCACACTCCAAACTTTACACTCCACACTGTACACTCCACACTTTACACTACACTCCACACTCCTTTTTTACACTCCACACTTTACACTTTACACTCCTCACTTCACACTCCACACTCTACACTCCACCTTCCTCACTTTACACTCCACACTCATCACTTCACACTCCACACTTTACAATCCACAGTCCTCACTTTACACTCCACACTTCGCACTCTACACTTTCCACTCCACACTCCACACTCCCCACTCCACACTTTAGACTCCAAACTCCTCACTCCACACTCTACACTTTACACTCTACACTCCACACACTGCACTTTACACTCTACAGTTTACACTCTACACTCCACAGTCCACACTTTGCACTCTACACACCACACTTTACATTTTACACTCCACACTCTACACTCCACACTCTACACTTTCCACTCCACACTCCACACTCCAAACTCTAGACTCTACACTTTACACTCCACACTCCACACTTGACACTTTACAGTCCACACTCCTCACTCCACACTCTACATTCCACACTCCTCACTTTACACTCCACACTCCACACTCCACACTCTACACTTTCCACTCCACACACCACACTTTACACTCCACATTTTACACTTTCCACTTTACACTCCTCACTCCACACTTTCCACTCCGCACTCCACTCTTTACACTCCACACTTCACACTTTACACTCCTCACTCCACACTCTACACTTTACACTCTACACTCCACACTATACACTTTACACTCTACACTTTACACTCGACACTCCACACTTTACATTTTACACTCCACACTCTACACTCCACACTCTACACTTTACACTCCACACTCCACACTTTACACTTTACACTCCACACTCCTCACTCCACACTCTAGACTCCACACTCCTCACTTACACATTCTACACTTTCCACTCCACACTCCACACTCCAAACTTTACACTCCACACTGTACACTCCACACTTTACACTACACTCCACACTCCTTTTTTACACTCCACACTTTACACTTCACACTCCTCACTTCACACTCCACACTCTACACTCCACCTTCCTCACTTTACACTCCACACTTTCCACTCCGCACTCCACACTCCACGCTTTACACTCCGCACTTTACACTCCACACTCTACACTTTACACACTCCTCACTTTACACTCCACACTCCACACTTCACATTCTACACTTTCCACTCCGCACTCCACACTCTACACTTTACACTCCACACTTGACAGTCCTCACTCCACACTCTACACTTTACACTCCACACTCCACACTCTACACTTTACACTCTTCACTTTACACTTTTCACTCCACACTCCACACTCCACAGTCTACACTTTACACTACACACTCCACACTTTACACTCCTCACTCCACACTTTACACTCTACAATTTACAAACTCCACGCTCCCCACTGCACACTCCACACTCCACACTTTACACACTCTACACTCCCCACTCCACACTTTATACTTCGCACTCCTTACTTTACACTCCGCACTCCACACTCCACACTTTACACTCCACACTCTACACTTTCCACTCCACACTGCAGACTGGTAACAGGGGAAATATGAACAAGACTGTTCAAATAAACGATTGCAGGAAAGTGTTGTGCGTGACTGCATATCCATGTGTTTCCACATCTGTACCAGTAACATGCGTGTGAGCATTCGGGTTCGTGGGCTTCATCTTGTTTATTTGTCCATATAGTGGGAATAATCATCCCAACTGACTAATATTTTTCAGATGGGTTGAAACCACCAACCATAATATATATATATATATGTGATAGATGTATAGATAGATGTATAGATAGATAGATAGATAGATAGAAAATCCCGGTAATATTCCCAGCCAGGGTAAATCATTGGCGATACCTGGCGACACATGCCGTCAAAAACGCGTCGCCAGGCCGCAGAGAGTCGGCTCAACGGCTTCAGTGAGATGCTGGAGCAGGACGCCCCAAAACGCGTTTGTAAAAGGTGGTGCCCCCCCCAGTGATGTTTGTTGGTTTACAACCCCATGAACAGTATGGGTATATGTTATTATCTATACCTTGTTTATAGTATAGTAGGTATATTATGGTTTATACCTTGTTTATAGTATGGTGAACAGTATATCTACTATAAACCCAAGTTATTATTGGAGTTATGTTCACCAAGTTAGCGATTTCGTAAACGGGGCACCACCTTTTATAAATGGGTATAAATGGTTATAAATCACCAATATGACTACTAATCAAACCCTAGAAACCAATGATGTTTATGGTTATCAATGGGGGTATCATGTCATAAATGGGGTAATTTCACTGACTTCAAAGTGGTAAAGGGCCATAACTCCATAACTTTATGGAGAAACAACATGGATGTGTGGGAACATAGGGAATTTTATTCATTATATTGAATATTGCATGTGTTTATCTGGAAAATGATGATAAACTGCTTGATTGTGGGGTGCCCTGTTTTCAGACATTTGTGTTTTTTTTCAAAATAATCATTTGGTGGGTGTTCTTTTCTGTTTCTCTTCGAACAGGGGTTTGTTTCTTTTCCCGCATTAGTTTGTTTCTTGTTTTATGAAAGCCAGTGGTTTCCCCAGCGAAATCATCTGCAAATGGTGGATTTTTATTTTATCCTACTGTAATGGATTGCAGCATTAATATACAGTAAATAGGATTATCCATTACTCTAAAGGGTCAAAATCCACTGGACCGTAATTGTAATTGTTATTTTTTGAAACTTTTAAGTATTTTCTTGGAAACCCCATAGAAAGGAGGATGTTTGGTCAACCCGAAGTTCCCTTGGAAGAATCCGCCCGTAAAATTCGATGCGCCGCCCTGCAGGAACTGCTGATTTTTCAGCGCGAGGAGTTGCGCGGCGATCGCTTGGAGGAACTCGATGCAGCGGCCAATGGCAGCTTGACGAAAGGCTGGTGCTGGAGATTCACCAGCGACAACCCTCAATTTGACATAGAACCCACCAATAATGACCATGATCCGGAAAAAACACATCCAAACCTGTTTTTTGAGCTGTTTGGTGGTTCATCTTGAATTTGGTATTTGGGGGGTGTAAATATCGAGAACACCTGGGAAGCAATTATTGGAGATGGGGAAAACAAGTGGATGGATAGCCGACCAACCAAACGTTATATTTGTTACTTGTTGGTTATCTAACCGAACCCCATCCAATTGGTTGGAAATATATGTCCGATAAACCACACCAAAGCTAGCAGCTAGTGAAATAGACCAGTTTAGCGAAGGATTTGGGAGGGCACCACCAGGACAGGGAAAGATTGGTTATCTTAAGTTATTCAGATTCAATCATATTCAAATCATTTTTGGTGGTGCAACTGTAAATAAGTTACGTAATTCGAATGTGTGGGTTAAACATATAGATATGCGGGCAAAATGCTACATTTGGTTGAAAGGAAAGTTCAAGGTTGAAACCTGAGGTTTGATGTAGAAAATATAGTTTTCTGCATTGTTTGTTAGGTAGACCAATCCATGGAGGGGGGGGGTTGTACTCTGAATATCTGAATCAGGATTGGGAAATTGTCCCAAAATGATATGTTGGATTGGTGAATTACGAAATAATGTCCAGTTGTTTATTTGTGAGGAGGTAAACTAAGTTACGTTAAATATTGACCGATTGATGGGGTATGATGTTTAATGATTTTCCCGGAAAATTGGGGTTGGTTTTAAACCAAGTTAAACCCAATGACATCCATGAAAATCCTTGGAACACAAGGTGATTACACGCATAAAGGAAGGACACGTCAGTTGAAACCACAGTTAACTTAGTGACATAGACATAAAATGACATAAACCAAGAGAAATCTCCATTGTTTTGGGGGCCCTGATTTGTGGTTCCTGTTCGAACTTGCATAATCCTCAGTGACTTTGAAATCAATGGGGGTTGAAATCGCCCAGAAGTCATGTCGTCATGTCTATGGCCCCCTTTTGTTGGTGCAGTAAGGGTTTCAAACGAGATGGACATAGACATAAACACATAGAAACCGTTAGTGCTAGCCGTTAAGGATATGGTCATGACTAACCGTTCTCACATTCTTAACAAAAGTCTTCCAACTTGAGAAGAGTTAGTCATTTCTATAGGCAATTCATCCGCATCCGCATCCGGAATATTCCGGAATCCTATGGCGCCATGTTCAGAGGGATCCCACCGGCGCACACGCGAACTGAAAATCAAATGTGTTTGGAGGTTGGTACAATTCCTGAAATTACCGGTCTGTAGGACCATGATACCAAACTGTATGTGTTGCAAAATGGGCCCACCAGCCATATATCGTGCTTGTTCACTCAGCGGACTCAGCACCTGCACAATGTTAAACAGCACAGTCAAACTCGCGACTCTTCAAGCACCCATTTAACGAAAGAGTTTCCAACACTCAGAATACGTTTGCGTTCACTGAAATACCTGGAGCAAAACACCACTTAAGCTCAATATGATCCAATATGTGTCGACAAAATAAAGCCATACTTTTCTCCTACCCAAAATATTAGATGATTTTCCCAGTACAGCACCTTGCCGTGTTTGATTGCATCATATTCCCAAAATCTCGCAGGAATCGCACCATTTTGAGGTCGCGACGCCGTATTGGAGTTAATGCCTGGTGTGGGGGGACAGGACGACGCCGTATTGGAGGAAATCTGCCTGGTGTGGGGGGACAGGACTCAGCCTGGGAAATCTGGGAATGGTGTTTGGTCCGGTTGTGGAGAAGTGACAAAGCATCGTGTTCTATTAAACAGTTGCAACAAGTTCGAAGGTATATATAGCCTTCAAGCCGGTCCTCTGCAATTACAAGTTTGTTTATAACCCGCATTAACTTTACTTATTTCAAAACTTATTTCATCATCACTAACCCAACAGTTAACCTACAAAACAACTTAGCCAACGATTGTGTATTGCGTGTTGCTGACCTTATAATGACTGCTGTACAATCAGCCTAGTTTCCGCGTCCCCCAACTGGCTTATCCCCTGACTTGGTTATGTGGTTATGCACTGTTCCGCCTCGACCGCAACCCGCGTTGGCTGAAGCCGCTTTCGGCGCGTTCTGTGTTGAAGCTGCGGCACGGCCTGCAGAGCCGCTGCAGGATGCTGCGTCTTGGTGACTGGCATGGGATCATGGGGAGATTTCATAGGAATACATAGTAGTTATAATGTTTTATAGAGAAGTATTTTTATTAGATTATTAGATTAGATACTTGTTTTTTAAATGGTATTTATCCGTGTCCAACCATTCTCAAAATGGTAATTAATTATTATAACTACCAAACATAGGGGTTAACATGGCTTAAGCCATCCTGAAATTGGCGGTTAATCGAATGTGAAGGGATACATATACTCTATATATATATATATAATAATGATATATTGTTATTATTAGTATTATCAATTACTAACAAATTTAACATATCATATCATATCATATTATATTATATTATATTAATTATATTTTATTATATTATATTATGTTAATTACATCATATTATATTATATTATGTTATATTATATTATATTATATTTTATTTTATTATATTTGCATTTAAACATGATTTTTTCATGGTGATTGGCACAGAAAAGTTGTTTTTTTTTTAATGGGATAGCTGCCAGCAGCCATTCCATCGTGAAAGTGGCGCATCCATCCTCAGGATGTAGCGGGTTTCATCAAACATGGTCTCAATGGGAGATCTTCAGGATCCAATACATGGAGGTACGTAAACGTACCACATTGTTGGCCATAGTTTGCTGGGGATATTCGGATATTCCCTGAAATTTAGGCCTGAACCATAGGCCAAAAATATATGGTACAATGTGAGGCCCCCAAGATAGCTAAGTTGGTGCAAATAACTCCAATAACTATGGTTTATGGTACTTATAACTATAGTTACTGGGGCTTATAAACCAACTTACAACTGGGGGGCCTCACATTGTAGGTACCTCCAATCAATCGGATCCTGAAATGGCCATTGATGGTGGTGAATCAGGCGGATTAGCCATGAAGGCCATCCTGTTCAATAGGGATTCAGCCGAGGGCTGGCAGGGATGGAAGAAATCCCTCGCGGCGGAGAGATCTTGACTTTTGTGCTGAGCATTCCTTGGTTTTATTCCTACTCAGGTAGTTTATGGCATTTTGGTTGGCAAGTGTTACTAGGTTACATAGATACTGATCGCTTGGCAACTACGTAGGACAAAACCATCGAGTAGATTGAATTGACTGAACATAACTGGTTGGTGGTTTCAAACAAAAAATGTATTTTCCATTTCATATATGGGTTGTCATCCTTCCTATTGACTCACCAACCAGATAATGTGTCCATAATAGCTCAGTTTATGGTGGTTTATGGCTGGAAAATATGATTGATTGTGATCTCTGTTGACACAAAGTGGCCCAAACGATTGGCAACTTGGGTGAAACGACCAGATCGTGGGGTATCTGCAGATCTACAGATAATCTGATCAATCTGATAATGACTGATAATGACATGGCTAGCAGGTTGGTTTATGGGACATGTATCTACAGTTAGAGTTAGATCGGTGAACGCAAAGTGGCAAAGAGCCTGAAACTGTTTTGCGGGGGCCACTTCGTTCGCATATCCCAGTCAGAATGGTGCGCCGAAAGGGCTGACCACATATGGTTCATGCATGGTATATGTGCGAATATGTTCCCAGCAAGAATTATGCCATTTTCTGCCTATGCAAATGTATACCCCTCGGCAATTTCAATACCAGTACCCATAGGATCCATGGTGCTGGTATTATATATGCTAACATTTGGGGTATATTGATGGGATCCATGTTACCATATATAGCAGCACCATGGATCCGTCATGGGGTACTGACTAACCCATGGGATTAGAATTATTAGAATTACGGCAGTCAATGTTCAGAAGATTTTTCGCGAAACATTTTGCAGATCTCTGGGGCAATCCCCAGTCCCCTATAGGTCCTGTTGTTGTGTGGCGGGCGAGAACAAGTCGGACGAGGCCCAGTCACCTGTTTGGGCCCGCGAATCTGAAGCACCAACGTTTTAAGCCCCTTGGGGCTTAGCCGCTAGGATTGGGTTCACCTGTGGGCTTATGAAAAAAATTCCATTTTTCAGTACTGTAAACCTTGGGTCATTCATGGGATTTCAGAGCCATTCTGATGATGAATTCAATATCGGAAAGGGTCCCTATAGTTATAATTGAGTTGGTTTACAACCCCATTCAATGGTGCAACTATTACTTAAAATCACCAGGAACCATAATCAATCTCTAGTCATGATTATATATGTATATAGATAGTTCATCCAACAGAAACCTATTGCCTGGGGGCTCCGTATGTTATTTCTTGACTGAAAAGTCGCAAGTGACAGAGTCCTGGATGTACGACTTTGTGCACACAACTATACTGTGTAGGTTGATTTCACCGAAATATGTTCACTGGTTGGTGGTTTGGAACCATGGAATTTTATGACTGTCCATTCAGGAATAATCATCATCCCAACTGACTTGAACACTCCATCATTTTTCGGGGTAGGTTGTTTTACCACCAAGCAGATTCTTATTAACCATCATTAACCATTAATATTAACCAGTAATATATCCCATTAATATTAACAGTATATTAACCATTAATATTAACAGTATATTACAGTAACCATTTAATATTAGCAGTATATTAACCAACAGTTTCCATCTTCGCAGAAAGAGTTGCAACTGAAATCCCCAGTTGCAAGTAAGTGAGTGACTGGAGCCACTGGAGCCATTGGACACGCCAGGTCACCATCAAGAAAACACCATTTGGGATCCAGGAGCTGTGCAGCAGCGGTTGTCAACCATGGTGAGTCGAACTACGACACCAATGGGTTTTTTGAATGGGTAAAGAAATGATGATGTGATTGGTGTTGTGTTTCATTTTTCTTCCACATTTGCTGTGAATTGCTGTGCTTAGTATTGGTGCTTCAAGCTGCTTTGTCCGACTGGGATGTTTCATTGGAATGGGAGGATGAGGATGGTGGTGCTACCACCATGCTTACCGAGAATGCCTTGCAGCCAGAGGACAGAACTGACATGATCATGGGGTATCATGGGTCAATTGGAAATTTTAATCAGTAACTTTGGGTTCATCCTGCAAGACAACACACTCTCTTAACTATTATGTCCATTGACAACTTTGTGGTTTCAAAAAATAACAAAATTTTAGAAGCTCCTGAACATGTTTATAAAGTGTTTATCCGATCCTACATACATATTGTTGATGACTGTTGTTCATTGCAAGATCTTCTCCTGGCTTTGTTTACCGCAGGAAAGCCATGGTGCTAGGATTCGAACCCTTCAAAGGTGACCTCCTTGCTATGTTTTTTTAGGCTTTACCAAGCACCAACAAGCACCAAGTGAGGGGCGCCTTCAGCGGCGCATGGATTTTTTTTGGGTGGTTTCACTTTCGTTGAGACTGCGGGTGGATTGAATTAATTCCCGTGATCTTCCCAAGGTCCATGGTTTTCTGGTCGCCCATTCGGCTAACACACGCACATGCACCCTAAAAAGATGAAATGGCAAGTTATTGGCTTTAAGTTTTGAGTCGTTGATTTTCGTAACCATAGTTCCCCACCTGCCAGGTGAGGGTTGTTAGATTTTATGTCAGTTGCCTCCTCCTCCTGCTCCTCCTGCTCCTCCTCCTCCTGCTCCTCCTCCTCCTCCGCCTCCTCCTGCCTCGTCCTCCTCCTCCTCGTCCTCCTTGTCATCCTTGTCGTCCTTGCTCAACTGCGACCCGCGATCCACAGTGTTCTCTGCCGGACCTCAACCACGACCACCCACGCCCAGTGTTCCCTGCCGGACCTCAACCACGACCATCCACGCCCAGTGTTCCCTGCCGGACCTCAACCACGACCATCCACGCCCAGTGTTCCCTGCCGGACCTCAACCACGACCATCCCCGGCCAGTGTTCCCTGCCGGACCTCAACCACGACCATCCACGCCCAGTGTTCCCTGCCGGACCTCAACCGCGAGTATCCACGCCAAGTGTTCCCTGCCGGACCTCATGTAGGAAGATATGGGACAAAGAATGTGCAGAAGAAAGTTAGAAAGAATGCCAAATAGAATGCCAGATAGAATGCCAGAAGATATGTCAGAATATATGCCAGAAGATATGCCAGATAGAATGCCAGATAATATGCCAGAAGATTTGCCAGATGGAATGCCAGATAGAATGCCAGAAGATTTGCCAGAAAATATGCCAGAAGATATGCCAGATAGATATGCCAGAAGATATGCCAGAAGATATGCCAGAAGATATGTCAGAATATATGCCAGAAGATATGTCAGATAGAATGCCAAAAGATATGTCAGAATATATGCCAGAAGATATGCCAGATAGAATGCCAGATTGAATGCCAGAAGATATGTCAGATAGAATGCCAGAAGATATGCCAGATAGAATGCCAGAAGATTTGCCAGATAGAATGCCAGAAGATATGCCAGAAGATATGCCAGATCATATGCCAGAAGATATGCAAGATAGAATGCCAAATAGAATGTCAGAAGATATGTCAGATAGAATGCCAGAAGATTTGCCAGTAAGAAAATGTATAAATGTCATGGTGGGGATCACACGAAGTAAAGTATTTTTTTTATAATGACAATGAATCATGAATACCATGCAACAATCAGACATGGTTATGTTTACATTTCATACGTGATCATACACATTCATAAAACATGGTTGAAAACTGTGATTCTTTGGTTGAAAAGCCCAATTATCTAACATATACATAATATATATATATATATGTACTATGTTATGCATCTATCTGTAGTAAGACATAGAAACCACTAGTCAATAATCTCTAATATCCATACTTGGATGTGGCCTGCTAAGTTGTAAACTGGCAGGATGTCACTAGGCCCCTTTTGATGTTGCTATTGTTTGCCACTATTAGATCAACCACACGGCAATTGAGATAGACATCCAAGATCATCCAAGCTATACACATAGTATTTATATACACATAATCAATCATATTCAATCATAAACATTCATAGCTGATTAATGCCAAAAAAATGATATGTGGATATCCAGATATCGCTGTGAAATATTTCATCATATCAAGCAACGACACAGAGAACAACCCGAGATAACTCGAGGCAAAGAAGCCAAGACATAAATTCTCGACACCTATTGGCTGCCTATATATACACCATGTTCAACCGGTAAGAATCCATAATTTTTGGTTGCTTAAATCACCATATTTTTATATGTTCATTTCCCATGTCATCCCGTTTTTTCGAAAAAAGTCCTCATTTCTACATTTCAAATCCCATTTAATCCGATGTTCAATCCCATAAAATCTCATTAGATTCCATGAAATACATATATTATGATATTAAACAGATATGATATAAATATCCATGAGATTAGACATCACCATGTATTATATATTTCTCTCCAACTGCCGGTTCCACACAACCGAACCTCCCTTCTAATGGAAGCAGCGCCAGGAACCAGCTGATGAACCCATAGGCTTCAAAGATGCTCGGGAGAACGGTCCAGCGGACGCATGTGAAAACGGTGTTTTTTTTGGGGGGGGATCACTGGGAGTGGCGAAATATCAAGAATTGGATTCAAATGGAAGGTTGTGAAAATCCACAATCTATTATTTTTTCGACGATTTATCAACAATAAGAGGTTGTAATAGCAAAATCATCTGTAAATGGAGGTTTTAATGGGAAACACATATAAATATTATTTTTGTTTCAAGATTAAGAGGTTCTAATATTTAATTGCAGAATCCGAAAAATAAATGAATGATACTTGTCCAAAGTCAGGCTTGATTACCAGAGTTTTTGTTTGTGTGTGTTTTCGTGTTCACTGCAATTTGTGGCCTTGATTAGTGCGCCACATCGACACCAGAATTGGTCCTTGATAACCATGAAAATCCACATATATATATATATGTATATATATATGGTTGGTGGTTTGGAACATTTTTTGTTCTTCCATACGTTGGGAATAATCATCCCAACTGACTAATATTTTTCAGAGGGGTAGGTATACCACCAACCAGATATACATACGTAGGTTGGTTGTAGACCATACTAAAACTTCAACGCAGTAATAGGTTATGGTAGTTGTAAACCTAGTGACCTAGTGATGTTCCATGTGGGCCCGTTCTAGTACGAAGCGACTGAATCTCTTCCCCAGAAGCTTGTCACCCCAGCACCGTGCAAGGAAGTTCTCACGGAAGGTGACAGTAGATCCGTCATGAAGAAAATTGAGGCGACGGGGCCTCGTCTTGGCAATAGTGTGGGATGATGTGGCACTGGGGCCCTTCCTTTCCGAAAGTGGGCGTATGCGCCCGGGAATCATAGCTGTATTTGCTCGCCTTCGAAAAAGATCGAAAAATACTGTGGATGGTTGCGAAATCCTGCACCAGTTGATAGGTGGTTTATGTTGTTATTGTTTATCCCATATTTCTAGGCTGTCAACCATCCGTTTGGTGGTGCAGGATTTCCTCCATCCACCGAACATGTCTTTGTTTCTGTTGAATTGCTGATGTTGGAGTACCAATTCGAAAATGTACAGGTCATGGGGAGGTCAATTTGTGCCTGAGAGATTGCATACTAGTCGACTATGATTGCAAATTGTCAAGGCTGATTTCTGTGATTAGAGTATTTTGTGGAATTGAAGGACTTACTTTAATCAAGTTCTTTGAAATCCCAGTATAGATTCAGGATTCCAGTTTGCCGTGAAATACTTGCAGGAATCTTCAATCCGGCAGCTGTGGCTTATGGTAATTGTAACATATTGTAACTGTATTTTGGTGGGGGTATAAACGAACAAACTTTCCTGGGTGTTCCAATCCCTTCAAGCCCATTTCATCCTTATTTCTAATGATTAAAATTCATTCAAATCCCTTTATTGGCCGGTTAGATCCCTACAATGTGAGGCCCCCAAGATAGCTAAGTTGGTGCAAATAACTCCAATAACTATGGTTTATGGTACTAAAAACTATGGTTTATGGTACTTATAACGAACTAGTTACTGGGGCTTTTGTTAACCAACTTACAACTGGGGGGCCTCACATTGTATCGATGCAACGGACCCACAGACCCTCGCCAGGAAGAACCCGAAGTGAGCGAGCCACCGGAGCCGACCAAAGTCGTCGTGGAGTCACCCTTCGAGTGTTTTGGCGGAAGCGTCATGGATGATCAAATGATGAACGTCTGGAAAGGTTGGTTATGTACCCTCTGGTAATTTAACATAGCTATGGAAAATCACAATTTTTTAATGGGAAAATCCACTATAAATGGCCATTTTCAATAGCTATGTTAGTTTACCAGAGGGTATATCCCATGACGGATCCTAACGGTGCTGCTTTTTCTATGGTGCTGCTATATATGGTAACATGGATCCCATCAACAAAAACCCCCCATCAAGAGATAGGGAAATTGATGTCTAAGTTGATACTTTCTGGACTGTCTAAGTCGGATGTTGGAATTCTGAGAAAATTGCTTGGTTAACCAAGGATATTCAGGATATGACACCATACGCCATTTAAGATGGAACCTGATCAATTTGTTGGGTCGGGAAGTCGGGAAGATCTTTTTCCGGACTTAGATTTGGCAATGTTCGGGTTTCTATCGAGATTTCGGGAGTGTAATCATGTGCTTTTATAAGATGTTGGCATACAGCATCACATCATATCACATGATATCCCCACATATCATAACAGGGTCCATGGTTGAGAAATCTGATATGTTGTTTGAATATATACTGAATACCTGTAGCGGTTTTGGATGTTTGGGGGCTCGAACATGGATTCCCATCAAGCGACCTCCCTTGCAAAGGACAATGTTTATTCCCATGAATGCAGACTTATACATATGAATAATATATATATATATACAAGCTGATTCGCTTCATCACAATGTGGATCCCATCAAATTGGATGATTCGACACTTGACATAAACTCGATCTTTTCATATTGATGAACAACGGTTAAAGCACCCATGGTTTCCACCGTATATAACTTTCTAGAAAAGGTCCAGCCATTTGGAGTCTAACCAGCTCTCATCCAGCCCTGAACACCGGCAGTTCAACTGGAATCCCAACTGTTCCAAGTTCTTAATCGTTTTTTGTTCCGGATTGAAATGTGGCCATACATTCGGGCTCCTAAGACACAACCACCTGGGTCCATGAATCGAGATTTATATACCCATTGTATATACTCATTGTGTGTGTGGATTCCCATTCCAGCATGGATTTCCCCATACCCCATGAAAATTGATTCATCGTGATCCCATGGACGCACATTTGGTCCCACCATGGCACGGCAGGTTCGTGGTCAATGTTCGAAAGGCGGGCACTTTCGCTAAGTGGAGATGATCACTATTTGGGCTGCCCAGTAATTTTATGGGGATCTATGAACATCTGGGGTTGACAGTGACCAATTGTTCAATTGTTTATTCATTTATAAAAAACACATGTAGTGTAATATGCTCTTGATGTTTCTGTTTTCTAGAACGTAGCCTATCCAAAAACCATTGTGAACCAATGCTTTAATTATATCAAGCAATGCCCTGCTTCGATATCTCCCAATTTCAGGACGAAACCGTCTTGGAGAAGCCTCAAAAGAAACGTGGGCGTTTCATACTGTCTGTCTTTATTTTGGAGGGCCAGTCAAGGGGTAGGATTCTGGTTGAAACATGTTGAAACTATATACTTGGAAGGGCATCCAAATTCCTGGATTTATTAGATATAGCAAGTGGAGACAGCCTATATGTTTCTGTACATGATTACCATAGTTGTGTTTAATTTACTGTAAGTATATCAGTTGTATAATCATGTACTTAGTAAGCATTACACAGCAGTCTTTTTTGTAGGGACACTGACACTCCTAGAACATTCCTTTATTCATTTTAATTGCAAATTATTCCATTTCATTCCAAATAATTCCACTCCATTCCAATATTTTGTTGTCATCAATATTATTTCATGTTTTTGTTTTTTTGGGTGGATTTGTTTGGAAGTTCATGTATTTTATGTGTTTTTGTTGTTTGTTCTTTCTTTTCTTTTGCTTTGACTTTTTGGATTATGATTCTGGAACTTGTTGTTTGTTTGTTTTTTCTTTGTTAAACAAAAATAACTGTTGGACTGATTTTTGTTCGAGTCTTTTGCAGTTGTTTTGATTTGTTTAAATTTTTGGATTCGTTGTTTTGATATGTGTTGCATTTGTGTTTTAATTGTGTTCGGAATTTTTGAGTTGTATTTTGTTTTCTTTTTTTAAGGATAGCAACTTGTAGGAGTAATCCTTTTAGGAGTAACCCAGCGCTCTTTAATGATTGGTATGTATTTGTATAATTAGGGATATCCCAGATAATTACAACGAAGTCCTCGAAATTTTTACACAAGTTTGACTGACGAAGTCCCCACTTGTCCGAGTTGCCCAACTTTCACTTAAGTACATACAATGTGAGGCCCCCAAGATAGCTAAGTTGGTTTATAAATCCAATATCTATGGTTTATGGTACTTATAACTATACTTACTGGGGCTAATAAACCAACTTATAACCGCTTATAACTGGGGGGCCTCACATTGTAGTTTTGTCCAACTTTCGGTTATACCTCAACCATACTTCCATTGATGGCCGCTTAAATTTGATTCTTCATGCTGATGTTTACAGTAGGATCTCTTTTGGGGGGAATCAAGCCTCGTCTAGGACGGTGCGAAATTGGGATTTGCAGTCGAAACACTCTTCGCAGACTACTGTGTGGCCTGTGCGAGGGAAAAGGATGGGAAACAAACAGGGGTGGCTTTTGGTGCAAGGAGACTGGACTGTCGTTAAGGTCCATAGTCCACAGTCATCACCTTGATATCTTGGGCCAGTGGAAAGGTGGACCCTCGTGTTGGAACCCTGCACCAAATGGATACAACATGATACGCCATTCCATAGAATTCCTCTACAACATACACACCCGTTTGTATCTGAGTGGTGGTTTGGAACATGAATTTGATGTTTCCATATATTGGGAATGTCATCATCCCAACTGATGAACTCCATTTTTCAGAGGGGTAGGGCTCAACCACCAACCGTTTGTATGATATGAGGGTGGATTTGGAGTGTTTGGAGAGCGTAGAGGCTCTGGATCGACCAGTTGAAGTGTCCACTGCGTCCATACGGCTCAAATTTATATCTGGTTGGTGGTTATCTGGTTTGGAAATGTTTGGAACATGTTTTATTTTCATTTCATATATGGGATGTCATCCTTCCCATTGACTTTCACTCCATCATTTTTCAAGATGGTTAAAACCAGCAACCAGATATTGTTTCTGTGCTTTTCTCAGCAGACATCAAAGATTGTTTCAGCCATAGCTCCATTTTGTTTCACCCCCAAGACTCTGAATCAATCTGGTTTCGCATCCGGAAATGATTTGATCAAGGACAAGTGGTCCCTTGAAATCGAACTTTTCCAGTTTGATTCATTCTGATTCATTCTGATTCATTCTGATTTGTTCCTTTTTTCGGGGCCGCATAAATCAATTACCCTCTGGTAAACTACCATATCACGAAAGCTAGCGTCAGCTAGCTGGAGTCTTCTTGCTTTAGCAAGTATTGGGTGGGCTGCTCAAGGACATCACGTGATTTTTCACGCGAAAGGGAAAGGGGGGACCCCCCCCCCCCTCACCCACCACCACCACCATCACCACCACCATCATCATCGTCATCATCATCGTCATCATCATCGTCATCATCATCGTCATCATCATCGTCATCGTCCTCTCCATCGTCCTCGTCATCATCATCATCATCATCATCGTCGTCGTCGTCGTCGTCGTCGCGTCGTCGTCGTCGTCCTCGTCATCGTCCTCGTCATCGTCATCGTCATCATCATCATCATCATCATCATCATCATCCTCGTCATCATCATCATCATCAGCATCAGCATCATCATCATCATCATCATCATGCATCATTCATCATTCATCATTCATCATTCATCATCCATCATCATCCATCATCATCATCATCATCATCGTTATTCAATTACATTTTATCATTATTGGCAATTATTCTCATTATCACGAAAGCTAGTGTCAGCTCGCTAGAGTCTTCTTGCTTTAGCACGTGTTCCGGGGCTCCCCAAGGACATCACGTGATTTTTCCCGCGAAAGGGCCCCCCCGTGCCCCCTCCCCCATATATATCATTGTTATATATCATATATCAATATATCATTTTTGCATCCTCGTTGGGACGAACAATGCCGCGACATGATGATGACAGTCCCTCCGCAACTCACCTCTTCCCTTCCTTCTTTCTCCTACCCCGCTAGCTTTCGTCATCCACCCCCGGCCTCAAGTAGATCCATATAGCTATTGAAAATGACCATAGAAATAGTGGATTTTCCCATTGAAAATTGTGATTTCCCATAGTTATGTTAGTTTACCAGAGGGTACATGAGCCTCCGGACTCCTGAAGACTCGGATTCAGTCGAGGTGGCCAGAAGAGTGGAACCCTCGAGTCCCTTGAAGAAGCTGGGCCAAAAAAAGCCGGGGCCGGCTGGGGAGTCTAAAATAACACTTTTTTCTGGTTGGTGGTTTGGAACATGAATTTTATTTTTCTATATATTGGGAATTTCATCATCCCAACTGACGAACTCATAGTTTTCAGAGGGGTTGAACACCCCTTTTTTTTGAAGAACCAAAAGAGAAACCAGGGAAACTTGTCGTCACTTCAATCGGAAGAATATGATACTCATGTTTGACGAGCTGAAATTAAGCGAAAGCTTGGCGTTCCGTAGTTTCATGTAGGTTTGTCAAAAAATGGTATATCCCGAAAATCCACGGGTCAATCATTCTGTTCTCTCAAGTGGCCCTGACTTGGAGGTAATTATATATAATATATACATCCCCCTGGCAATATCCCTTACAAAGCCAGGAGGTCGGGCTCCCAAAACAACCAAGTTTTGTACAAGCACTTCCCTCTACAAAGCTTGGATCTCATGCTCTGACATTGATGCTAAATTGACTGTTTTTGTTCAACATAAATGAATCCTAGCTTTGTAGAGGGGTGTTTTTGAGCCTGATGTGAAAATTTGTAAAAAAATAATAACCTATATCCATCTTTGTAGAGCCAGACCCTTCTGATTTTCGATCAGTTTTAATTTTGTAACCCAAAGAAATTTCATATTTTCACCGTTTGAAATTTGTAGTGGGAGTGAGTTTGTCTGCAGAATTAAGTAGGTTGAAGTTTGTAAGGTGTAGATTTGTCCTTGTTTTGTAGGTTTGAACTTTGTAACTGCCTGTCCCCGTTGCTGTTTTTTCTGCTGTGAGATAAGATTTTCCTCAATGATTTGATGAGATATTATGATATATGACATATATTTTGACTTTGAATGAATAGATATGAGCATTGAAACCCAGTGCATTATATATATATATTTGTAATATGTATGTATTGTTTGATAGAATTTCTTTGGGTCCCAATGAATATCAAACATGAACATCCATCATCAAGCAAGAACAAACTAGAACACATATCTGAACACATCAGGGCAATCTAGCAAATTCCATCAAATTCCTATCGGGGATCGGGGCGTTACAAAGCTCAAAGAAAATAGGATTTTTGGGTGTAAGCTGATGCTAATTTGGCATCTTTTTAACAACATAAATGAATCCTAGCTTTGTAAAGCGTTATGTTGTGAAAAAAACACCTGTCATAGAGCAACCTGGGTCTCGAGCTTTGTAAGTTTTACATTCTATGATGGGCCCCCTGTTTCAACTTTGTAGAGGCCAAAAAAAACCTGATACTACATTTATGGTTACAAAGCTCGGCTCCCAAGTTACACATGGAATTCACAGGGGGATATATATACTGTATACTGTATACCATCGTATATCCAATAATTTCAGATAAAGCCACTTATTGTTTGTGCATTTATGTGGAGTTTACCAGTTGACCTAGCATTTATGGAATGTTAGTTTCAGATAAAGCTCCATGTTTATGTTTGTGCGTTTGACACTGGGAAACGTACACTTCCAGCCGGAATGGCTCATCCTAACTGGGCTGGGGTGGCCCTGAACAGTTTGCTTTCCGTCTTGTAGTCACATTATTGTCAATCCTGGTCAATCCTCCATTAATGTCCATTTATAGTCTATAGTTCTTTGATGTTGTTTGTTCCTCTTCAAAGTCGTGGGTTGAATCATACATCTGACCTAAGTTCGATATAAACCCTCGAAAGTAAATTGTAAACTAACATAAACTAACATTCTATGTGGAGTTTACATGAGTTTACCTTGCATTTGCAGATCATATTCCTAAGGTTTCCCCATGGCTCTACATCTATGCCCACCGACCTCGGTGAATCGTTGATTCACCAGGGTTCTCACAGGACTCCGGACTCCCCCAGTTATGTTTGTTGTTTTATGTCATCCAATATCTACAGATGAATATATCAAGATTTGGTTTATGTTGGTTTTTCTTAGTTTATCTTATCCCATCCAACGCTTGATATCTATTTTTGACCCCACTTTACCAACTTTGCCTATCCCGTTCATCTGAGAATCAGGGACTTAACCCCAATAAATTGGGCCATAAAAGCCACATTTGGGCGAATTGCAACAACGTCAACGGCCGACGTCACTACTTGATCTACTTGTAGAACGGATCATTTATTTCGGGATGGTGACAATACTCCATGATCCCTTTGGTTTTTTGTAGACATCGCGGCATTTTGTGACAGTAGAAATAATGACATTAAAGCAGGCGCGATATGGCACCCTTGGCTCGGCTTGACTCCACACGGCAAGCCTCCAGACGTTCAACCGAATGCCAAGTTCGTATTAGTAACCACCCCCCCTAGAAGATAAGAGCCCCCCTAATTAAAAAAAACTCGGGCTTGTGAAGACAAGAGTCCCCCTAATTAAAAAAAACTCGGGCTTGTGAAGATAAGAGTCCCCCCAATTAAAAAACTCGGGCTTGTGAAGATAAAAAAGACAACCAAGCTGCCAATGGGTCGAGATTTATCTTTTCGGTGGCAACCTCCCTCCCAATGGGGTGAGATTTTCGGCCGGGGGCTGATTGGTGTTTATTTGGGGTTGCACGGTTGCACATTATTGAGGGGAGCAACCCACCTAAAGGGGTACCCCTTTATGAGCTTCTCAAAATGCAGTTCTTGAATAAGAAGGTAATAAGGAACATGCATGTTTTTCAATCAGAAATTTTGGATTTTCCCAGATTTGGGGATTATCTGCCTTGAATCTCTTGAATACATCTATATTCAATTATATAGTATATATATACACACTATATTCACATAACTATAAGACATCTCCTCCATTGACTCAGCGCAATACATCTCCTTTCCTGAACCATTTGTATCTTGCATCCCTTTCAAGCCAGCACCAGAACCATGGTCAGAAACATCAGAGCCAAATCACGAGAACTCAGCGCAAAAAAAAAGGATTTTCCAGAAGGGTGTTTTAAATAGGGGGTGACCACCCATGTTGATTAATAGGGGGGACCAACCCAAAGTACTCGTAGTAACTTAGTATTGGCAACATTTTTTTGGACCGTGGGTGTTGATTGATACGGGCGGCTTATTAATATGAACTTAACATTACAAAAGCTGGGAGACGTGGGAGCAGCGCTTTCATGATGTCGTTCGGGCTGTCTTTTGCTCATTGTTGGCCCCAAGTTTGTGGTGGCGAGGGAGGCGTTCCTGACACTCTCTGGATCCCCAATATCCAGGCAGTCCCGTTGATTGACATTGCAGCATGATTCATGATTGTAATAGGAAATCATGGGGACATATCGTACATGGTCGGGCCGTCAATACTTTACATATGTTTGTTGGTTTATATATAATTTATAACCCCATCAAACATAATCTAAATATAGATATATCCCCCTAATCAACCCTACTTATTGTAGTTATAAACCAACTTCGCTATCTAGTTATAAACCAACTTCGCTATTTTGGCCCCACATTGCAACCATCAAATTTGGTTGGATTTCCCATGATGCCTTTCCTGTCACCTTGTCGCCAAGGAATGTGAAGCCCTACGATCGGCTAGTCAAGGTGAATGGTGCTTCAGCGACGCTTAGCAGAGTACTTGTAGTGGGTTATACATATGTGTATATATATATAACTTAATAAATTGTTAGTAAGTTAAGCACTTGAAATAGCTGTTGTTAAATAAATGAATAAACACATATTTGGTTTATATGAAACCGTGTAATATACAACCACCCTTCCCACTCTTCTTTATTCACACAACTCTGTGGGAGTCTATTTGCAACATCATCCCGAAGAGAGGCACCCTGGAGTAGATCAATATATTGCAAAGATAACAATGTACTATTGGGATAATACTGTATTGTTGTGACAATATTGTACTATTGGGATAAAATTGTAGTAGGAAGAAAGATTACGAGTAATATGCTTCCTCACGTAGTGCAGTGTAGTGCAATGTAGTATCACCAACAAGTGCGATAGCAATCAATGTAGACTGGAATTCAAAACTATTGTATGAGGTCATGTTGAAGTACATTGACCCTGGAATCCAGTTTGCCCGTACTGACATTAATACATGTCCACTTGTTTTAACTAATTCAATCATATGCCAAACATCCAGTGGTCCAGGTCTACAAATGTATACCATGGCCAACTGTTTGGCTCAAGATCGCATTTGCCCAGGGAAAAGGCTGCTGACCGCAGCCGTGGTGCGTGGTTGGGCTACTAGATTCTGCGGAATCTTTTTAGTATTGGGATAATATTGTAGAATTGGGATAATATTCTACTATTGGGATATTGTAATGTGTTGGATATATCTAAACATCTACCATGTTTCTTGGATATTTTTAAAAAAATGGTACCACTATATAGATAGATAAATTTTCAATATCTCTATTAGTTTTCTTCATTTCTATTCATGTTTTTTTTTTCCGAAATCAATCCAGCACCATGTTTCTAAGTCAATATGGTGAAAATGATGTTTTCACCGGTTTTAACCATGAAATCACCCATTTCTGTTCATTTGCATGGCGCCACTTGCCACATTTGCCACATTTGACACCCAGGAAGGCCTCCCAGCTGGCCAAGATGGTGACGGAGAGCGACCAGCTGGAACTCATGTTTCAACGGCCCGCCATGAAGGTAACTGAGCTGCCAGCTGATACTGTGGATGGCAGTTGCGAAATCCTGCATCAGGCAGGGTACCCTCTGGTAAACATACAAAAAACTATGGTGGCCATTACCATTTTATAGCTGGCTAAAGCAACTATTTCTATGGCCATTTTCAATAGCAAACTTTTAGTAATTACCAGAGGGTAACTCTTGGGAACTATAAAACACTGTAATTAAATCATAGGATTTGAATGGGATTTCTATCATGTAACTGGAGCAGGATTTCGCTGGTCCATCCAGCCAAGTCTGATGCAAGTTGACCAATTGTTGCCATGTTTTCTCCTAAAACATGAGTGAAATTTGCACCCATGGAACAAATGTTCGGGCCAACGGCCAAGAACTTTGTGAACAAACTAAACAAATCTAGTTCTTTAGCTTCTGTAAATCTAGTCCATTGTGTTGGACAATCAAGGTCTACAGATGATTTTTCCAGTAGGAGTTTACACCAACTCAACTCCACTGCATCCATCACGATCTTCTCGATGAACCATGACCATATGTAATTTGTTTCCAAACATGGCCCATTTGAATCAATTTTGTTCCTTAGTTTTGACCCACATGATTACCCAAAACAAACCGTATCTACATGATCTAAATGGTAAACAAAAACACGATGTTTATGATATTCAGTCATGGATATGAACACATCCGGTCTTTGAGTCAACAAAAATGCGACAAACGTTACTAGTTTGATATTATATATATATACACATCTATATACACATAAAGAATTGCCCGCTTCTATGTGCAGCCAACCAAATACACATATATATATATATACACAATATTTATGTATGTTACATATATGAATGTATAAATTATGTGTGTATATTCACAATTATATACATGCACATCTACCATAAACATCCAAAAACCCTAACCATATTGGTTACAAACCAACTCGGCTAACGAGCTGGAGCACCACCTTGTATTCCTTGTGGCCCACCCCTTAGTTTGATATGAACCTGATTAAGCGCCAAATAGGGATTCCATCAGACCCCTTCTAACAGGAGATTGTTTTGGAAAAAGCTGGGAAGAAGGCAACTTGGCAGTTCACACATGCTCCCTTTGTGCTGCAGGGTCCCACAGATAAATCATGGGGATTTTTCGCCAGCGCCAGATGGATGACCAAAAAGGGCTAGGCCCGCCTCACATCACTGGCAAGGAGACACTAAGATGAGACGTCCCAGCAACTGCTATGTGGTAACTGAAACCAAACGAGTTTTTTGTTGCAATGTTTGGGTGCCCTGAATTCTAGTAGTAGGCTTCACCATTTTCAGAAGTTTAATATGCAACCTTTGGATTTTTTGCAACATTTTGAGACACAGCCATTTGTTTGCAATAGGTAAACCCAAGCATTAATCATCCCCATAGTTGGGGTATTGGAGTTTATGCTTGGGTCGGTGGTATAGCATAGCCTATCGGGATGGTTCTTCACTTCGTCAAGTGCTGGTTGTCAAATCATGCCTGGATGCCAAAGGAAGTGGTTATGTTATGTTATGTTTATGTAATGTAATGTTATAGTATGTTATGCATTTTTTTTCTCCAAGCAGTTCTGCTTGAAAGAAAAAACTACATCGCCGAACGTGCAACAGCAAAATACCATCTGCACAGGAACTTGTTTGGTGATTCGATGAATAGCAACTATGACATCCCAGCGTGGGCTAAGTAGATCTAAGTAGCAGTGGCTATGAGCACAGGTGCATCATCATCATGGCCATGGTACTGGTGTATATGTACGTAATTATGCAATGTAATGTAACGTAACGTAATGTAATGTAACGTAATGTAGTGTAGTGTAACGTAACGTAATGTTATGTTATATGTATGCCCACACTAACTCAGTTCATGTTTAATGCCAACATCGGATTAATCAACCCTCCCCCCCAGAAGGTCAGAACTCTACCTTGTAGGTCATGTCCTTGACCTCCCCTTAATAATAAGCAACTCTGAACGATAAAAAATTGGATATGGCTTGAGTCAATTAGATCTGAATAGAATTTTATTGGATTTGTTAAAATCTCATGGATCAGAAAAGTGGTTGATTAATAAGGGGCAAACCGTGGTTATTATTAATGGGGGACATGGGCTCATGGGGGGTACCCTTTGGGAGCTATCCGAATCCAAACTGATGATTTTTATAAAGATTTTTATTAGAAATCGATCATTTGGGGAATAGTTGTTTTTTGAAATTTTCAATGATCAACTCAAACCTTAAGTATAACAATGATGATAAAAAAAGAAGTAAAAAACAATTGGAAATAAATAGAATTGAAAATAAAAATTGTTGGAAAAAAAATGGATTTCAGCAAAGGAGGGTGATTAATCATGTCCCAGCCAAACGGTTTATTAATCCTGGGGGACCACCTTTTTTTAAATTTCATTTTTTTTTAGGGGGCAGAGGGGGTTGATTAATACCGCGGGGATTATTAATCCTAACTTGACATTATTCACTGAGGCTGGATTCAGGATCGAGAAGACTACCCCTGGCGCTGCCACAATGGGGTTGGTCATCAAGGTGGGGAGTTTCCCCGGAAAACGATGATGGCAACAAAATCTCCAGAAATTTCTTGGGGAATGTTCCGGGAAAAGCCATGTGAATGGTTACCAGAGGGTATATATATATATATATAGGGCAAATGCCTGAGCCTTGCCCGGAACCGCAACCACGACAGGCAACGCGTCATCATCATCATCATCATCACCACCAGCATCATCATCATCACCACCAGCATCATCATCCTCATCATCACCATCATCATCATCACTACCAGCATCATCATCATCATCATCATCACCAGCATCATCATCATCATCATCATTATCATCATCATCATCATCATCATCATCAAATCCTCGTTGAATATCTTCAATGAATGTAGGAGTTTAACGGGGTGGGAGAATTAAACCCTTATTGAAGATCTTCAATGAATGTAGAAGTTTAACGGGGGTGGGAGAATTATATAAACATGTATTGAAGATCCTCAATGAATGTAGAAGTTTAACGGGGGTGGGAGAATTATATAAACATGTATTGAAGATCCTCAATGAATGTAGAAGTTTAACGGGGGTGGGATAATGAAACCCTTATTGAAGATCTTCCCAATTGAATGTAAGGTTTAACGGGGGTGGGATTTTAATATTCCCTAATACCTTTGTTGATCTTCCCAACGGCATGCAGAGTTGCAACAGCATGTGATTGGGAATGGGGGCCCATATTATGTAATTATACATATACTTAGATATGTAAATATATATGGAGGTTTGAGTAGGAAAATCATCCATTTCTTTTTTCCAACACGCCAGTTTGATTACTGTACTGGAGAACAGCCCATGGTTACACCATGTTTCTTGGTTCAATCACCACTCTTGCTAAGCAGCTTTTCGAACATGTTTAAAACATGTCAAATACTATGTTTCTCGACTATAGGAGGTGACTAGGTCAACCTTGGTAGTCTAATTTAATCCTTCAATATGTTTGCTATAGATAGGACTATCTACTAACCTAACCAGCTAACAATTTAACTGGTTGGTGGTTTGGAACATGAATTTTATGACGTTACTTTCAGCTGGGAATTTCCATACTCCCATTTGACTTATATGCTTCAGAGGTGTAGGTCAACCACCAAGCAGTTAACTTTTCTTACTGGTGCGTTTTACGTAGGGAATTTTCGGGAATGATCCATTTCATCACTAGTAATAGTCCCAGCAACCCCCAGCAACCCATCCAGCAACCCTGCGTAAAACGCACCAGTTAATTTTTTGAACATCAACAAAAATCTAGTACTCATGGGAGTTACAACGGTTTATAAACCAAGAAACATGACTGGGGGGGCCATATCCCGTGCCTTTCATCGAGCATCATCGAGCCAACTTTTTGCAGGGTAAGATTGATGAACTTTCCGGGAAGACCTCAACCAGTAATCGTCTCGTCTGGCATCCAGAGAGTTTGATCGTTGATGGCACCTACCCGGCCTGGTAAACGTTAACAAAAAACTATGGAAAAATCCCACCATTTTAAATGGGAAGATCCACTATAAATGGCCATGTTCAATAGCTATGTTTGTTTACCGTTTACCAGAGGGTAGATTTTGGTTGATGTTCAATTCTTACTGGTGCGTTTTACGCAGGGAATGGATGGGGGGTTGCTGGGATTTTTACTAGTGATGAAATGGATATAAATGGATCATTCCCGAAAATTCCCTAAGCACCAGTAAGAATAGGTTCCAATGGTTTTTTGTTGATGTTTCACTTAAAATTCTTTGAAAAACACAAACACTTATATGTTGATCGATCTCTGTGGCTTGCACCCAATGACAGTTTTCAGCCTCTAGATCTAGATGTTGAACCAGAGACGATGAGGCCCTCTTAGGTGAAGGTCAATATAGTCCATAGTCCACACTTTTATGCGGCTGCATTTTACATAGTCAAGCGCCCTAACACTGCGCAACACGCACATTGGCACCTAGACTGGAGCCATCTGGAAGCTATGGTGGGTCGGACCGCTTACCTTTTCCAGTTGCCGTTTAAATGGCTGGTAGCTTCCAAAAGTGATGATCTCAGTGATCTCAGTTCGGAGCAATGGTATCAATATGTATCAATGGTTAGATGATCCTCGTTGTGATCTTGGGGATGCCGGAAACTCTGCCAGATGTTCCGCCAGATAAATTTCCATGTGGTGGCTGTTTATTTCATGGATCAGATAAGTTGATTCATAAGCCTGTCTAACTACACCATAAATCCAAAAAACTGGTTGGTGCTTTGGAACATTTTCCATTCAGTTGGGAATGTCATCATCCCAACTGTTACTCACTCCATCATACTTTTCAGAGGGGTAGGTATACCACCAACCAGGTATAAATCCCATGAAATCACGATGTTTTTTTGTTGGTTAAACGCCATATGAAATCACCATCTGGTTGATGCTTTGGAACATTGGTTTAGTATGGTTAATAATGGTTAATAATGGTTAATAATGGTTAATAATGGTTAATAATGGTTAATAATGGTTAATAATGGTTAATAATGGTTAATAATGGTTAATAATCACTGGTTGGTGGTTTGGAACATTATTTTTTATGGATGATTTTTCCATTCAGTTGGGCATGTCATCATCCCAACTGGTCCGAACTCCATGATTTTTCAGAGAGGTAGGTCAACCACCAACCAGATCACCATGTTAGTTGATGAAACCACGTTTTTTTCCGCTGGGTTATCCTGTCAGGGCTTGGAAGGGGGAGCAGCATCAGCCACTTGCAGCGATACACGTTTTTTTTTTTCCGTGACCTGGGGCTGGCAGGGCTGGGTTTCAACCTGAAATGGTGAGGATTTGTAGGAAATGGAATAGTTTTTTGTGAGTGTTCCTCTCAGTGTTGGGATTTTTGAAGAAGAATACTGTATACGCGAACTGTATGATGGTACTGAAAGGGCCCTTTTGGCGACAAAATCTCAAGAATATCGTACGATTTTGCCTGGGTATCCTAAGAATCCAGCCAGAGTTATCAATTTGTAAAGTATATACGTGATAACTAATGATTCTAATTGTCATGTACCATAAGTTTCATACATATGCTTCTAGTACAATATTTATAGCCAGTACATGACATCTATATTCTCGGGTAAAAAACAAACATAGTTTCTTGTAAACTGCCCTTGAAATCAATCCATTGACTGGCCTTAATTTTCAGAGTGTTGAAGTGTTGATAGTTGAACCTGGTTTGTTCCTCACTTTATGATCTTGATACCCACAGGACTGCACACCAGTTTTAAGTTGTTTTATGCTACCCTATTAATGTGTGTAACGATAGTAGTTATTCCAGCAACATAAATCCAACCGCTAGCCGTCATATAAATAGAAACTTAGCTAAAACACTGGAGCACCACCTTGTATAATCCTTACTCTTTATATAATCATTCTATATATCCCCAAATATACCTATAATTGCTGGTTAAATCCCCACATTTGTTGATATGTCCCTTTCAATATATCCATTGAATCTCAATAGTCCATGGCTTCTATGATTTTGTGTTTATCATCATATAACCATTATTATGCCAATGTTACCCTCTGGATTCTTAACACAGCCCTCTTTATAATCACCATGTTGAATAGGTAAAGCATCTATCATTTAGATTCATTTAGTCATTCTCCAGTTCGCTATGTTATAAAATCACCAAAGGGTATGGATCATCATTTTCTCAATTATATCCTCATGATGTCCACACGTTGGACCACTCGTTTTGATGGTTAAATCCATCTTGTGTTCACCATGATGGCTCCATCGAAAAAAATCCATCAACTTTTCCTAGTGAAATCTCAACTTTTCATGGTTAGATATGGTTAGATTCCAATAGAAATCACATGTTTTCTTGCTTCAAGTTAGTCATCCAGTTGTGTTTCCATCAAGGTTTTCCTAGTGCAACAGTTGTGTTGTCCAACAACTTGCAGAGTTGGAAAAAATCACGGCACCTCAGGAGATGCCCAGCGGCACCTTCAAGAGCATGGATCGCATTTGCGCCATCAACGGTGCCCTGATGATTTACCCGGATAAATCCCGACAAAAACAGGCGATAATTGTCCTAAGTTAGCTATGTTAAAACAAACCGGAGGATAACGTTGGCATAATGATGGTTAGATATATATATATATATTATATATTGATATTAGAGAATATCAACATATTAAATATTTTTTTATAATTCACAGAGGCCATGGACAATAAGGATTCAATGGATGTGTTGAAGTTGAAGGGGATATATTACCATGTGGGGATTTAGCCAACAAATATCGGGACATATGGGGATATAATGGAGAATGGGGATTATACAAGCTGGTGCTGCAGTGTGTTAGCGGGGTTGATTATGCATTTGGCTTAACTAAGGTTTATGGAAGTTTATGGTCGTCATAAGCTTATAAGGGGTGAACATTGAAGGGATCTTACCGGCAACAAGGGGATATATCATGAAATGTTTAATAATACTTGGGAGTTCCTGTACTCTACGGTAGTTTAACATAGCTATGGAACATGGTCCATTTATAGATGATTTACCTATTAAACATGTTTATTTTTCCATAGCTATGTTAAATTACCGGAGGGTAGGTAACAAGAACATGAATATGATTTAGACAGCATGGACTTGTAAGAAACAACGTGGCAGTACCAACAAACTATGTTTCCTATGACTCAATATCACAAACATGGTATTAATCTGACAACAAATTGTGATGAATTACCACAATGCCAGAAACGCTTGGTTTGATGGCTAGTGGCTTGCTGGTTGGTGGTTTGGAACATTTTTTATTTTCCATTTCATATACATCCTTCCCATTGACTTTCATATTTTTCAAGATGGTTAAAACCACCAACCATATATATTATTCATTATATCAGGTATTAATCACTAATAACCACTATAAACCACTATTAATCACTATTAACCAGGTTCTGACTGACAGGTTTTTTAATGTCTTTGTGTTCAGGGCTGGTAGGTGGCAACGCCATCAGCATGGATTCATGGGGATTGATGAATCGATTTCGTTTGGGAGTCTGGGATGGGAAAAAGTGACTGGATCCAGAAGGGAAAATCAAACAACTCTTTAGTGGATAAGATTGGATAAGATAGTTACATAAATACAACAATATATAAATATATAAATATATATAATTATAAATTATATATATATATATGATGATGAATGGAAACTGAAGATCTAAATCTCATATAATCTCATTGGTTTGGAGTTTCACATAGTCCCATTGTTTCTGGTCTTTTCCGAATCCCTCCGGTCATCGATGCCTCATCGAGTGCAAAAAATGGTGGGATTTTCCTCGTTTGAGTAGCAACCCAGGGTATAGGTCATGACATCATATTAATTCACCATTTGACCATTTGCCAGAAATAGTTGACATAAGTTTTGTACAAGTTGATAATTAGTGTGGACCTAGTTGTTTTTCCTCTTCGTTCCAAATTTTGGAATGGTTAATCATGTTACCCTCTGGTAATTTGTTGCAGTTTGCGAACTTGAAAATGGCTAACAGTTGATTTACCTATTCCAAATGGTGATTTTCCAGTTCGCAATGATGTTAGGTTACCAGTTTTTAATTATTGGGATTTCTATGAAGCACTACAAATACTGGTATTGTAGTGGAATCAAATGAATAAATCATCAACCTTCATCAACAAACTGGTGCAAGATTTCTTCCATCTACAGTATGAGGGTAAATCATGTTACCATTTGCTTATTTAACATAGCCATGGCAGCCATGGCCCATAGAAATAGATGTTTTTCCCATTAAAAATGGTGGATTTTCCATAGCTATGTTGAATAACCAGAGGGTAAATCCCACTATAGATTCTAATTTCCATCGACATCCCATGGGTTCAGATCATCCAAGATCATCCCCACCTTGATGCAGAACACCGCGCAACACAACCCTGGTGATCATCACTTTCCTTCAATGGACTTGCACATCTATATATAGATAGAGTATAATATACAGCATGTTGTAATATATAGTGTATATATATATATATATATATATATATATCGAATATGTTTTTTTTATTATATTAGATGTATACATAATATATATATATAGTGCGTGTATATAGTATATACATATATATATATATATGTTGTGTATATTTTATACATCTATCTATCTCTATATATATATATATTTGTTTTGTATATGTTCTATATTATGAATATAAAGCTGAATTAATAGTATATATATTAATATATATATATATGTATAATACACACATTCAGTGAGATATAGTTTAAGCATGTATTTGATTTGTGGCTGAAACGGTACTCGGACGGTATTCGGACAGTTCCTATCTCCCAGGTCAAGAGGGCACGGCAGGAGAACTATTGGAGATGCTCGCGCAGGATCGGGTGGTGCTGACGCTGTTCCTCGCTTCATTGGGAGATGCACAGTGTTTCTGTGCGATTTGTTGGGGCGCGTTTTAAGTTGAAATGATGAGGATCTTGTGGAATTTCATCGATTTTCAACAGATTTTTTGACATTTGACCCCCCCAAACGATATGTTTGTGGAAGTTGCACCATCCAACTATACTTGATTTCATCGCCAGAAGCCTGGAGAACCTAATCACAGACGAAGTTTCCAAAAGTTCACTATCACTAGAGAGGACCTCGGCGATTTTATTCATGTCACGTTAATAAAAAATCGACCATGGAGGTTTCTTAAACATATCCAAGTTATTGGGACACCAAAAATCATCCAAAATCAATATCATTTAAGTCACCTTGGGGTCCCCAAAAATCTGGGGCGGCCATATAAAAACAGCATCGGGATGATGTCCTGAGATCCGAAATTCAAACTTTAGGGATACATGTGTGATTTAATAAGATTATGGAACCAAAGAAAATATCACCCGCAGTATGTGCAATTATATCATGAACTATTATAGAATGATTTACATATACATAATTAAAATAGAACTGTGTAATAAACTGGAACAGCCCGCCTCACTGCGACGTCACTTTCAATAATAGTTAGGATAGGGAAGCGTCAAACGATGACCAATCATTCCTGACTGGCGAATGTTCAGACAAGGTATAGATCATTTGAATGGTCATGTAGAATATGATTTTACATGATTTTACCATAAAGCATGAAGCATTTTTCATGCCAGTACTGCACATATAAACTAGGTCCTAGGTGGCAATACATGGCAATACATATTATGAGGTTGCTGGTTTGGAACATGTTTTATTGTTCAATATATTGGGAATCATAATCCCAACTGACTTTCATACTTTTCAAAGGGGTAGGTATACCACCAACCAGATGAGGTTGGATCAAGACCTATCTATTCTCTACACGAGGGATGAACCTCTAAAAATAGCCCCTATTTTTTATAGGGGTCACCAGATTATGTCTCCGGATTTGGACAGCCACAGCCGTATGTATATAATCATAGTAGGTTTGTACAAATGTATATACAATTATATAGAATTATATAGATATAGATACTGTCTATCTTATATATATAGGTATATCGTGGTATATCATGGGATATCAATGGGAATTCCAGGATCCCAAAATGGAGGTACTTTACCATATTGTTGGCCATATTTTGTGGGGATATTCCCTTACATAGGCCTTATATATGGTAGGTACCTCCAATCAATCGGATCCTGAAATGGCCACTGATGATATGTTTTGTCCACCTCGGATCTCTAGAGCCAAGGTGTTCTTATTCGGATGTGCCTGAATGATCACATCGTCGGCTGTCGGCCCAATTTGACCCCCAAGAGACCAGTGGCCATTGAAAGTCTGAGAAAACATAGGTTGAACCACTGGAAGTTTTGGCAGACCCTATTTTCAGACAAACCCACGCATGTTTTACAATAGTATTTATATAAGATTGTGTGTTATACAGGTATTCTTTGCAGGATAATTTGTGATTTACCCAGCATATTTAACCCAAATATGTTTAATTACCAAAAATCATTTGGTGTTGCACCGATGAACATAGGTTTTCTCTGCAGGTACTGTACAGTAGATATATTACTTCTTAACATGCGTTTTTTACACAAGAAAGTATATTCAACCAGTAGATTGAAACTTGTGGGCATCAATATCATCACAACCGTTATTTAGTTGTATTTCCTGATGTTTGAAATGAATCCTGCTGTTGAGCAGCTTTGGCTATACCATCTACTTTGATGTCAGCAGAGAAATTCATGGTTTTGGCACTTGCCCACAGGTAATCCCCAGAAATGATTTGCAAAGCTCATTTGGATATGAGTCAAGCTGAGTCAAGACAAAATAAGCCACAATAAACCAGTTGGTTCATGAACGAGGATTCAATGAATCACGGTGCGGTGCCACATGATTCACTTGGTGTCCACCTCCAAACGGCTGCCAGCGAGGTTTCCAAGGTCGTAAACCTTGCATGGCTAGTTTGATCCTGTTGTTTTATCTTTAATTTCTGCGAGAGCTAGGTATACTATGAAATAATTGCTAGTAAAATAGTAAAGAAACGTGTTTTATCGTTGTTTTGCAGGGTATCATAAACCCAGCTTCAAGGCAACAGCAGGTTCCACGGTTCCACAGCGCCTAAGACATACCAGGGTTTCCCTATGGGTGTTCCACACCGGTGTTTGAAACCCATGGTGGCCATGTAGAAAGCCAGGATGAATAGAAACCATCGTTAACATGAATTAAGAATGAAGAATTTGTGTGTTTTGTACTGAGTGTAATGGTTGATACAGTTGATACAACAAGTCAATCTCCCATCAAGTCAATCATATTTGTCTCGGAGAAAAAACATGAATTACCATATGGTTATGACTAACATAGCGAACTGGAAATATTCACCATGCTATTAATAGGTAAACCATCTATGTCTATTGTCCATGGCTTCCATGGCTATGTTAAATCACCAGAGGGTAAGAATGAAGAATTTGTGTGTTGTGTACTGAGTGTAATGGTTGATACAACCGATTTCAAACGTGTTTTTGTAAATATGAGACATGAACCACAATGATACCATTGTGATGGATGATAGCAACAGTGATTGTGAATTGTGGATGTATCCCCCTAACACCATCAAGACCTAGACTTAGATTGGGTTCTAAAGTTAGAAACTAACTTAACCAATATAACTGGCCCCCCCCCTCCTCCCTGTATTGATTGACCTAAACCCAAGATATACAATCATTGATCAAATTGAGCGCCATTGGCCAAACCGAGTTCTTTTTTCTGCGAAACCGGACCTGGCCAACCGCCGAATGGCGGCGCCTGTCCCGCCTAGCGAAAAAGAAAAGGTTTGGTGTGGGATGTGAAAGAACCAGTGAATTGACTAAATCCATCTGATTGGTTTGTTCTCAAACACTTGACATGAGATAGTCTAGGAGGTACGAACAGTTGAGGAGATGCTTGACACAAACATTAGCAAGAGTCTTTGATGAGTTTCAGGGGAATTCGTGCTTTAGTTTTTGTCATGTTTTAATAAATGGGCTAACGCCCTGGTGCCGCCGACCCCGTTTCAAGGGTGGAGGAAGAAGTGCGCAGACATAGAGCCACTCAAGAAGCCCAGCAAACGGCTAGACCTAAACATTGTTAAACATACGTATGTATATATATATATATAGTACATTACATGCATTCCATTCGCAAAAGTGGAATGATGATAGAAATTGGGGAATACTCATGACGTCATTGTGGCGACGCCACCAGGATGAAAGACTGTGAAACACCCCAAGACATCCAAGACCTTCTAATGCGCATGTCTCCTGTTGAGATCGCTGCAGCTACGCAGGCTTTATTTGTGCGAAAGGTTGCTAGGGACTGTCTTGATAGCCCACAGTCTGCAGCACTTGCGTCATTTGCTTCAAACGCACATGCGTGATACCGTAATGCACGGCTCACATGCAGAGCCCACGCAGCAGTTGGGACGCAGCAACCGCAGAGCTTTCCCAGAAGAAAAAAGACATCGGTCAGGTCCGGGAACCCGGCGTTTCTCGCTGGGTGGATGATGGCCAGGAAGTCGACCCCCGGAGGTCGTATAAAAAAATGCGGCAAGACTGCCATTGGTAAATCTTGTTGCGTGAATTGGCTGCAGTCTCAGGAGGTTCAAAGCAAACGATGGCAAAGGGGTAGATGGGAACCAGCAGTTAGTGAGCACGGACTCGTACCGAGCAGAAACATTGAACCGCTCCTGCTCATTGCCAAGGTTGCTGGGGTGCCTGTTGCCTGCAAGAGTGGCCATAAGAACCGGATGGCTGCAAGAGTGGCCATAAGAAGCCATTGATGTGTGGCGCGGGGTGGCTGTTGGCTGCAGGATGAAGCATGCCAAGTCAACGTTTTAAGGGTTTTACGGTTTTTAAGGGTTTGGAGGGTTTTAAGGGTTTGGAGGGTTTGGAGCGTTTTAAGGGGTGTGGCGCGGGGTGGCTGTTGGCTGCAGGATGAAGCATGCCAAGTCAACGTTTTAAGGGTTTTACGGTTTTGAAGGGTTTGGAGGGTTTTAAGAGTGTGGAGGGTTTGGAGCGTTTTAAGGGTTTGGAGGGTTTTAGGGCTGGCAAACGGCAGACTTGGACGCCCATAAGAAGCCATGGATGTGTGGCCCTGGGGGGCCGGTTAGCTGCAAGAGTGGCCATAAGAAGCCATTGATGTGTGGCGCGGGGTGGCTGTTGGTTGCAGGATGAAGCATGCCAAGGCAACGTTTTAAGGGTTTTACGGTTTTGGGTTTGGAGGGTTTTAAGGGTTTGGAGGGTTTGGAGCGTTTGGAGGGTTTTAGGGCTGGCAAACGGCAGACTTGGACGCCCATAAGAAGCCATTGATGTGTGGCCCTGGGGTGCCGGTTAGCTGCAAGAGTGGCCATAAGAAGCCATTGATGTGTGGCGCGGGGTGGCTGTTGGTTGCAGGATGAAGCATGCCAAGGCAACGTTTTAAGGGTTTTAGGTTTTAAGGGTTTGGAGGGTTTTAAGGGTTTGGAGGGTTTGGAGCGTTTGGAGGGTTTTAGGGCTGGCAAAGGGCAGACTTGGACGCCCATAAGAAGCCATTGATGTGTGGCCCTGGGGTGCATGTTGGCTGGGGTGCCTGTTGCCTGCAAGAGTGGCCATAAGAACCGGATGGCTGCAAGAGTGGCCATAAGAAGCCATTGATGTGTGGCGCGGGGTGGCTGTTGGCTGCAGGATGAAGCATGCCAAGTCAACGTTTTAAGGGTTTTACGGTTTTTAAGGGTTTGGAGGGTTTTAAGGGTTTGGAGGGTTTGGAGCGTTTGGAGGGTTTTAGGGCTGGCAAAGGGCAGACTTGGACGCCCATAAGAAGCCATTGATGTGTGGCCCTGGGGTGCCGGTTGGCTGCAAGAGTGGCCATAAGAAGCCATTGAAGCATGATGTGTGGCGCGGGGTGGCTGTTGGCTGCAGGATGAAGCCATTGCGCAGGATGAAGCATGCCAACAACGTTTTAAGGGTTTTACGGTTTGTAAGGGTTTGGAGGGTTTTAAGGGTTTGGAGGGTTTGGAGCGTTTTAAGGAGGGTTTTAGGGCTGGCAAACGGCAGACTTGGACGCCCATAAGAAGCCATTGATGTGTGGCCCTGGGGTGCCGGTTAGCTGCAAGAGTGGCCATAAGAAGCCATTGATGTGTGGCGCGGGGTGGCTGTTGGTTGCAGGATGAAGCATGCCAAGGCAACGTTTTAAGGGTTTTACGGTTTTTAAGGGTTTGGAGGGTTTTAAGGGTTTGGAGGGTTTGGAGCGTTTGGAGGGTTTTAGGGCTGGCAAAGGGCAGACTTGGACGCCCATAAGAAGCCATTGATGTGTGGCCCTGGGGTGCCGGTTAGCTGCAAGAGTGGCCATAAGAAGCCATTGATGTGTGGCGCGGGGTGGCTGTTGGTTGCAGGATGAAGCATGCCAAGTCAACGTTTTAAGGGTTTTACGGTTTTTAAGGGTTTGGAGGGTTTTAAGGGTTTGGAGGGTTTGGAGCGTTTGGAGGGTTTTAGGGCTGGCAAAGGGCAGACTTGGACGCCCAGAAGAAGCCATTGATGTGTGGCCCTGGGGTGCATGTTGGCTGGGGTGCCTGTTGCCTGCAAGAGTGGCCATAAGAACCGGATGGCTGCAAGAGTGGCCATAAGAAGCCATTGATGTGTGGCGCGGGGTGGCTGTTGGCTGCAGGATGAAGCATGCCAAGTCAACGTTTTAAGGGTTTTACGGTTTTTAAGGGTTTGGAGGGTTTTAAGGGTTTGGAGGGTTTGGAGCGTTTTAAGGGTTTGGAGGGTTTTAGGGCTGGCAAACGGCAGACTTGGACGCCCATAAGAAGCAAAGGGCAGACTTGGACGCCCATAAGAAGCCATTGATGTGTGGCCCTGGAGGGTTTTAAGGGTTTGGAGGGTTTGGAGCGTTTGGAGGGTTTTAGGGCTGGCAAAGGGCAGACTTGGACGCCCAGAAGAAGCCATTGATGTGTGGCCCTGGGGTGCATGTTGGCTGGGGTGCCTGTTGCCTGCAAGAGTGGCCATAAGAATTGGCTGGGGTGCCTGTTGCCTGCAAGAGTGGCCATAAGAACCGGATGGCTGCAAGAGTGGCCATAAGAAGCCATTGATGTGTGGCGCGGGGTGGCTGTTGGCTGCAGGATGAAGCATGCCAAGTCAACGTTTTAAGGGTTTTACGGTTTTTAAGGGTTTGGAGGGTTTTAAGGGTTTGGAGGGTTTGGAGCGTTTTAAGGGTTTGGAGGGTTTTAGGGCTGGCAAACGGCAGACTTGGACGCCCATAAGAAGCAAAGGGCAGACTTGGACGCCCATAAGAAGCCATTGATGTGTGGCCCTGGGGTGCATGTTGGCTGGGGTGCCTGTTGCCTGCAAGAGTGGCCATAAGAAGCTATTGATGTAGCTTGATGGCTGCAAGATGGGTTTGACCGTGGAAAGCGAAGAAGGAGAAGTTCCACACCTGCGGTGGTCCCAGGCGCCGCCCCTGCCTTGGCCAAGGCCGGGGTCGGCGGATTTAGCATTCACTTTGGAGTACCCAACCTCAGGAGTTCCAATTACAAGTGATACATAATATGTGTGTATATATATATACACATTTCATACAGGAGAGAGGTTGGGAATCAAACTTTGGTCCCAGAAACGTAGTACAAGTCTATGGTGTACTATGAATTATATATAATATCTTAGCTTCCATGTCCAAAGACGGAATGATGATCCTCAAGTTCAAAACCATCAGGGACCCGTCGCGAAATCCCGGGTGAGAAATGTGTGTTTTTTTTGGGTCAAATCTGGGGCATGTTTGACCCCTGCCCAAATTTTGGGCCTCCAGATTAAGGTGGTATAACTTTGGGCATACTCCCGAAATAGCACTCCTGTGAGCGCAAGAGAGACAGAATTGGGATTGCCGCGGCGCCGCGACACTTCAAGGCTTTGATTTGTTGAAAGACAATTTGAAATTTTATCAATTTGTCATTGTCCTGTCTTGTTATATAGTCCATAAGGGCTGCAGCATCTACTGACAATGGTCTCTTGCGGAAACTCAAAGGAAATAATGGAGGTTGAGCCTTCAAAAGTGGTCAATTATGTCTTTTGTTTGTTCAGCAAAGAGGAGAACCATTGACACCCACAGTTGCACAGTTCGGTCATTTAACTTGCAGGCGTTATTTCCAGACTTATTTGAAGGAACAACTTCAAAAAGTGGTCACCACGACGGCGCAAGTCATACATGTTCCATTTGTTTCCTTGAAAAACTCAGTGACTTATTGTTGGACAGGTGTCCCCCATTTTCAGACACACGCAGATGATATGCGGTTCCCTGGGCCCATTCAGCCATTTATATGATTGCTCTCTGCCGCCACAGCGTTTTGCTCAGCAACGTGAAATTCAACCCGTGTTCGACGCATTTTTAGACACCTTTGTTTTCAATAGAACAAATGGCGCGCTTTGGCTGAAGATTTCAGTGCTTGTTTGTTGGGAGTGTCATGGACTTTGGGCAACCTCAACAAGGTGCTGGTAATGTGGTAAACCTGCAACAGAAACATCCCTAGTGACTCACCCGAAAAGGCCCGAAAGGGGTGGGGCTTCAAAACTATGTTGGTTTGTCACACCAGCAAGAATGACCAAATCCTTCGGTTTACGCTGTTCCCTCATGGCAACTTGTTCCCCAAACCTGCAGTACTGCTAACGCTTGCAGAATCTTGGGGGATTTGTTTGTACGACAAAAAGAAAAACGCAGCAATTGTGAAACTCTGACCGATGCTGGAATTAAGTTGTTTACGTATGTATTTTTGGGGGGATGTACGGAACATGTCGCTTTTAATGGTCAGAAGAAGACGGCTGAAGGACAATCATAGCTGATGATTGTCTATACGGTTTTGTTTGAGATGTTTAAGGAATAAACTGAACGGTTCATGGTTTAATTTAAAGGCTTTTTATCTGGGTTGAAATTACCATAAATTGGTAGAAACTTTGGCACGAACTTGGAGCTCTGGATCGTAGCCAACCTGGTAAACATTGACCAAAACATATGGAACAATCACCATTTGTCATTGGGAAATCAGCATTTTTATCCATTGTTTAATGATGTTGAATGGGTAAATCTATGTCTGCCATGTTGAATGGATACCATCAATAAATCCTACTTTTATTTTCCATGGCTATCTTAGTCATAACCAGATGGTATTTCTAGCTTTTTGTATGTTTACCAGAGGGTCTCCAATGTTTTGGGGAACTCACCGAGCTGCCATTGGAAGTGTCCATTGAATCCACCCCAACGTGACATTCACTGCAGTTATAACCGGCTTAGAGTTTTAATTAATTGGCTAACAAAACCCCATTTTAATAGTTAAGTGATGTATAATACATACATATATAATATATATATATATCTGGTTGGTGGTTTGGAACATGAATTTCATTTTTCCATATATTGGGAATAATCATCCCAATTGACTAATATTTTTTCAGAGGGGTTGAAACCACCAACCAGATATATATAGCCTTAGATGCAGGAGTTATCATAGCATTTATAGCAAGGAACAAGACATTGGCTGAATGGACCTCCATGAAGGGCTCAGAGGTTCCCTCAATATGTAACTTGGGTTTTCAATAGGCTAGATAGTGTTTATTATATATAAATAACTATATATATATATGTATTACTGTAATAGCTATATATATATATTGTTTTATAACCAACCTGTAACTGAGGGCCACACTCTCCACAAATATTAGTGGGTTACAGTGGTTACAATGATGAAATATGAAATATAACCCAGGTATCAGATGGTATAAGGGGGGGGTTGAACCTACTTACCCCACTTACTAGCAGGTTTATATCCCACATATCCATGGGTGGGTAGAGTCAATACAATTACCAACCAGTTGCGAAGACTTCCTCCTTGAAAACAAATCCTGCATCGTTTTTGTAACGTAGGTTCACACACTGGAACACCCATGTATCAATACAAGCTTCCGAATATGTAATGTGATACGCCCAAGTAAAATTTAAAGACTTGTTTCCCCATTCACAAAAAAGACCGGTGGTTTATATTATTGGACACTTTGTTCGTAGTTTTTTTATGACTTGCCGTTGATCCAGCTAAATAAGAAGGCTTTTTCCAGCCACGATTTTCCAAGCATGTTCATCCATGTTCATCCATGTTCATCTTGATGTATATCTATCCCAATATATGCTCTATGTATGATATATTTGCCTACATGACTGGGCCATAAAAATGAGGTAAAAGTAGGTTTTTCATGGTTTTTATATGTATTCCAGCAGCATGGTTCGCATCTGGGTATAGCTATTGATCCATACAATGTGAGGCCCCCCAGTTATAAGTTGGTTTATAAGCCCCAGTAACTATAGTTATAAGTACCATAAACCATAGTTATTGGAGTTATAAACCAACTTAGCTATCTTGGGGGCCTCACATTGTATTGATCCATAGTCAACAAGACTGTCCCTGGTGGACCAACATCTGCCCCGCTCAGTTGCGCCTGCTGCGTGGCGGATGAGCAACTCGAGACCGTCGCGCGGTTGCAGTGCCGGTGGTCTGGGACTGTAGGAGAACCAAAAGGGCCTGGCCTTAGCGGAAAGCCCCTGGTCGACCCATAGAACTACCCTCTGGTAAACAGACAAAAAGCTATTGAAAATGGCCATTTATAGTTGATTTACCCATTGAACATGGTGATTTTCCATAGTTATGTTAGTTTACCAGAGGGTACCAGTGCTTTAGCCCGGCCCAGAAAACGATAAGACGATAATAGAAAAAATACGATAATGAGATTATACCTGTATACTGTACATGCTCATGAACCCTGAAGATGGCAACCTGCACAGGCCTCCAAAACGACAACAAAAACGATAATGAAATATGAAAAAACGCGAGTGTTTGGGCGGATATACCCACCTGACTGGTTTGAGTATATCTCGTTTCGAAAACCTGTATGTTTGATACATAGCGACAGAAAATGAAAGGACATGAGTACATGAAAGGAAAATGAAAGGGAACACATGCAAAACGAAAGGGGATGAATGCAAAATAAAAGGAACACGAAAGGAAATGAATGCAACATGAAAGCCAAAAGAAGGAAATCAATGCGAAATGAAAATACATGAATGCAACATGCAAGAAACATTAAGGGAAATGAACGCAAAATGAAAGGCAACTTAATGGAAATCAAAGAAAATATGACATCTGTTGACTTTCGGCCAAGGATGCTTTCACACCCACAGAAAGCTGGAAAAGCATAGTTCTAGTGAGCTTCGTTCAGTTGATCTTAGCGTAGTTCCAGGACGTCTGCGGAAGGAAAAAGCTATCATAAACCAGCCATATGGGTCGGAATGGTAACCATACCACCTATAAACATGGTGATGACTGGGGGATGGTTTATTGATGTTTTTTGTTTCACCAACATGATACGACATAGAAGACGTATACGTCATAATCGTTCTATGGCTCTTCTCGCTCTTAGATCACCGTCTTCAGCGAGGTGAAAGAGGCATACCGGGGGGCTTAGGATGGCTGAAGACTGACAAATGATGATTTCACTTGGGGGTATAGTGTCTGGCAAACTCACATAGCTATTGAAAATGGCACAGAACTGGTTGGTGGTTTGGAACATGTTTTCTTTTTCCAGATAAAACAATTGGGAAGAATAATCTCAACTGACGAAGTCATATTTTTCAGAGGGGTAGGTATACCACCAACCAGCTTATGCTTCATTTACCGAACTTCAAGATGGTGATTTTCCAGTTCCCGAACTGAACACGTTTACTCTAGAGGGTAACTTGGGGGTGTAGTGGGGATACTCTGGACTCGCTTTTTCCGTAATCCACCACGTGGGGAATCGATAGGAAATTGTTTTTACCTGTTGGGGGTCCTTCGATAGCTCTGTTGGATGGGCCGGATGCGAAAACTGGTGGAAAAAAACGGGGATTGTATCCACCTGTATCCAACTATTAAAATCACGGGGATATCATGAGCTTCCTGGGTTGAATGCCAAGGAATGCCAAGGCAGTATTCATATCATGGCTTCTCAACCATCACTGGTTGGTGGTTTGGAACCATGGAATTTTATGACTTCCCCAATAGTTGGGATGATGATCCAATCTGACTTTCATATTTTTCAGGGGGGTTGAAACCACCAATTAGATCAAAATATCATAGCAGAAAAGGACAGATTCAACATATCATAGCAGAAAAGCTCAGAAAAAAGGACAGATTCAACCACCATCTGTAGGATGGTGGTTGAATCAGTTGAACTGGCTCATGAATGATGTACCATGGGGGGTACATCAACAATCTTGGGAGATGAATGGTGAAGTTAACCAACATCAAGATTGAATCAACTGACAACGAATTACAGTACATACTTGTACCCAATGCAGGCGAAATTATCTAATCAACAAATGGTTTGTCAATACAGGTGGGGTCTATAAGCTGTAATCCCGCTCAGGGATTCCCAGCTGTGTTCATTGAAAGGGCAGAATTGGGAGATATGTTTAAATGTGTTGGTACAACAAAAACTCTCCGTGTTTGCAGTAGAGCCAATATTCCCGGAAGAAAAAAGGCTGCCACCACCTTTTTAGGGGGCTCAATTTGCCCCTTTTTCGGGGTTGATGGTGGTTATAGTTGGAGGGGTGACCTTCTTTTTGGGGGTCCACCCTTAAACTTTCATGATCAATGTTTTTTCTGATCATTGAATGCGGAGATTTGGTCTGTCTGAGAATGAGGCACACCGTGGTATACCCCCAAAATGACCCCGGTTTTAGCCGAGAACGATGAGAACGCCATATTTCCAGAGAAACCCATTTACTAGAGAGAGATTTTGGATACTCTGATGGGTGAACCCGCAAGTTATCTAGGCCAATCTTAGATGGATACTTTACTCCTTTAGTCTTTTGGTATCAATGGGAATATCATGGAATATCTACTAACCAGCAAAGAATCTATTTTTTTGCAGGGTATCTAAGATTGGCAAAGTTATCCCAAACGCCAAAAGACCTGAGGAGTATGCACCAAGCATTTGGGGTCTTGGACGCCTGGGGTCCTACAATGAACAAATTTGTTTCAAGGATTTTTATCCCGTTCATGCCCATCCAAAGGTAAAGATCATTGGTGTCTCGTCACTGTTTGCCTCACATCAAATCAGAGTATATTTGTGTCTGAAATCCACAGCGTTTGTTGGTTCTAGCTATCCTAATTGTTGATAGCTCAACCTTCACATGGGGATGGGATGCATAACCTGCGATACCAGATTGTATGGGTGAAGATAGGCTCTGCATGACCTAGCTATATTGTTTTTAAAGATATTAAAGGAATAGAGGATTTGATCTAGAAACCGCTTAATTCCATTGTTTTCGTCCATGATTTCCCTGACCACATGGGCATTTTTCCAGGCTGGTCGCAAGGAACCCGAGGACACCTTCCTGGCGCCGAAAGCTGAAGAACTTCCGAGACCTCGCCCGGCCGAGGTGTGCGGAAACTCGGGGTGTTGAACTGTTGCAAGCAATACAATGCAATACATGCAAACTATGATTATCATGATTATGATTAGGGTTTTATTACTGGTTTTATTATTTTTGTTGCCAGGGTCTATGTTGATATATAACTTATTCTCGATGGTTTCTGCACCAACTTATGACTGGTTACCACCTTGTGACATATGTTGACCAACTAGCAGCGGTTAGGATGGGGCTAATATTGATATCTACTCAACATGACCTAGGGATACCTAGGGTTAGTGCACAGAATTGGATGATGATGTTTTTGTTTTTCAGGAACCCCCTATATTTCATGGTAAAAACAATGTTTTCCGGTGATGATTTTCCCTTAAACCAATCCAGTGAGTAGTGCTATACAACTGTGGTTTGATCAACCTGCAGGAACGTACGGAACGTAGGCACATCTAGTGTGGCTCCCCAGTTCTGGAGGTGAATACGCCACTGCAACGGTAGATACATCCTGAATAATCTGAATAAGACACAATCCATTTGTTGACCTAGTCAAGGTTGGAATGTTATCTATCTTTGGTAAACCCACCCCAAATAGATCTTAAACCAAGCCTAAATAAACCCTGCACCAACCCTGACTAAAACATACTAAAACAAAAACCGACCTTAAATAGATCCAACATAAATCTTAAATCACGCCGAAAGAAACCCCAAACCAACCCTAAATTACACCCAAACCAACCCTTTAAAAAAGCAAGACCAACCGTTAACAGAAACTAAACCAACCTTAAAACAATCCTAAGTAAACCCTAAAACAAACCTATAAACAAACCTTAAATGAACCATCGTCGCAAAATACCAAGATGAAAAAAATGAACACCAAAATGTTGCAAATACCACGGAAAATGATAGGTTCGAACTTCGAACTCCAAAATGTTGCAATTCTCTTCCAGCTCCAAAATGCTGCAAATTGCAAGGAGAACGGACAGAACAGCAGATCAAAAATAAACAATCCAAAACGGAAAGAAAAAACAAAACAAGTTTGGAGCCATATAAATATAATATATATATATATATATAGGTATATATATATATATACCTATATATATATATGTGGTATATATATATATATATATATATGTGGTATATATATATGTGGTGTATATATATATATTCTGTGGGAACATGCAGGAGCTTTATATCGAAAAAACTAAGGTGATGTGTTAATTGCCGGGTGAGTTTAGCGACACCCCTTTTTGTTTGACCACGTTGGCTGTGGCAGGTCATCCCTGGGGATACCCTGAGGCAAAGGATCTTGAAATGGTGGGTTTTCCAGGTTTTTCGTTGGTTAAAAAAGGAGAATAGTACCTGGTTAACAAAGCCTGGTAATGCGAAAATTCAGATTGATTTACAAGATTTTCCTATGAAAACCATTAGTTTTAAATCGGATGGCCAGGTTGCAGTACTGTTTTTGGGGAACCATACTAAGGCACAGATTCTAAATACCGATCATATGGGACCCCAAGCATCCCTACTGACTTGTGAGGAAGTCTTCGTGCCCCATGTCGAGTTTTGCCATTGATTCGGTCGACCGAACCCTCGATGTTTTCTCGGAGGAAGTCAAGCCTTTCATGGAGGAGGAGGTCCCCGTCGAACCAAAGGAGGACTGTTGCCTCTCAAGCAGCGGATCTGCAAGACATAGCCGGTTGCTGCAGAAAAAGTCGAGTTTCAGCATGGTTTAAAACCCAACATATCTTAATTTAGATATATATATATATATATATAGATTTTATTACCAAAGATCCTTTCTTTTGATCCACCACAGAATCTGCAAGCGAGTTTTTTGCTGACAGACCAACTCCTGGACTTCCAGATATCAGTGGGTGATGTCAGATCAGGGATGACAGTATTGCATTGGGAAGCCATTTTCATCCCATGTTTTTTTCCATGACCCCAGTATTGATGAGAATCTGATGAAATGACTTGACCTAATATTGTTGAGTATGACCCCAATATTGGTCCCAGCATTTCATCCCAGTATTGACACAAAGTCATATTGAATCCTGGGACCAATATCCAGCGAACTATACCAACTATACCAGCGATTGATGTGAAGAACAAGGGGATTTCGAAGGGTTTGACCTCAGAACTGTGTTAGGCACGTTTCAATCAACGGTGTTTCACCCCGCTTGTCCATAGTTCTCACATTCATTCTCACCATTGGGAGGAAACCTACAGGACACCCAAAATTTTGGATGGCAAAAGAACCAGTTTCCTATTATGTATTTATATGTATCTATCATAATGTGGGTAATTCCCAATGCCATGTGCACCATCCCCCAGTCATCACCACATATATATATATACGTGGTATGGTTCCCATTCCAGGTAATGAGTGGTTTCTGGCATTACTTCCATATCTTACCTTACCTATCTTCCATATTTTCCATATCTTCCATATCTTCCAATGTTTTAACAACATTTACCAACATTTATGGCATTTTACCACTCCCAGTCATGGGTGGTTTATGACATTGTTTTACCCGCATTACTGGTCCGCAGGAGCCCGAGGCCAAGTGTCCGGGACAGTCTCCCGGTCCAAGCGAAACGGATGTTCCGGAAACGGAGAAGATTCTGGTGGCAGTTTAGTTGGGTTAAACATGGTTAAACCGTATGATTTTTGTGGATTTTTCAATGATCTACGCTGACAAAAATGAGGATTTTATCTGGTTGGTGGTTTGGAACATTTTTTATGTTTCCATATATTGGGAATAAATGGGAATAATAGTCCCAACTGACGAACTCATATTTTTCAGAGGGGTAGGTATACCACCAACCAGTGATTCAATGAATAGTGTGGGTTTGTCCAATGCGGGAACTGCCTCACTAGACGGCCATTGGACATCAAACCGTTGGGGTAACATATGCTATTTTGAGGCATACCCTTGTGATATGAAACATGTTGACCATGAAAATTGCAATGTTTACAGGAAGCTTAGGATTCACCAATGAAATTTCTGAGTACACACTACAATGTTACTTTAGAGAAAATGCAGAGCTGTATTGGAAATTGATTGATCTGGGATAATTTTCCAGTGAAATTTGAGCTTAAGCAGCACGCATGGTGGTTTGGTGTGGGCTAACCAAGGTAATGTTATCGACTGATTAGTGTGAAGGCCCCCCCCAAACAATTTTAGTCTACTCAATAACTGACATTTTTTTTGCGCCCCCCCCCCTCAACATTTTTTTTGAATTGATTTCAATTTACTTTCAATTGAAATCAATTTACTTTCAATTGATTTCAATTGAATTCAATTTAATTAATTAATTAATTACTTTCAATTGAAATCAATTTAGTTTCAATTGATTTCAATTTATTTTCAATTGATTTCAATTTACTTTTAATTGATTTCAATTTACTTTTAATTGATTTCAATTGATTTCAATGTACTTGCAATTTACTTTCAATTGATTTCAATTTACTTTTAATTAATTGATTTCAATTTACTTTCAATTGATTTCAATTTATTTTCAATAAGGTTTCCTAAAGTAAATGGACCAGCTTTACTCAAAGAAAGGTGGAGAAAGGGTTTTTGTTTTTTTTCAACCCCAAAAGTTGTTGGGCACAATAGAGTACCATCCAAACATTCATATTATTGAGTAACTCAGCCACTCATGGGGTACCACCTTGAAAAATTGTTTGGGTGCTGTGTTTTAATAAGGGTTTAATAAGGCACCTAATCATTTGAAAAACCTTGCATTTTAAAGCTTTAATACAAATATGGTTTCCTAAAGTAAATGGACCAGCTTTACTCAAAGAAAGGTGGAGAAATGTTTTTTTTTCAACCCCAAAAGTGGCTGAGCACAATAGAGTACCATCCAAACATCCATATTATTGAGTAACTCAGCCACTCATGGGGTACCACCTTGAAAAATTGTCTGGATGCTGTTTTTTTTAATAAGGGTTTAATAAGGCATCTAATTATTTTGAAAACCTTGCATTTTAAAGCTTTAATACAAATATGGTTTCCTAAAGTAAATGGACCAGCTTTACTCAAAGAAAGGTGGAGAAATGTTTTTTTTTTCAACCCCAAAAGTTGTTGGGCACAATAGAGTACCATCCAAACATCCATATTATTGAGTAACTCAGCCACTCATGGGGTACCACCTTGAAAAATTGTCTGGATGCTGTTTTTTAATAAGGATTTAATAAGGCATCTAATTATTTTGAAAACCTTGCATTTTAAAGCTTTAATATTAAAAACATGAAACAACAGAAAAACATTTTTTAAGTAACTAATTTAAAAATAAATTCAAAAATAATTAATTTATTAGGAACATTAAAAAAAATCTGGAAAAACATTTGCCACAATAGAGGCCCCCCCCAAACAGCATGGAACTGAATAAGGATGAAACTTTTTGCCACAATAGAGTACCATGCTACTAATCAGGTGCAAACATTAAAGGGGATGGTCATAGGGACCAAATTATTACAATAGAATTGAACGGGACGTCATATTGAATGGTGATGTACAAAGGTATGCAATTGATATCACTGCAATTAATTGGATTCAATATGATTTCATTGGTTATTCCAGAATGTGGACGTCTTCCAAAATCGCTTCAAGTAATTATGTGCGAAGCGACTGGGACTTGAAGACAGGATTCGGTGGCTTCGGCCAATTTGACGCACTGAATACTCTATCGCCCAGCACACGCACGTGTGGGCCACGGCGGCTGGCTCAACGAGCCACGACGTGCGCTCGGGCTTGTTGAGGATCATCACGGCCAACGTCCCCGCCGCAAATTCGATGTTATGGCCATCGCGGTGTTCGCCGCTTTGGTGACCAACAGGTCTCGCATGCTGAGAGCGGTGGCGAAAATCAGCAACACACCCGGGGGGCCAGGGGGGCGGCGTTCTTCCAGTCGCTCCAGCTCACGGCGGCCCAGGTGGTTGGGTTCATCACGGTTTCAAATATTGTCCGGTAGAGAGGTGGGTTCAAGGAAATTACTAGCATGATTTACAGTGACACCTTGAATCTAGGATTGACGAACCTTTTTTTCAAATGACAGTAACATGTTCATAACTACATGCATTATGAGATGTGTGATGTGTTTTGCTTTGAGATCATGTCATTTTCCAGATTTCGATGATGGACACTGCTAGGCTATGAAGGGTAGAAAACAGTTGGTTTTCTGTAGCTTTAATCAATACTAGTCCATCCACTGACTGCGTATTCCATTACCATCTGGTTATTTAACATAGCCATGGAAAATTACAATTTTTGATAGGTAAACCATCTATAAATGGGCCGTTTCCCATGGCTATGTTATAGTCATAACCAGAGGGTATATCCTCAGTTTTCCTCATCCCAGAAGGTTTCCCCACAGGAATCACCATATCACCAGGGATGGGGAAAAACGAAGCACTTGTCGTTTTCCTTGCCGTGACGTGAGGTACACCTTGAAGATCAAGAAGGTGCAAGATGATCTCGTGGTGACTGGTGACAAAGAAACATGTGGTTCAATGGGGTACCCTTTGGTAATTTAACAGCTTGCTATTGAAAATGGCTTTAGAAATAGTGGATTTACCGTACCCATTAAAAATGGTGATTTTCCACAATTATGTTTGTTTACCAGAGGGTAACTGTTCTTAAACATCGTGAATAAATGATACATTTAGGCGTTTTGTTTGGTTATAGGTGTATAGTTGGTACGAATGTCAAGCTGTGATGATTTCCTATATAAACCTCCATTATGTCGGGGGTGAAAAAAAAACATCACTACCTACAATGTGGGGCCCCCTAGATAGCTAAGTTGGTTTATAACTCCAATTACTATGGTTTATGGCACTTGCAACTATAGTTAATGGGGTTTATGGACCAACTTATAACTGGGGGGCCCCACATTGTACACATTAGCCATGTTTTCATTACACGAGGACGTTCCCCAGTCTCCCACATTGGATCCAGGAGGGCAGGCTCTACTGCAGCATGGAAACTCTGATCGCTGAATATTGCGTCGCTTGGTAGGGCGAACCCTCTGGTAATGAAACATGGCGGAAATCCTTGAATGGAGGTTCATTTCTCGGAAAATCATCTATAAATGGATATAAATGGGATTAAATGGGTGATTTTCCAGCAAGCCATGTTTGATTATAGCAAGAGGGGTATATGCGGTATATGTTATTTTTCCGGCAGTTTTGCAAAGGACGGGGCAAGCAGCTCTCCGAAGCGAGTATGACAATTGTTACTATTTCACCATAGTCACCAAGGCGCGTTCAGTGCACTATGTGTGCCCCTGATCATGATTGGACCAAGCTAGCTGAATGATTGGACTATATAACCATGACTAACCCTGCTTCAGATTGATGAATCACCATGTCCTTAGATGATTTGTTTGTTCAGTTCGGAGATCTCTACGAGTTCGTGAAGTCCCCATCATTAATCTTACACAGTCCATGGAAAAAGTACTGCCCCATAGTTGGATAAGCAGTACGTTAAGTTGTTGATATAGGGTTTATATAATCGATACTGTAGAGTAGTTGGTTTCAGTTGGTTTTAGTTGTCAGAGTAGTTACGGCGTAACTTTAAAAGTGTCCGAGTTATGACTAGATATGGGTCAAAGATGTCAAAAGTACGTCCAGCATTCCAGTGGCAGGGGAATGTACCATGTCATAACCACCCTTTTTTATGGTGACTATCATACATTGATATTTCGAAATTCCCATAGACATTCAGAAAATGATCCGGTCTAATTGGATATATATATATATAATAATAATAATAATAGTAATAATAACAATAAAAATAAAAATAAAAATAATAATAATAATAATATATATATATTATATAAACACCACAATCATATCCCACAATCAAACCATATCCCATATAATTAGCCTTGTCTAATGTCAGTATTACGTCACCAAATGATGCTGCAGCGCCTCCGGGTGGTTAATCGCCTGACAAAACTCAGGTGGTTCGCCGCGTGGATGCTGAAAGCCCATTGGAGTTTCTTGGAGAATGAATCGCAGGGGGGGATGATATATAACACTGGGTAAATCATCACGACCTCACTGCGACCGAACCCTGGAAATCATGGTTAATTTTAGGGGAATCATCCCCAAATGGCCCAACAATTCAGGTTAGTGAAATATTATAATTTACCCAGATAACACCGGTTCAACAGCCTCTGGCAAACTAACAGTTTGCGAACTGGAAGCCATGGCCCATAGAAATACATGGTTTACCGAACTTAATAGCATGGTGATTTTCTATAGCTATGTTAAGTTACCAGAGTGTAAAATATATATGATATATGATCCCTGATTGACTTGCTTAGATACGTAGTTTGGCCTTCAAACGATATGTTTGTTGGTTTATGAACCCATCTACCTATAGATTATAGATATGTTCCCCCTAATCAACCTAGTTCTTGTAGTTAACCAATTCAGACAGACCAAAGTGAACAATTGACATGCTAAGCATGTCAAAGCCTCATTTATTCTATACCCATTTGACCCATTGTTTATAGATCATTGTGCCCTTAACAGCCTTAACATTTAAGGTGCATTTAGTACTAGTTATAGATCATTGTACCACGAAATTGTGTACAAAACTGCGATCATGCCTTATGGGTGTGTCTTAAAATTGTGTAACCCAATATTCAATGGTTTATTGTGTATATCTACTTGGTGGCTCATCCCACTTAGTAAGTGGGTTATAACCCCAGTTATAGGTGGATTAACCCTACTTATCCCATTTATAACCGGGGTTATAACCCACTTACTAAGTGGGATGAACCACCAAGTATATAGATATGTCCATTAAAGGTGTTAACATTTTGGAGGTCCCCCATGTTAGAACACGGCGCCATGTGATGTCCAAGTTTTCTCAGTGGAGATCCGCCGCACTCAGGACTGTGAAGCCTATGGATCGTTTGGTGTCTCTCGGTCGTGGTTTTGATGTCTTGTATTTCGGGAATTCATTTTCCAGGTTCCATTTGTTTAATATATATATTATATATATATACACATATTATGTATGTATATATTGTATCTTGTATTATATTATATATATAATATATACACATATTATGTATGTATATATTGTATCTTGTTTAATATTATATATATATATACGCACAATTGGGGATCCAAGTTGTTGTTCTGGAATTTGGGATTCCAACTTGTGAGGGTTGATTTGGAAAGGGTTTATTGTTTTCTTTGGGAACTGTGGGTTCCAAGCAAAGGGGATGGTTGTCGTTGAAGTGACTAGACCTGGCGCACTCACAACGCCTGATAGAATATAAACAATTTCCTAAACTAGGAAGAAGACAATATCCAAACATATTCCTAAATAATAAGATGTACCCTCTCCGATAATCAAACATTGCAATGGACAATCTCAAATATTCCCAGATTTTTTAAGATTTTTTTGGTGATTTTCCCATTGAAACATAGCAAAACCTTCATTTTTTTAGGAGATTTCCCCATGTTTGATGACATCCCATTCCCCATTCCCCACGGGATGGTCCAGTTACAACGCACCACTCAGGAGCATCAATGGAAAGCGTCAGGAGGCTGCCTCCATGGTGTGGCTCGCTGAAAAACATCGATGATGTCGGATGGTTTCTGAAAAAATATGTACATCCAGCCCATCTACATATATATATATAATGGATATATTATATTATATACAATGTATAATTATGATATATATATATGTAATATATATATATATATGAACTATATATATATTAAAGTGGCTTGGCGGGGGATATATCATGAACAGTCGTATGTTTGGTAGATCTAAGCAAGATGAGATTGTCAATCATCCCTCTGTCGGGATGATACTGGTGGGACTGATGTTTTCAGGGCTTGATTTCCAACCAGGAAAAGTGCTTAGCATCTGGTTAGTCATCGTAAATCACCATGTTTAAGAGGTAAATCGGTAAATCATTATAAAAAGTGGAACTATACAAATGGTTGGTTTACCATAGCCATGTTAAATAACCAGATGGTTTCAGAAAGTCTCAGGTTTTTTTGAATTATAGACCTTGGATGTACTGTGGAATGATTATTTCTAAGTGGGTTGGCGGTTCCGCGGTTCAACATTGGTTTGGTACTTGTGTGTGTGTTGTTTTTTTTAATCTAATTTTTGTCAGCGGCAAAACCGATCCCAAGTGACCTTGGTTCAACCAGCTTAAGGGATAGAACACCAACTCAGTAGGTTTCAAAATGCTCTGTAGATCCAAGCCGATTTACCCTCTGGTAATTTAACATAGATATTGAAGATGGCCAGTTATAGTGCATTTTTCCATTAAATATGGTGATTTTCCATAGTTATGTTAGTTTACCAGAGGGTAAGCCCAGTAGATTCAAACTTGTGTTGTGATGGCTTCAGCTCCAGCGCGCTGAGGAAGACGTTGGCTGAATCGACGGGAATGTTGGAGTTGGTCTTTGAACGTCCCGTCATTAAGGACTGGACTGAAGACTACCGCAGCGCGGAAATGTGCGCTGCACACAGTGCTTGTCATGTTGATGGTATATGAATAAACCGTAAGTTTGTTGAAGGAAAACCCAAAAGCCAGAATTTGTGGATTCTGGTTCTGAACGAAGTGCTGCATTGGGCGGGCATTCTTACCAGGATTTACCTCCCAAAAATATAATCCAATTGCAGTTAAAATGCAGGTAACAAGGCCATACATGCGGCAGTTTGGTAGTCGTGTTTCCTAAAACATGGTTCGCTGCAACATCTGCATGTCTAATTATATAGTGGGAAAACCATGTATGGATATATCAATCTCAGTTGTACGTGGGTTTCATTCCTGGATTCTCATGGTCCCGCACTAGGATTTCATCTTCCCCAGCCTTGGCAACATCAAATACCGAAAAGCTGTATGAAATAAGGTCACCAAAACTTAAAATGGTTGATCATAGTGCTCCCTATTGAAATGGCCATAACTTAGGGTTGAAGATTTCAATTTTTCCGACGACAGACCATGGCATCCTGCCCAGGAAATCACGCTGGCGAAGAGGGGCAAGAAAGTGCCCAGACTGCCATAGCCTGCAGGAATGGAGACCACAAATTCAATGGCTTTCTGTTGTTTGAACTAAGAAGGTGAAGGTTAATATCATGTATATATTGAACTAGTATGAAGTGGTTATATAGATGGAGAAAAATCCACCAGCCACAAATTATCGGATTATGCACCAACAAATATAACTGGTGGGGCTGTTCATGTCGGGATAGGACATTGATGTGGCCATCAAGACAGATATGCGCCAGCCTTTAGGACTGTTGTTCGCGTTTGGAATTGGGAATAAAGATTGGTTTTATGTTGTTCCCGTCTCCCTGATATTGCTTAATCCCCAGGATTACTGACCCTGGAACAGTGTTCGATTGATTTTTTGTCGGCCTCAGGGAATTGAACATGAGGGGGGATGAGATTAGTTTCTAGTTGGTGTATGACAGTGTATGTTACTCCATCTAACTAACTAGTTTTATATATTTTTATATATCCATAATTAAAAGTTGGCGTAAAACCACGTCCAAGTAAATATGTGTATAATCCTTCATAATATATACATATATCATATATCCAGATATACATAGTCCTACCTAGACGAGTTACATATAAACCGACTTACCAATCGGGGGCCTCTTCCTGAAGATTAAGCGGGGTGCAGTTGCGAAAATCTCAAGTCTTCAGCAACAATGGAAAATCAATACGAACTAAATGTTGAAATCCAATCAATTTCTTACTGGTGCGTTTTACGTAGGCAATGGATGGGTTGCTGGGGGTTGCTGGGATTATTACTAGGGATGAAATGGATCATTCCCGAGAATTCCCTGCGTAAAACGCACCAGTAAGATTCAGGGGGTGAATCTTTTGGACCTTTTTCTTTCACAGAAGTTCGGAACATTTCCCACCCCACCAGGGTGACCACCATATTTTTGGCGGGCAAAAAAGGTCCTTCGGCACCACCAAGAAAAAAGGTTTGTATCATGTAACTATATTTACCCTTCATTTACCGATAGTTACCATCATTTTTTTTGATGAGCCAAAAGAATACCGTTCATTTACCCTCTGGTAATTTAACATAGCTATTGAAAATGGCCATTTATAGTTGATTTACCCATTACAAATGGTGATGTTCTACCGCTATGTAAGCGTTTACCGTTCGTTTACCTACAGCTATGTTAGTTTACCAGAGGGTACCTGTGTTGAAATGATCAGCAACAACGTTGACATCCATTTGGAGGCTGGTTTCCGTGTGGATACGGCGCTGGACACCTGCGGTTTGATGATCAAGGCAGGTATACCTTAGACTGGGTGACGGACTGGGAGAATGATACTGATATTATATCTAGTTATCTAATTAATATATAAAAATTATCATGGATATGATACAAATGATATCTAATTAAATAAATGTTGATTCTATACTAGGTATGAGTGACTTAGGACTTGGGAAAGATTCCCGGGGTGGACAAGTCCTATCTCATCAGGCGTCCATCTGAGATCAGCGTGCGGCATGGACCACTCGTAAATCATGATGACATAGGAATGAACTAGCAGAAATATATTAGGATTGGCCTAAGTCATCATGCTCGTAATGTAATGTTAAGTAATGTAACGCAGTTTAATCTAAGGTAATGTAATATAATGTAATATAATGTAGTGTAATGTAATGTACTGTACTGTACTGTAATATAAGTATGTATGTATGTTCTGATGACTTAGGACTTATGCCCCGGTGACATACGATTTTGTGCACCAAGTCCTATGTATGTAATGTAATGTAATGTAATGTAATGCAATGCAATGCAATGCAATGCAATGTAATGTAATGTAATGTAATGTAATGCAAGTATGTATGTATGTTCTGATGACTTAGGACTTATGCCCCTCTGGTGACATACAATTTTGTGCACCAAGTCCCATGTATGTATGTAATGTGTTGTAATGTACTGCAATGTAATGCAATGTAATGTAGTGTAATGTAGTGTAGTAGTGTAATGTAATGTAATGTAGTGTAAGTATGTATGTTCTGATGACTTAGGACTGTTGGCCCTCTGGTGACATACGATTTTGTGCACCAAGTCCTATGTATGTATGTAATGCAATGCAATGCAATGCAATGCAATGCAATGTAATGTAATGTATCTATGTATGTATGTTCTGATGACTTAGGGCTTATGACTCTCTGGCGACATACAATTTTGTGCGCCAAGTCCTATGTATGTATGTAATGTAATGTAATGTAGTGTAGTGTAATGTAATGTAATGCAATGTAATGTAACGTATGTATGGCTATCTTGCCTAGGTTTAATGAACATTAAGAAACATTGTTTCTTTTTTTTTAACCTCACATGGTGCTTAAGGCCCATGACAACCCCAGTGACTGACTTAGGACTTGGTGCACACAAATCACCTGGTAACAACACCAGTGACTTAGGACTTGGTGCACGAACTCCTATGTCAACAGGGTGGCTTTAGTCCTAAGTCCTTCGATTTTTTCATTATCTATATAATTAAATATATGTAATATATTTATAACAGTTGGGGATGATTTGTAATAGATTGAACACTAGATACTTGTGAATTATCATTGATAAGATGAACCATCATTATAATTCCCAATCAATGATAATGCCCAACTATCAAATATCATTATAGTTTCATTTCATAACTCATACGTGTGTTTGGAGTGTCCCAATCATCCCATGCTGAATTGTCCAGTTTGGGGGGATTTGATATGATTGAGCTACTGTGGATGCAAGAGATCCTGCACGCTGGGATGGTAGAAACCCAAACAAAACAATGGGATAAACTCCCTATCAACTGGTGCAGGATTTCTTCCATCCACAGTATCATATGGGTGCGGAATAGGGGCATATATATATACAATTGATACATGATGATTCATGATTCTGGAGCGGTACTAATACTAACCTATCTGGATTCTATTTGAGATTATGACAGGTGAAGCGGTGAAGTACGAACTTTCCTACATGATGCTTCATTCAATACCAGGTCATGGGCTGGACTTGTACTGATCGGATACTCCTACACGGTGACATACTGTGGTAAACCCAATGCTGTAAACCATCCCATGAACCAACCATGACTGGAGGTCATTATACAATCTGAGGGAGAGATGTGCATATATAGTCATTACATATGTATATATATATATATGTATTTATGTAAATATTTGCATCTATATCAGGTCGATGAATGTATATACATATATATATATACGTACGTATATACTTTTTTATATATACATGTATATAATATATATATATATATGTAAACAAAACTATTTTCTAATATTATATATGTATTTGTTTAAACAAAATATATACACATATTATATTTAAATATCCTATTTAATTTTAGTTTAAAATATGTTATATTATATTTATTATATCATGTGTATATATATATACATAAATATTATATTCATATTTTATATTATGTATAGATATTATTTATAGATATTTTGTATAAATATTATTTATAGATATAATATATTAATATTATATATTAATAATTATATAAATATATATATATATATATATAGATATGTTAAATCACATATCCAGATATACTTGTACAGGTTGTCACCAGGTTGCACCGGCCCCAGGGAGTGCAAGATGGAGCCGCGGCCGAGATGCCGGCAGGACGAAAGATTTCGGATCCGAATCCACGGCCGTAAACCTACAGGGGATTGGTTTATTTTAATAATCATATGGCAGTGTGTCAAAACCTTGTACCCCTGTAGTTCACATCAAAATAGCTGGTAAATGGATGTTCATTCCCCTAAAAATGGTATTAATAGATATTGATCCATACCCATATTGTGGATGGTAATATAAAATAGTATTTAGATTAACAAATCCATAAATCTATGATAATATTTCATAAATTCCATGATTATATAACATATTCCAGAAATGTTTGATAATATTTGTTTTAGTGTGGTTGGTTTATTAGTAGGCATGCCCAATGCATTAAACCGTCAATAGTGGGTTAATTAACCAACTGATGAATTAAGCAACCATGACTAGGGGCTATTGGCAACCAAAACTGATTAATCAACCATGACTGGGGGTGTTTCGACAGTTGCATCTGAAAGGAGAATGAGCAACGCTGGAGTTCGAACTCAGGATGCCAAGAACATCGTTCGTAGCGGCCTTTCTGCAGAGAAGAGATCCGCGGCTGGAAGCAATGATTCTGCCCCGGGGGCACCTGGAAGAACCAGGTTTGCATAGGCCTCATGCCTGTTTCACTTTCACCTGATAGGTGATTTTGGTCATGCCATCCCTCCTGGGATCCCCATGTTCGTCGCCAAGCTCCGGGGGAGCGGCATGGCTTTGCCACCGCGGGCGGCATTCTGTCGCTCCCGGGGGGCTATTATGAATAGTCCCAAATACAAATATAAGAAACCCCAATGGGGGATGGTTTTTGTTTGGCTTTACCATAGAAAAAATCCATGAAGACATGCCATGAAGATATGCTTAATTTAAATAGTGTGGTTGACCAGATTCTAGTTAATTAATCCTGCTGGTATTAGATTGTGGGTATCTTACAACAACTTTTGGGTTTCTTTATCACCATTTTCTCATCAAGATGGCCATAAATTGAATTTATATCCAGAATACAACGCCAGTACCAAATTGGGTTTGGAACAAATGCAACTCCACATAGGATTGCGTTATCTGGTAATATGATTAATAGAACTGCATTATTTAAGCTATGGTAATAATTAGTGGTATCCATAAATATATTATTGTTAGTACTTATTTGATTATATATCTATCTTCGTTGTGGAGACTAAGATGTGGTAATCATATTCATCTAATTGCATGATAAAACCATTTGCTGGTTATGTATTTTTCATGTCATATTCAATTTATCATGGAACAAAACAGTTATTGGCAGTAGCATGATTAATTTTGTTGCCTGTGTTATGGCGACTATGTCCTGAATTTAACATGGAACCCAAGGTCTAAATCTATTTAGTTGCTACTATTACTAGAAGATCTATGGTACATTATACATTTGATATATGTGGCTAAACCTTCCCTACAGGAATATATGTTGATATATGGCCAAGTTCTTCAGGTCTATGTATGAGTTCACTGACGGAAAGGCTGACAACTCTTGGGTTTTTTTCATGACGTTTTCATCAAGATCAACGGATCAACAACATAAGTTTGATGGTTGTTCATAATGGCGAGAAGCCTGGCGATTTCCAAGTCTTTGGCTGTGGCTATTTCCAAGATGTGCGAAGCATCAATCTGGTTCGAACATTTTCAACCTAGTAAGGGTTTGGCAACCATGGTTTGTTAACATTGCTGTTCCTAATGTAATGTATAGCTATGTATATGTCTATTAATATATATGATGTATATATATATATATGTACATCATATATGATGTACATATATATATATTATATGATTATATATATTACACACATATAGCCGGGAAACAGCAAACATATATCACCATAACATGCCCAGTTTCATCACCCCATTACTTGTTTCTGGTGACCTTCCCCATGTTGAAGGTCTAAAGTGTTTAGCAGTTCGCTGGAGTCCAACAAGATGTAAACATGTCCAAACATTGTTCTGATTTCCCAGGTATGTACCCTCTGGTAAACTAACGTAACTATAGGAAATCACTGTTTTTAATTGGAAAATCCACTATAAATGGCCATTTTCAATAGCTATGTTAAATTACCAGAGGGTACAATCCATTGTTCATTTGTGAAATTTCTTTCTTATTGGCTGCAACTCAACTTTGGACGATTCAACCACATTTTGTTTGCACCGCTTTGCCGCTTCGGCTTCGAACGGTCAAGCTTTCAGTCTTCCCAATTTTGGCTGGTCAAAGGTGTTTCCCAATTTTGGCGAATTACCCTCTGGTAATTTAACATAGCTATTGAAAATGGCCCAGTCGAAATAGTAGATTTTCCCATTAAAAACGGTGACTTTCCATAGTTTTTCGTTAGTTTACCAGAGGGTAACCTTAAATGTGTCAAACCTGAAATGTGTCAAACCTGAATCTTTCACAATTTTGGTTGCGAAAAAACCACCATGTTTTCCCAACGTGTTGACTCATCAATTAAACCTCCGCAGGAACTTTCCAGGCCGCAGACCGCATCATCGCGGTGGACGGCAACGTGGCACTGTGATTTTTGTTTTTGTTTCGTTGGTTAAAAACCATGGTAAAAGCCAATGTGGCTAGCAACAAATGTCTTTATGTTTTTTCCAAGCTGTTAAGATGAATTTAAGATATTTTTTGGCAACAGTTCTGTTGCTTGGTTGATGATTTATAAACCCAACTTACAAGTTCGATGAATCCGCTGGTTTTAACCCAGAGATGCAGGTCCCACGGGTCCCAGGGGTCCCAGGGGTCCCAGGGGTCAGCGTTGGCTCAGCTGGATCAACAAAAATAGGCTTACCCTCTGGTTATTGAACGGTTTGCCATGGAAAATCACCATGCTATTAATAGGTAAACCCAGGTAAGCCATCTATTTCTATGGGCCATTTTCCATGGCTATGTTAAATAACCAGAGGGTACAGGTTTCAAATTTTATGCAGCAAAAAAATGGGAAATCTTATGACAATATTATGACATCTCCGGTAGCATTTGGTTGTAAACTTGTGGTTTTAACCATGAAACTGGCTTTGTTCAAGGTTGTGTGTTTTTTGTTTTCACATTAGGACATCCATCATTTTGGGGAGACTTTAGTGTATATAGTGTTTGTTTTTTTTCTTTTGCGGGGCTCCTGAAGCAAATTCATTCCAATCTGGTTGAAACTCTGTGAATGCAACCCCCGCCTGGATACATCAATGTTGTGTTGCATTTCATGATTTTAGCTGGGTTATTGAAGATGAGAGTTCAGGGTTTTGGCCTGGAAATATCTATCCATTAAGCAGATACAACAAACATCCACAAACTATGTCGTAACCCCACAGTCTTGGTAATTAGTTTTACTGTTTTGGGGTAAATTAGGGCTGCAACAACACATCTAGATATGTGCATCTTGGTATGGTGTTTGTTTTCCCAGCTTTGAAATCGTGGGGATTTCCCCGTTGCAGATTTCGCCGCTAGTGATACTATCCCTACGCTATCCCCATGACAACCCTGGCTGTCTGGTGGACAGTTTGGCTTTTCCACCCAAGATGTACTGATGACGACGACGATGGTGACGATGGCTGTGATGACGATGACGATGACGATGAAGATGACGATGACGATGATGATGATGATGTTGATGATGATGATGATGATACCAGTTGACTTTTTTTTAATCAAAGGGGGTTCAATTCCACCAGCTACAAAACCGATTTAGACCCAGTTTAGCCTTAGATAAACTAGTAATTACATTGGAATCTATGTTGTCTTGTGTATTCCTATTATATCACGAAAAATTGTTGTCTCATCCACATTTTTGGTTAGATTCATTTGTTCCATCAACCTCACCTATCCTTCCCCAGCTGTCACCTACTGACCGACCTCTTTACAATACACGTCACTGACCGAATTCATATAGCAATCATTTCCAGCTTTACGACATCCTTTCCCAACGTGTATATATATATATATATATACATTGATATATATATATATATATATATATCTACGTTCGCATATCTATCTTTATATCTTTATATTCGTCTAGATATACATGTTTATATATTACTACATATATATATACACATATGTATCAGTGGGTTTATTATCCCCCGTTATAGCATCACATCCACTGAAGCATCTGGACATTACACATTTCCACGGAGCGAAGTGCCTTGTTGCCTTGAGGTGTCGAGGGGCGTACTGCTGATCTGTTGAAATTGCTTGGGGCTGCTGATGCACCGGTGCTCAAAGTGTAGCTTGACTTGACTTGCTGGTTGGTGGTTTGGAACATTTTTTATTTTCTATAATATATGGGATAATCCTTCCCATTGGTTAATATTTTTCGGAGGGGTTGAAACATGTTGAAACCACCAACTACCAGCTTGACTGGACTGCTTTTTTTGGTGTACGGAAGTGTTAATGGTGAACGGAGGGAGCAGTGAAAGGAACTCAGGAAAGTCCATATTCCCTATAATATATATCTATATATATATAACAATATGTGAACCAGTTGGAACTACGAATAGAGTGTCCAAACACATCACAATTCAGGTGGGAATAATGATGAGTATGGGTCTATTTCGTTGCAACCTGTTGGTACGTGTTCATAAAATCTATATGATTCCACTATACACCCATATGCTCCATGGTGCTGGTATATTTACCAATAAAGCTGGGTGATTTTGTTTGGGCAAATGTTGGTAAATCTTCCAGCACCATGGAGCATATGGGACAGCTACTCGTATACATATTATCATATTCGCCACGAGAGGCTGGTGGAAAAACGTGGCCTCAAGAGCTAAGGAATCGTTTACTTTACAACAACCGTTGAGTTCATTATATAGGGGGTTATAGATATATACATATAGAGTTAAAGCCTGATTTGGGGTTGTGTATCTGATATTTAGTTAAATATGGATATATCATATATATTCATATATCAAATATATCTATAGTAATTGTGGGATTCTATACGTAGTTCAATCGGGTTGCACGCCAACAAGCATGAGGTTTTGGAGGCCTCAGTGTGTAAGATTCTGTCCATTGCCGGCTCAGATTTCCATAGCCATACGATCCATGTATGGTATATATGCTAACATTTGGGGTATATTGATGGTAAATGTTACCATATATAGCATATATGGATACTATGGGATAGGGCAACACAATGTTGCGCTTTGCATTTTGGTAATTGCTGACCAGGCGGCCTGTAGCAATTGATTGTAGGATTTGAAGAGAAAAACCTACGTAGCACAAGCCAACATTCCGAGACACAACGAGGCATTGGTCCTGGGTTCTCTGCAACATGTTGATCATGTTGTCCTACGTCATCCTGAAAGAATCCATTTGTTACCATCCGTTGGGCCAGTAGAACAAGTAGAAGAATTGCTGGTTCCAAACAGTTGGTTGCTGGCAGGTTCAAACAGTTTCAAACAGTGGAACAATTATGTTTGAAAACAACTAGAACAATTAGAACATAGTTGGCAGTTTCAAACAGTTTCAGCTATGTGTTCTCATGGTCTGGCATCATATTTATTCATATTTCATGTTTGTTCAACATTTTGGTATCCCATAGCATAGACATTCCTTTTTCCTCTGTTTGCTTGATTGACAGAGGTGTAACCGCCTGCCAGTGAGCAACCAATAGGTATATAGATGAAGATTGTAGGCCGGCCTCACTATTTTCCCCCTAAGATTGTAGTTGGATATACTACCCCGTGTATTGGGGAATATCAACATAACCCCCACACGAGTTTTGTTTTCCAATATACATCCCATTATTCCCCGTGATGGTCGGAGAATACCCTTGCTACTTACTTTCCTGGCAATCGTTTTAGCGCGCCATTTTGGGGTATCATAATGGACTACTATCACATGTTCATGGTAAAACCCCGCTTTTCCCACCATTTCCACTGTTAAATCCAAATTTTCCCAAATCGTTCATGGTTACCCTCTGGTAATTTAACATAACTATCGGAAATCACCATTGTAGTGAATTTTCCCATGAAAAATGGTGATTTTCCATTATGTTAAATTACCAGAGGGTAGATACCATGTTTTTCCAGTAAAATTAAATCACAATGTTCCCAGCATGTCTCATGCTTCGTCACCCACTTGGCTGCGAGTTGTTGCTCCGAAGCTCAGGTGCACCTATGCCCAGATTCCCCTCAAATAGATCGGAAATTTCGAACACATGGCGGCTCCTTGAACTGAACATAGATACAGTATCCTAGTGTTTCATAGCGGTTATATTGGTGATTCAGAATGGTTGGTTGTTAATAATGGTTAATAGTGGATAATAGCGGTTAATAGTGATTAATAATGGTTCATAGTGGTTGGTTCATAGTGGTTGGTTCATAGTGGTTATGGCCCGAAATACCAGTTATAAGTCAGGGAAAATTTCCATAAGCCCAATTGATGGAATGATACCCCCATAAAAATAACCGTAGAAATAATTATGTTTAACTATCTATAACTGGTAAAGGGCTTTAACTGTAGTGGTTATAAAGTGACCAAGCATGTTTAGCCGTGATTCTATAATGGTCAATAGTGGCTACAAAATGGTACAGTACTCCCTTCCCCCTTAAAAGCCCCAAAAAAGAGCCCCTCAGAAAACCAGGCTTTCATACGGCATTTAATGCACATAATAATTATTTGGGACCATACAATGGTGGTGTTTTTTGTATTTAAATGATGGGATTATATTAGTGCCTCTGGGGTAAAGCTACGAAAAGATTCGCGCAAACTCCCCGGATGGGCCGAGGGGCCAAGGGTTTGGATGTCCCCTTTGTGGGGATTTTATAAACTATTTGTTGGAGATTGCAATGATTATAAATTACTTAAAATATATCATATTATATCCCCAATGGTTAGGTGATGTTTCATTAAGTTTCATTAGGACATTGATCAACCCCTGTTCATAAACTACAGTTGTGGCCGTGTTGTAAGTTATAATATGTTATAGTCCCGTTGATGGAATGTATAAACCCATTTAGAACCATTTATATCTGGTAAAGGGCTTTAGCTGCAGGATTCCACGAGATAAATCTCTACTCTGAACCACCACACTTGCCTGGCCACGGACACGTGGACCAAGGTGCGACGCGCGGTGAGTACAAGACCGACCCAGATAGAGTGGTTGACCGGATGGCAGCTATGGCATGACACGTTCATGACATGTTCAGCAGACTATAGTACTATAGTGACTTCAATTATTCCAAATTTTTCATTATATCTGGCTGGATCTTCCTCAGGCCATTATTTCTGCCCGACCTGAAATTTCTGCCTTTGTCACATGTTCTGCCCGAGGCATGTTTTTTTTGTTTTCCGCCTGCAGGGGATTTGCTCATTTTTCTCCATATCCTATGTTGTGATCTGATATCATAACAATATGTGGAAAACATTGGAAAACAACATTGTCAGAATAGAATCGGATTTCTTGAAATCAGTGCTACGGGGCTTCCCACCCCAATCGCGCCTATTCTCGCCCGATATTGTGTCAACACAATTTCACATTCGGCCCAAGTTATTTTTTTTGGAATGCACACTGGATCATGTTTCAGGTTGTATCAGCCACGAATCATCACAGCTTTTGACCTCAAATTGCAACACTTAAATATACCGCACTTGATCGCAGCAGATGTTTAATCAAACACAGCTATGTCATGACGCTAATCTAATCCACCCTTTTGGGGGAGGTGGTTCTACTCAAACTTTGATTTGGTGAATTGTGATTTTTGTTGGATCCGTTCTGCAAGCGGGGGGACTTGCCTGAAGATCTTAAGGATGATTTGCAAACATATATCAACTGATCCCAGATGAAGATGAATGGTTTAACACTCAAACTTGATCACGTGGCACCTACACTTGCATGATTTGACAGAACATTTGGATGATTTGACACTGGAACTTGGTAAAACACTGTCCATACTTCCCAGGGTTGGGAGTCCATTGGTACCTTTATGATCCTTGATGTGTGTGGACGGTGAAAGGTTCGGACACGTTCCCGGCAGGACTGAAAATGTGGTATTCACCCCCAAACAGGGCCGTTTCTTTTGAGCAGAGAGAGAGCCCCCGCCGCCCAAAAAAAAACAGCAAAAAAAGACACGTAGAGGACTTCGATGATGAACGCATGGATTTAGTGGTCTTCATAGTAACATGTTCAGACAAATCCACGAAAGCGGGTGCCTGAAAATAGGGTATATACCCCAGAATCTAGTGGTTAATCAACACATATCAACGCTTTCCCCATGAAATTGCATTTTTTAGGTATACTCCAGTTTCAGTCACAGCCAGATCAGTTGTTCATTATTTGAATCCCCATGTTGACTGGTTAAATCCCATTAAAATCCCATTTCTGATGGTTCAAATCCCATTAAACTCCCACAAAATCCCATTGAAATCCCATTATAATGTATCAAATTCCCATAGATGTAAAAACCAAGATGTGTTAAATCGGTCAACCCGGTGCTGTGGATCAAAGGCTATGTATGCCTTGATTAAATAAATGGTTCCCTTTCGCTTGAAAGGCACCCACGCGGCAGACTGTGTCCTTGGTGCTCACTACGGCGGCGTGTGCGAGCCACGAGATACGTACCATACCATTGCATTTCATTACAATCATTATACTTATTATTTTTTCACATTGCCATACATTATATACATTCCAGTCTCATATAGATATTATAGAGAATTGGAGAGAGAACGATACGCAATGACATCTGCGCAAACTTTGGCAGATTGCTTTGAGGATGGAACTGTAGTTTGTATAGCGTTGGTGCTCCGGAAGTTGGATGCAGCTCGTTGGGTTAGGTTTGTCTAAACAGTTTGGGTCCCTGATTTAATCGATTGCCAGGTGGTGCCCCACAGAGTTATTAAATTAAATCTTACTATAGATGTGATTAGTTGGTTTATGTTGGTTTATAAGAAGCTGTCCAACTAAGTCGTATAGGAATGTATAGGAATCATTTACCCAATTGTTAAGCTAGTGAAATATGCACTATCTCAACAAAAACAAGTTGTGGCACCTGGTAACATCCACTGCTAGCCGACGCAATCGGTTGAAGCATCCTTTTTGTGGTAAGGTTATGGTGCGAAACAATGTTTCGAAAAAACCTTCCAGATGGTTTGCACTGGGATGCAACTGACCACTTGGTGCTACCCATGTCAAGCGAATTTTAGAGAACCCCAATCTATTCATTCATATTTAACCTATTTTTGGCAGGGTAAGTAGTCTATATATTCTGTATAGTCTCTATATGTTTTGTTTACCGCTTCGAGCGTTCTCGAGCTTGCTCTGTCGATCTGGGCGACCACTCGAAGAGGCGGATCCCACCGACAGGAAACACGCAGAATAGAGGACTTGAATCCGAGGATGGAAGATTCAATTCTATCAAGCCGCCCCTGCCAGCCGTTGGTGGATCACACAATAAGAATCAATAATGTACATATACATATATAGTATATACATATATATATATATATATACATATAGTTATTTAATTTCATGAAAATCCGCCAATTATAGAATTATAGATAGATGTGTTCCATTTCAATGCCAAAATACCAATTTCGTTGGTGGATCTTTTAGCGGCCTGCTATTTGCCAACTCATGACACCGGGTGAGCTGGATTGGGTTGGTGAAATAAACGAACTATAACTTGGGGGGAAACCACCTTGTAACTCGATAGCCTAGGCTTTACCATGAAAACATGCCATTCCAAGTCTAGAACTCTGGAGGCCGCTGGTCAACCCTTGTGCAGATTCTACTTCGGTTATATGCCTCTTTTGGTATCTTCTACCCCACCGTGTTTGCTTGTTTGCTTGTTTTGCTTCGTGGTCCATGGTGCTGGAGTATTACCAACATTTACCACATGACCCCTTTATGTAGATAAATATGCCAGCACCATGGAGCATATGTGCATGTTGATAACATTAATATTTTCCCCTAGAACTGCCATCGTAGTAAATCCATCTAAATCCCCTAGATTCAGACACCCAAATTCAACATAGATACATATCACATGTTCAAATGGATGCTCATCAATATGCCATTAAAGCACCATTGATTATGGTGAAATCAGTTTTTTTTTTTTCAGGCGTGCTGATCAGGGGCCTTTTTGCATTTTCCCGCGGCCACTTCGCTACGGCAAAAGCCGCAGTCGAAGCGGTCATCCTGACCATTGCTGCTTAAACGAAAAAGTTGGGCCGGGGAACCTTGAGAAAACAAGGGGTGTTTACAGTTTACAAATCTAAGAAGGAAACCAAAAAAATCATATACTTGTCCTAACAAGAGTAAACTTGGGTAATTAAATTGAGGTACTTGGATAATTATATAATTACTTGTAAAAAGGATCTATATACATAGTTAATAGTTGATTGCTGGGTTTCCCCATTCCGCACCTGACTTGCAAAACAATGCCTGCATGCTTTGTGGCTGCAAAGATTTGGGTTTGATCGAAAATTGGATATGCCCTTAGATCCATTGATTGGTGATTATTTTTCCTATTGACATATCCATATTTGAGGGTATACCGCACTTATGGACAAAGCTAGAAGGGGCAAATCAGCCAATTCTGCTTCTTTGCTTGGTTTTAAACTTCCACACATGCTAGTGGATAGCCACTGGCTGCTTGAAATGCCTGCACCACCCTGATCAAAGCAGATCAGGGGATGAATCACGAGATGAATGGGATTGAGTTGGTCATACAATGGATCTGATCCGGGGATAATCATGGATAACCATGGGATGTTAATGGGATAATACTTGGATATGAGTGAGTGGATGTGACTGGATATTATGTTAGTGATATTATGTTAGTGATGTAGATTGAGGTCATTTGTAAAGACCCCACCATCGCCGAACGTCACTAGACATTTTGGGACTTGTAACGTGTAACCGTGTAACTATCCCAACATCGCCGTCAGGTTGGTGAATGATGATCATGTACTTACAATGGCGCACAAGGTGGTCCCCCTAGTTATGTTGGTTGATTTATGTTCACCCATCACCCATAGATATTTCATTGCCATAAAGCCAGTAGTTAAGCCTATTTCAATCAACTTACCTTGCGATTTGGGTCACCACTTTGTAGAATTTCTATATTGTCCAAGACATGGCCCCATATATCCCTAATATTTGTTGGCTAACTCCCCATACTTGGTAGTAATATCCCACATTTCTTGATATTTCCCCGTCACATCAGAATCCCTGGCGGAGACACCTGGCGCAGGAGGCTGCCTTGTTCACCGGCGAGTTAATGAATATGTTTGGGAGCCTGGTGCTTCAAAATGTCAGGATGTTTCAGACGGGGTTCATGAGTTCATGGGTGTCATATATTTATATATATTTATCTATAGATTATATATATATGTGTGTTTGTATGTACACATTCATGCATGCATGCATGCATGCCTGCGTACATGCATACATATATATATATATATATATATATAGTGTATATGTATTATACTATGTTTAATATAGTACACAGTATAAATACTATAAATCAATTAAACACATAATATTTATATAATATGATATATAATATGATATGTAATATAATAGAATATATCATATACATTATACAATACACTTTTTTCTATTGCTTTATTATATATATTTACAATATATTTACATTTAATGTGTACTACATATATATACATACATATTCGAACGATTGAACACTAAAAATCATTATATTATTCCCCACCTGCCAGGTGAGGGTTGTTAGATTTTATCAGAGTTGTTCTTCTCCTCTTCCTCCTCCTCCTCCTCCTCGGCTAGCTATCCTCCTCCTCCTCCTCTTCCTCCTCCTCGTCCTCCTCCTCCTCCTTCTCCTCCGCCTGTTTCTCCTCGACCATGTCTGCATCAACTTCCACCTCAACTTCCGCCTTGCCAACTCTTGGCCAAGCTCTTTGCCAACTTCCCAGCTCAGTGTGCACCGCTGGACCTCAACCTGGGACCTTCCCAGCTCAGTGTGCACCGCTGGACCTCAACCTGGGACCTTCCCAGCTCAGTGTGCACCGCTGGACCTCAACCTGGGACCTTCCCAGCTCAGTGTGCACCGCTGGATCTCAACCTGGGACCTGCCCAGCTCAGTGTGCACCGCTGGACCTCAACGGCCAGATAGAATGCCAGAAGATATGCCAGATAGAATGTCAGATAGAATGCCAGAAGATATGCCAGATAAAATGCCATGAGATATGCCAGATAGAATGCCAGAAGATATGCCAGATAAAATGTTAGAAGATATGATATGCCAGATAGAATGCCAGAAGGTATGCCAGATAGAATGCCAGATAAAATGACAGATAGAATGCCAGAAGATATGCCAGAAGATATGCCAGAATGTTTGCCAGATAGAATGCCAGAAGATTTGCCAGATAGAATGCCAGATAGAATGTCAGAAGATATGCCAGAAGATATGCCAGATAGAGTGCCAGAAAATATGCCAGAACATATTGCAGAAGATATGCCAGGTAGAATGCCAGAAGATATGCCAGAAGATATGCCAGATAGAATGCCAAAAGATATGCCAGATAAAATGCCAGAAGATATGTCAGATAGAATGCCAGAAGATTTGCCAGTAAGAAAATGTATAAATGTCATGATGGGGATGACTCGAAGCAATTTTTTTTTTAAATTACATTATATTACATTTTACATTATATTACATTATATTTTATGTTTCTTTAATTATATTTAATATATATTTTAGTATATTAATTATATATATTGTGTTTCTTGAAGTCCTCCAGAAATTGGAGACGTACCACTCTGTGCTTTGGAGTTTAATGTTGCATTTTTGCCCCCGTCCATGAGATGTTTCACCCAGAGCATGTGCTTCTGCAATGGGTGGGTGAACCACCTAAGCAGTGCGGATACCCACAGTAATCAAACATGGCAATTGAAAATCCACCATTTATAGATGATTTTCCCATTAAAACCTCCATTTAGTTCGGGGGTTTTCCATTGCGACGTTTGATTACAGGAGACTATTAAAAATTGAAGAAGCAAGAGCTTCCCTTGCGTACCTACAGATCGCTGTTTGATCGACATGTTTTTTTTGATTCCTGCATGTTTTTTTCAGTAAAATCCATTAACTTCTCCTTTCTCATGATATAATCCCTATAACGTTTGGGTGCGCAGCACCTGCACTTTTCCACGTGGCTGGGAGACTCATCCTGTGTGCAGCGGCCGCAGGTATGAACGCTTTGCAGAGCAGCGCGGCTGGCAGTTCGAGGCTTATGATTTTCCTTCGAGCACGAAATGATGGGTTGGAATTCACTTAGTTACTGGGTCAACCTTTGTTAGATACTTTAGCACTTTAATCTTTTGCTATCAATGATAAACTGTACTAACCAGCTCAGCATTCGTTTTTTTTGGAGTATCTAAGATTCACCATGGTGATACACAAACTTCCTATATGAAGTACCCTCTGGTTATTTAACATAGCCATGGGAAATGGCCCATTTATAGATGGTTTACCTATTTAAAATGGTGATTTTCCATGGCTATGTTAAATAACCAGATTGTAATTGCACTTTAATTTTATGAACACAATAGGTGATTGATGATAATGAAGTATAAATGAATCATTGATGTCCGGTTGATTAACAGAAGGTGAACCTACCCCTTCAACAAGCAATAGGTAGATGATTGATTTCCATATATACTGGGATATTGATGGGATATCGGATACATCCATGGGATATTCATGGGATGTATGAGTTGAGAAAAATTGATAAAGGGTTGAGCCCTTCGATAATTTGAGCTAAACTATTTGGCACATGGTCGTTCAGAATCTCATTTGGGATCCATCAAGTTAGCTATTACCTTTTGGTTGGGAGATTTGAATATCAACAATGGTGGTTTGATGGTAATTTCATGTGGTTCGTTGCGATGCTTATACACGCTTATACCATATTTGGAGGTGATGAACATCCACAAATCCCCACTATTTTGGTGCGATCAAAAAGGTACCAGGGTTTTGATGGCCCAGAAGCGTCATGTCAATTTACTCGATGGTATTTTCCATCACAAAAAATGGAAGGATGGTCCTTAATCAAGGGAATCCAGAAACCGGAGTGTCCACTATTCTAGCCAACATCATTGCACCATCATTATAAGAATTAGAACTACGTATTGAAGCTGCAGAAGCAGATGATATGGACAGCCTACCTGACTATAGCTATAATCACCATAAAGCCAACAGTTGACCCACAGTAGTTACTTCAACCAACTCAGCTAACAAACACTGGGGCATCACCTGGCAAATGATGGGATCATTCTGTCACTCGTGATTTGCTGCTTAGTTTAAGTGGCTTATAATATGTCATAATACAGCAATTGCTAAGCAGTTATAGTCATAGTTAGTCACTAAGTGCTTAGTTTAAGTGGGTTACAGTACAGCAATTGCTATCAAATTAGTTTATGTTAGTTTAACAATTAGTCACTTAAACAAAAAACATAAACTAATATAAACTAACACTGTTGGACTTTAGTTAGTTTAACCAGCTAGTTTAATGTCTGACACTGGTGGAAGACTGCAGATTTTCGCTGGCCAGGTGGAGTCGCTGATCGAAGTGCAACCGGAGGGTGCTGTGAACTTCGCCTCCGCGCCTGGGAGAAAAAGAACGCTCCACAAAACAGGGATTAATGGGGATATATTATATAATATATATATATATTATATATATACATATGCAGGTTTCCATAAATGGAGGTTTCCACAAATGGAGGTTTCCATAAATGGAGGTTTCCATAAATGGAGGTTTCCATAAATGGAGGTTTCCATAATGGAGGTTTCAATAAATGGAGGTTTCTAATGGGAATGGGAATTCTATATTGAGGTCTTCCGGAGATTCATGTTTAAGGGTTTCCATAAATGGGGATACTCCAATAGCTGGATGGTTTATGCTGGAAAATCCTACAAGCATGGATGATTTAGGGGTACCCCCATATCAGGAAACCTCCATATATATAATATATAATATATATATATGTGTTATATTTATATAGATATGCATTGACCAAGAAAAATAGGGTTTAGGGTTGTCAACAAAGGACTTGTCAGCAAAGATTGGAGCCTTAGAGACCTATCTGGCCAAACGTGTTCTGTTTTCACCAAAATGGGGCCACCTTGTAGGGGTTCAGTGACAATCCTGGAAGCGACATGAAGCTCACAGCTGTAGCACTTACAAGAGCTGTTTGGTGGTTTCAAGCATTCAACAGGTCTTGTAAGTGCTTGTTTTGGGAGATAAATGTTTGGTGGGAGGTTAACCCACATATCGTTTCAAAGTTGAACATTGCTCAACCATATATCTTGTCCTGGCAGGTTAGCCCACATCTCGTAGTGGTCTATCGCTTGAACATCTTCTGACCTACTGGGATGCACATTGACGAAAAGTAGATGGTTCAATACTTGGGGTGCATCCCACTTTGTATGCGGCTTAGACTACCGCAGAAAAATATCTGGAAAATCCCCACTTACATATGGGATGAAATATGGGTTATAGTATGCCTTATAAACCATGAATCCTAAGTGGGATGCACATTCTGAATATAGTATCTTCATTAATCATATACAAAAATCATATTATAAACCATATTATAATCCCCAAATATATAGTATCTTCCCCGCTGAATCTCGACTCAGGTGCGTATTGCAGCCTCGAATCATGACGAGGTCGGCAGCCCGCTGGAACTGTGTTGCGATGATCCACAAGAAACCGAGGGGTAAAGCAAGTCATTGGGAAATTTAACAGGATAGATGACGATAATAGCTATAGGCTATAATTATTTACAAGGTGCTGCTCCTTTTTTGGTTTATGCTCACCCTTTTGACCTATGTCGTTATGTCTACCAACTTAGCTAACAGACGGGGGTACCATCTTGTATTAACCAGATAAAAGTTACGTGTTCGTTGCGCGGCATCTAACAAGATTGACAATGTGTAGGATGTTGCATTGGTACCATGTGTCAAGAAACAAGTGGTGACATAGTATCCCAAGCAAGTCACAATGTGGCAATAAATTCAACAAACATGGGAACATACAGTAACTTTACCAAAACCAGATGAGTGTGGGTAAAAGTTTGTAAATAACCTCATTCCATTGGCAAACACATGAAATGAGTATTGAGTGAAGCAAAACAAGACATGAAGGCCTTGCGTGCATTGTTTGTGTCCAATCTCTCCTCAATTCATCCTTCGGTGTATTCTTTTGCCAGCAGAACAAACCAACACAACTATATATCTTGATTTATGTTGATGCATGTATGTATATTGTATACATACGTATATACATATTTCAATATTTCTGACAAGAGTGAAGTGTGTATATATATATATATTCATGAATATCCGTGCTTCAGAACTCAGCAATGTCGCTATAATACATTTTTTTGGCTGGTTTTAATACACGGTCCACTCTTAGTCATACTTTGCCCTGCTCGCTGTCCACCTCCCATGAAGACGCCAAATCTTCGGTTGCTCATAGTTTCAATGATGCTGAATCCCCAATTTTGCCTAAATCACATCTCTAGATATACGATTACACATATGTATATATATATAATTTTAATTAAATAAATATATATATATATAATGTCATATATATATACACACTAATAAATTACATATATCTACACATGTTTCCCACGTATCTTCCACCCGGGTCGGAGAATGACCGAGGAGAATGCGCCTTTCGGGTGGTTGCGCCACGAATCGGGCGTGCACCGCGTCCAGCGCGTCCCGGTGACGGAGCGCAAGGGCCGGATGCAGACCAGCAGCGTGGCGGTGGTGCTGCTACCGGTGGCTGAGGAAGCTGCGACTTGACACGCAAAGGGTCGGAAGATATGGGAAAAATGATGGGAAATGATGCGAAAATATGGGAAACAGATGGGAACATGTGGGAATTTCAGCTGCAAAAAATGGTGATTGATGGGGATCGAAGAAGAAAGGTGATTTGAGCAGAGAAACATGGGAATCAAGTGCCCCAGGCTTTTGCTGCCTTGACTCAGCCCCGTGGCCTCAGTATCTATAGGAACATGGAGTACCAAGCAGTCGATGTTGGCGAGACGCCTTCCAGGGATTACCCGAGACGCCGAGACGTCTTGAACATCGCCTGCGGCGCAACATGCAGTGGATTACCCCCAGGCAGCAAACATGCGAGACGACGCTCCGCGCCGGCGCAACAGGTGATTTATTCGGATCTAATCATAGAAAATTTGGATTTAAGCAGCGACAAGGGTGATTTAAGCAGTGACACATGACAAATTTGGATTCCACCATGAAAACACAGATTTGAGCGGGTGATTTACTGGGATCTAACCATCAAACATTGGGATTTCACTATGATAAACAGGGATTAAGCAGCACAAATTTTGATTATATAATTGAGATATGACCATGAACAAGTGTGATTTAAGAGGCGAAATCAGCAGTTTTTATCTATTGGAATCTGACCATTAAACATGGGGATTTGACCAACAAGAGTAGGCGGGCCTCTGTGAAATCCCTTCGACGTTTGGACGTTTGAATGACAACATTTTTTATCATCAGATTAAATGACAGAAACCCATCCAACTGATGATGGTTTTCCCATTCGAACTGATCCGTTTGTGGCTCCCCCTATATGTGGTTCCCCCTATGTTTGTTGGTTAAAAAGGTTCATCCAACTAGTTCGATCTATCTACCGTAACCCTAAACCCCACCTTGTAGATGGGTCAAGTTGCCCCAAGACCCGGGAGGGCGACGTAGTGTGAAAACCAATTTAAGTCTCTCATGCAGGGGAAAAAGACATTTATAACATGTTATCACCTCATCTAACATCATCTACCATCACCTAACATCATCTAACTATCATCTAACTATATGGGAACGGCGCTGAGAGGCGCCTGGTGGTTTCAAGGGGGTTTGCATGCACTTCTGCAGCCTTGCACGCGTGTCTGCTTTTTCACTTCTCAAAAACTACTTCAACCATGGAACAATTTCAGCGGCGTAACATGAACATGAACGTTAACATCCCACCCCACCCCACCTCACCCCACCCCATCATCAAACAAAAACATAAAGACAAGGAAAACACAAAGAAAAAACACCAAAAAGACAACAAAACACCCAGGCACCCTGCAGCGCCCATGGCAACTATATAGATAGATAGATAGATAGATAGATAGATAGATTGATTGATTGATAGATTGATAGATTGATAGATAGATAGATAGATAGATAGATAGATTCATAGATAGATAGATAGATAGATAGATAGATAGACACACATATATATAGTATGTTCATTCTTGAAAAAAAAGAACATATCCTAGTTATCAACCAACTAAGCCATCCATTGGGGCCCCCTTACTGTGCCGTGGCCATCTCGCGATCGCTGAGGACGTGACCTTGTCCCCGTCGGAGGTGCGGATCGAAATCAGCAAGAAGTCTTCGGGGCCAGGAGGACAAAGCGTGACTCTTGGGAAGAAAAAATGGGGAGATGTTACCCTCTGGTAATTTAACATAGCTATTGAAAATGGCAATCTATAATAGCTATGTTAGATTACCAGAGGTTAGTCACTAAGTGCTTAGTTCAAGTGGGTTATAATATGTTATAAGGCAGCAATTGATAAGCACTTAGTCAGGTGGGAATTTCATAATCCCAACTGACGAACTCCATCATTTTTCAGAGGGTTTGAAACCACCAGCCATTGTTGGAGATTGCAATGATTATAATTATTCTATAACCCCAATGGTTAGGTGATGTTTCTTTGGGACATTTATCAACCCCTGCTGAGCAAATACTACAGTTTGATATTCCCAATATATTCCCAGGATAGTCCCATTGTATCTAGAATCTAGATATGTTTTCTTACCTTGATATCTACACGGTTATGGCCCGAGTTATACCAGTTATGGCAGTACTAGCATGTCACCCCATTTTCAGAACGGATAATCCCATAGAAATCGCCAGTTGGAACCATTATTTATAGTTGATTTACCCATCAAAAATGGTGATTTTCCATACTTATCTTAGTTTACCAGAGGATAAAACATGGAAAAGAAACCTCTCCAACTATTTTTGGCCATAACTGTACCACCTTCCCATGGTTGTCCAGGTGAACTGATCAATGATCAATGAGTTGGCTTGGACCATTGTACCTCCTGGTCACTTTGATATCATGGGATATAGATGGATGATGATGGATGTATCCTAGTTTCATTGACTAACTTCAAGCACTAGTGCGTGTCTCCCAATGCCATAGAGTTCCGTGCGCTGCATCCAGTCAAGATGATACCTTAAGTTGAGGTCCTGACAGCCACATGTCACGGATTTGTCCCAAACAAATGTGTCTTAAGTTTAGGGAGAATCCCCGGGAGAATGATCTAAACATATATAAAAGATGCCATCTTAAGGGGTGATCAGACATACCCTCACAGCCCACAGCCATTCTGTTGGGGCGGTTCCCACTCTTGACTCCTAGCCCGTGGGGTGGATCGGACGAAAAACAAATCTTCAAATCTATGGAACATTGTCCCTCAGTTTTACATACATATTTTGGGGGTCTCTGTGTGTCCATTCACAGGCAAGTTTCAAGGAAATCCTTTGACCATCACCAGCCTATCACTAGCGGTAGGTTGTCTTGCAGAAGAGGCTCTGAACGGGCAAAATTGAAGATCCAGAAATACTGTAAGATGTAAGTCTGTTTTTGAACAGGTAATGACCATTTGGACACAGCCAAAATATCCGAGAAACAAACTCACTTTTTTTGATTAGTAACTTTCTTTGCGGTTAGCTATATGATCAACCAATTGATATATACACCAACATGAGCAGGAGTACCCTTGAGTAAACTGCCATAGCTATGGAAAGTTATCATTGTTTAGATGTAAGCCATCATAAATCATGTGTATCATTGCAAATGAGCAATTTCCATAGCTATGTTGAATAACCAGATTGTATTACCTTGTTTCAGGCGATTGAATTATGTCAGAACAGCCAGACTTCATGGACCATTTGACCATTACAAATACCAAGTTGTAGATCTCTTTATGATGTACTATAATGTGACTTTACCATAATATGATAATCACCAAATGTAGGGTGTATAGCGCACACAAATATAAACTAGCCGGCAATACAAATCTTTATTTTTGTTTGTTTGTCTGTTTGTTTGCTTATTTGTCTCTCCATCCATCCATCCATCCATCCATCCATCCATCCATCCATCGGCACGCAGATCCCCTAGGGTTGGCGCAGCCTGCTCAATCTTTGGGAATGGCAGAACATCATTTCGTACCAGTCATTGGCGTTTGACATTGGACGTCAGAGCTGGTTTAGTGACCGTAAGATGATGGGCAACCATGTTAACCACTCCAAGCGGGGAACAACTGGGCACCTCTGAATTCGAGGAATGTATGTTTCACTTTGGGGTGGCCCATGTGGACGTTGTTGGAGCAAAAAAGACATGTGATCCTTTATGTTTTTTATCCATATTTGTCACTGTCTTTGCCTAAATCATTTCTGCAAAAAAAACATATGGGCCACATCAGCATGCCGTAGCATTCATATCATGTATAGTGGTATTATATATATATATACATATATGTCCATCAAAATCGTAATCAATAAAACAAACACTTATTCCATCTTATTCCCATGATATTCCCAATACATTCCCGTTGTATCTAGATAATATAAGACGTGTTTTCTTACATTAAGATATCTATTGAGGCTTTTTCGATATCAACTTATCAACCGTTGGATCAGGAACGCCGCGCACCAAGCGGTCCGTGCCACGCACCTCCCTACTGGCATCTCCGTGCACTGCACGTCCTCGCAGTCGCAGTTTGCCGCGCGGCCATTGCGGCCGGGGTGGAGGCGGTTAAGGGTGCCTTTGGGGGTTGAAAAAACCTGTGGTTTATAGATGTTTATAGTGGTTTACAGTGGTTTATAGTAACCCATAGTAACCCCATGTAACCAATATGTAACCCCAAACAGATATATACCCCTCCTCATCCTCCCTTTTGTATATAAATATCCAGTTAAGTCACTCTTTTCGTAGGATTTATAGAAGTTCTATATATTTGTTCTTGGGCGTTGCATGGATACAACTTGCAGGAAACAAATGTGTGTCTTCATTCAGATGTGTTTTGATCCAAAATAGAGCAAAAACAATTTTAGTTGTAGCGAAATCAAATGAAACAACACAGTTAAAATGATGGTTGGTATCTCCCTAGAATTGGGGCTGGGTTCAAAACTGTAAACATTCAGAATGAGGTTCTGGAAATTTGCTGGTCAAATCATCAAAGTAATTCTTGCGGGACCAGTGGGACCGACCCTGACATCTACGGCCTTTGCCAATTTGGCTATGATCTACTTATGGGATTCTATGGGTATGAACTGCTAGAAACATCACTGAGATATCTACTATCCATAGATTCCATAGATTATCCTCTATGGGCACGTTACAAACGGCATATCCTTGGGGCTAAAGCATGGCTCTTTTAGCCATGCTTTCCCTTAGGCCCTTTTTCAGCGGATTTTATCCATCTGACAAAATCCATCTGTTGACTTCCATCCCTGGTAAGGAAAACAAGACTCGCGCGTTGGACATGTTGCGCACGAAACTCTTGGACCAGCAGCTTCTTGGTTTCTGCACGGAATGATGCCATGCTGGGCTTCAGATTTAACATGCAAAACTGTTGGTAAACAGATCTCAAGTCTCGGAGGATGCTGTACAAATCATGATTTGCGGAAGTAGAGTTGCTCATGTTCCACGTAACTTGTTTTGAAATCACCGACCAAGTCCATTTGTAGCCAACATTAGCCAACCATATTTGTGAAATACTTGATAATTTGCCGAGAGGAAATCAACATGATTGATAGCATATAGAACATGTAATGATATATTATAGATATACTCGTACATATTATTACATACAATCAACCCATTTCATCTTGTAATTTCAGGGAAACCATAGGAAACCAATATTATAGCCATAATTATTATTACTGTACCACATCAAAATCGTTGGTTGATCATCAGTTGCCACCGTTTATTAGTTCTTAGTATCCCATGCTATCCCAGTATTACATCCCATCATGTGAAATTATTTCATATCCATTCATTTCATATCTCACTACCCCCAACAAAAAACACCGGAAAGTCGAACAGTTGTAAACATTGTTTTTTTAGGAAAACATCGTTGAACTACCATCCCGGAAAACATGTTCGTGATTTGTTGGGGGGTTACATGGGACTACTATACGCAGAGTATCTCAATTACTTCAAAGGCATGGAGGAATTTCACCACGAACTTCAGTTGGATGATATTCCCATTATCCTCCAGTAAACTAACATATACTGGTTGGTGGTTTGGAACATGGCTTTTATCATCTTTTATCTTTCCATATATTGGGAATAGTAACCCCAACTGACGAACTCATATGTTTCAGAGGGGTAGGTATACCACCAACCAGATATAGCTTTGGAAAACCACATGTTTTGTCGGTAAATCATCGAACTCAATGTGCCAAGAAGGCATCTCCTCGCATTTATCCACAGGTCCATTTACAGTACTAAATTGCTGGTCAATTGTACACTGAGGATTTAAAATAGTATTGTATGTAATTAATATATATATATATGATATGATATATGTCAATATCATATCCCAAAGTTATTTAAGTGAAATGGTTACCATACTGAGTAGTTTGCTATTAGATATTATGTTTGAACCAACATACTCCAAGTATAATGATTATTACCACCAATCTTTTCCAAGTTAGACTATTGATAATATCCCCAGTGTCTTCATAGTACAGTAGACCATTTTTGCAAACAACAACAACAACAACAGCAACAACAACTACTACTAAAACTACAACTACAACTACAACAACAACAGCAACAACAGCAACAACAACAACAACAGCAACAGCAACAACAACACCAGAACAACACTAACACTAACACTAATTAAATACAATTAGCATAGCTATTATAACCAACATTAAGTTATCCCTTAGTTGCTTCTCCCTATAAACTACTGGTGCATCCGTCCGTCCGCAACGTCCGTTGCGGTGTAGGCTCTGCGCCCGTGCAGACTTCGAACGGAGCGAGCGCAAGGGCCAGCGGGGCACCAAGGATCGCTCGGACGCTTGGTGACCTTCACTTATGGCCCTTAACAGTGAATGGGATTATAACTCCTGTAACTAAGGTTGTATATATAAAATATTACATCCCTTAAATGAGGTTATAAGTTATACGTTATTATTTGTAGGGCTACAACTGTAGGGATGTATGATTTATATGGAGTTGTTTTTAGGGATTTATGATCTATGGATAGGGATTCATGTTTTAATTGCTCAGATTTATCTGGAGTTACAGACATGTTTTTGTTTTGATCTAAAACATATTGGGATACATGGAGATATATAATTATATATATTATGTGGTTGATTGGTTACTATAGGGAATTATACTTTCCCTCGGTTATTGGAGAGTATGAACTAACCCATACTGATAACGAACACTTATCTCTCCCAAGCTCGGTCTCAGCAGTGACTTGGTGCTGCTAGCTTAGCTGTTGCGCCTCTGGTTTGCTTAAACATCAAGAATGAGGACAATTTGGATTTACCCTCTGGTAAACTAACGCAGCCATGGAAAATCACCATTTTTAATAGGTAAGCCATCTATAAATGGGCCATTTCCCACGGCTATGTTAAATAACCAGAGGGTAAACACAAAACAAGTGGGGTTGATAGATGTTGATAGTTTATGTTAGTTTTGATATGATTGTCGATCTAGAGGTTCATGTAGAGATTGTCCATCACAAATGCCGCCAGGGTTCTAACTTGAGACCTCGCGAGGTTTTCTTTTTCTGAGTTCGCGAAAGTATTTTTTTGGGTGGCAAAAGATTTAGCGAAATATTTTACCATGAGACCCCCGCGAAAGATAAAGGTGGGGTTCGCGAAAGATTCGGGACAGTATGTTTTTTATTCGCGAAGAATGGCCGTGTGCAGAGGAAATTTGTTTCACAGGGTGAACATGTGGGGTTTAGGGCAATGATTTTTGGGGTTTGGGGAATCTTTGGGATCAATACGAACAGAGTTGGATTGATGAATATTACAATGTGAGGCCCCCAAGATAGCTAAGTTGGTTTATAACTCCAACAATAACTATGGTTTATGGTACTTATAATTATAGTTACTGGGGCTTATAAACCAACTTATAACTGGGGGGCCTCACATTGTAAGCAACTTGTAACGGAAGGGGCCACTTTGGATGAAAATAGCCTATGGTTTCTTTGGGGAAATGATGTGCAAATTTAAGGCGTTCGATTGGTGTCTTGGCCAACAAAAATGGTCATGTTCTTCCAATGATTTGTTTAGAGAGATAGCGGGAAAAATCCACGAGATTCCCTAAAATGATCTAGACATGATGGTGGGCTGTCCATTCCATATATCTGGGTAAATTTCATCACGACCGAACCCTGTTCTCCCTCACTGGAAATCATGGTTAGATTGCGGGGAATCATCCCCTTTTATGGCCCTAGTTCATGGAGAAGACGGGAGGCCCAACAATTCAGGTTACTGTAATGAAATATTATCATTTACCCAGATATAGGTGTTATATCCCAATTTATGGTGGTTATAACCCTATTTATGGCTTCCATGTTTTTCTTGATCCACTGTGCAGCCAATGGGTATGTTTGGATGTTCGACATCCAGTACAGGGGATGATTTTGTTGATTTATTTGGAAATCTGTAGGTAAGGATTGGAGACCGGGTAGAAACCAATTGATAAGTTTTCCAAATCGATCAGCATGTAATATCTATCTATATATATAATACGTATACACTATACACATACATTTATTGGATTTTACATCTTTGGTTTGGAGTAGTACTCCCCGGCGATTACTTTGTGTTGCCTGAATGTTTGACTTGCGTAATGGGTGTTCTTACCTAGTTCTAGTGGTATCGTTGGCATTTGGGCATTTTTTGGCTAAGTTTCAGTCCTTTGTTTTCTCCGTGTTTTTTTTCCCCAAGTTCTGTTGGGGTAAGCGGGTAAGCCCTGGTTTGGTGTAATGGAATTTGGGAGAAACCTGTTCAACTCCAGGACTCTGATGTGGTTGGGTGGCCTCAATGTCACACGAAAATAGGCAGGATTGAGATGTCTGACTGTCAGTCTCTGATTCAGAAAAGCCACGCATCGGTGGAACAAGGAATTCGGAGGCTGGCTGGTTGGTGGTTTGCAACATTGTTTGTTTCTGAATATATTGGGAAGAATCATCCCAACTGACGAACTCATATTTTTCAGAGGGGTAGGTATACCACGAACCAGCTGGTCTTTGTTCCTCAAAAGCAAAGTGCGACGGAAAGGCATCGGGTTTCAACCTTGCAACCAACGATTTGATTCAGCACCAATTGACCCGTCATGGCCCGAGTTATACCAGTTAGAAGTACTAAGAACGCCCTATTTATAGAATGTATAATCCCATAGAAATCACCAGTTATCTCATTAAGAACGCCATAGGCTCAAAACTGCAGAGCCTCTTGGATCGCACGCTTGGATCGCAGCTGAGTTCCTCCAAGGAGAAGATTCGGACCTACAACTTCCAGCGAGACGAAGTGGTTGAGCCTCGGCCGTTGTTTCCAGCACGATGTTAACCATAATAACATATAATAACCATGAACAAAACCGTGATTGAATGGAATCATCATGGACAAGTGGGAACAGTCAATATAGAAAGGTACTTCCCCCTAGATATATTGAAGTACAGTCAAGTTCGCCAGCATGTAGTGAAGCTCGTGAAAATTCAAGTTAGCCAATGGGGTACCCCGTTTTCATAGGAGCTTGAAGCCTCAATTTCTTGTCCCCTAGTCTCAGATTTTGACACATTAATTATTTTTATAAAAGTGTTTTTTGAGTAACTTTTGGGTCTGTGAAAGATTGGTTGGTGGTAAACAGAAATTGTGTTTTTCATCCTGACCTCAGATGATACGAATTAACCAAAAACTGATGCAGCTTATGAATGCAAATTCATGAGCCGACGCCATCAATGTCATAAATAGGTAAATGAAAAGACGTCTTTGTACACTGCACATTGTTTTTGCCGTTCACATAAGTAGAGCTCTATTTTTCTGTACATACATAGATACTAGATACTTACAGCTTAGATATGCAGCAAAAGAGCACGAAGGAGCTGAGCCAAGCGAAACAAGAGGCATGGAAGAGCCGGTCCCTCAATCACATGCGTGCCGTTGCCACATGTTGCCACCTTATTGAGCCACTCCTACTATGTGGGGCCCCCTAGATAGCTAAGTTGGTTTATAACTCCAACAACTATGGCACTATTGTTTATGAAAAGGAAATAACTATAGTTAATGGGGTTTATAAACCAACAAACATCTCTGGGGGGGCCCCACATTGTAGCATTTGAAGTAGCCTTCAATTTGAGCTACCCAGACATGGGCCTCAGCATCTTGAGCAGATGCAGCAACTGGACCAACTCGTTCTTTCACTCGGGTGAAACCGCCAGATGATGATCTAGCTGGAATCATATAATATATATATATAATTATATATTTATATATGTATTAACCCAATGTATCCTGATATGTTTACTCTGTTTTGTTGGGGTGGGCATGTTTATCTTTGACAACCAAAGTAATTGTATAAGGAGCATATCCCTGTTCATAGTTTACACATGACACGACTATACATGAAATCTACATAGGATGCTATTGATGTTTAACGCCAACATCAGCTGTTCTGGTCCTCCCACAGTTGGCCGAGGACCATCGACTGCCCAAAGATCAAGGTGGTTCAGGTCACTCTGCAAGTGACTTGGTCAGCGTATTTGGCCGGGCGTCTGGAAAGATGGGGATGAACATTAGACAACTAAGGGAGTGGCATGTTTGCACATATCCAGTGTGTATAATGTATGTATACACATACATGCCTGATTCGTCCGTTATTACATCACAAGAATGGTAATTATAGATACTTATAGTTAAGAGACCATCTCTGAATCAGGTGTGAGCGAATTACAGCACCCTCACAAGGACCCGAATTGATTTTCGGCCGAGCACTTGGCATTGGCGTGCGCCATGCCGAGTATAAAATCCAATAGACCAACACAGACTAAAGTACCATATACATAGTATGAATCATGACTACAACTAGATAAACAAAAATGGTTGACAATGGATGACAATGGTAGATGTATATATATATATATACATACAAAATTTACGCATTGAAGCCAATGGAGATCTCCAACCTTCCGCTGCAGGTGATGTCCTCTTCGCTGGCGGCTTGGAACAGATTCTCTTGGCGCATCAGGCGCAGAGTCTTGGCGAAGCAGAGAGTAGCACCAAATGTGGCTTGGAACCCAGGAAGATGGTGTTGAAAAGCTTTAAACAAAAATGTATAATATATATATATACACGATATATATATATATATAGATATTTATACGATATATGATATATATATATGATATATATATATATATATGTATAATATATATCTATATATACGAACATATGTATATGTACATGTATGTGCATATGTATATGTATATCTATATGTATATCTGTATGTATATCTATATGTATATCTATGTGTATATATATATGTATATGTATATTTGTATGTATATCTATATGTATATCTATGTGTATATCTATATGTATATGTATATGTATATGAATATGTATATATATATATATTTAATTATCATACATACAACATGTTTATATGTAACAAACATGATTTCAACAAACTTGACCAAGATGTGATTGCGCTAATAAACAAAAGGTGCAGTATGTCGCGCATAGGTGCGGTATGTTACCCAAAACAACATGGGATTTAGATATGGGGATGGGTTTGGCGGCCATGCGATCGGTTGATGCAAATGATGAAATCCCGTTTGTTTTCGTGTGAAGAGACTAGGTGCAGCCTGGTTTGCCACCTAAACAAACGCGGGTGTTCAACTCTTCATGGAAAAAACAAACACATACATCATGACAAAAAAACGTCAAAACACAATTCCAGCAACTTCCTGTTGTTTCTGTTCTTGCCCGTTTCCCACCTTCAACTTATATATACCATTTACCCATTGAATATGTCATTCCCTTGTCGATAGGATCCTCGGGCAATGAGTTCTAAGATTTCTAGGACATATTCAGTGACACTGTAGAGCCCACGAGAAATGTACCATCTGGTTATTTAACATAGCCATGGAAAATCCCTCATAAATGGACGTTTTAATGGGACAATCATCTATAAATGGGCCATTTTCCATGGCTATGTTACATAACCAGAGGGTAATTGGCATATGATTTGTGAAAAACCTCATGGATTCTCCCGCACAAACTGTGGAGAGTCAAGATTCATGAGAACCCCACCCAAATGCTGACCGTCAGATGCCTTACATGTGTTTTTTGAATTACCCTCTGGTAAACTATAAAATAGCTATTGAAAATGGCCCAGTCGAAATAGTGGATCTACCCATGAAGATAGCATGGTGGATCTTTCCAGTTCGTTACGTAAACATACGTAAACGTTTACCAGGCCGGGTAACAGTCATCTAAATTCCATTACATCACCATTAAATCACCATTAAACCACCATTAAACCACCATTAAACCACCATTTTCCTATGGATTTCAATGGATTTCAAGATCTCAATGTGGATCAATTCCAGCGACCGAAATCACCATTTCTTCGTGACGGTTTTCCATCCTGGGATGCCGAGGACTCGAAGGATGTATTTGGGCTGCTCGGCTTGGAGAGTTATGACCGTCCTGGAAAATGGTCCCCATTTTCCCCAGGGTTATCTTGGCTTCCGAAAAGTACCATGGATATCTATGGATTATATACATGCAGCTACTTGAAATGTATACTTATTGTATTGTATGTTGTTATGTCACTATTCATTATATTGTATGTCATATTTGTTTTACTTGATACATCACATGTACTTATCCTAATCGAAGATATGCTAATATCAATAATGACCCATCATGATCCATCCATATTTTCGTCAGAACTAGGAAAACTATACATGTAGCGTAATTGTTGGATGTTCATCCCTCGAGCGGAGCGATTCGCTCCGGAGCTGTGGCGATCTGCGATCGGTTGATCCACTTACGCTTTGTATCAAACGTTGGCCTAACATTCACATGAGAATTTCTGGAACATCCCGTAGCATCCCCATAATTTCTCCTGGAAATATCTCATCCGAAAATGAAGGGGCCCACAGATCGACATTCTCTTCATTGTCAAAAACACTTCCTGTGACTTTAAGAAAGCACATTCCATTGGTCCACGTAGCAACCCGGACACTGACACCACGACCTCAAATGATGGGAAAACCAAGCATGCGAGTGGAAATGATGCCATTTAGGTGTAATTGGTTTATGATGGTTTCTAGAAAGTCATCCCAACCTGTGTTTTTTTTTCCATGTTCTTTCAGGTTGGTGATGGGAATTTGCTCAGGTGTGGTTTCGAATTCGCAACATTGTGCAGCTTAGATGACCAACTCCGTTTTATAGCCAGCTCCTGATCCTTTTCATGCGGTGGATTAACATAGTTCTGAAACATTTATTTCTCCAGGGAAAAACAACAACAACAACAACAAGTCATTTTCCATAAAATATGTGTTTGTTTATGTTAGCCATACAAGACGTTGATTCTGAGGCTCAAAAAAGTCAGATATTTCAGCCCCCTTTTATTTTGCGTGACCCCAACAATAGTAATGGTTGTTGGTGGTGATATTTCAGCCCTTCGCAAAGCCTGATGATCTCCCCGAGGGTTTTTCTAGATCGATCCAATTGTGTCAGGGCACCCAAGTTATCTCCAGCCCAGGTCAGGCAGCCACGCTGCTCAAAGACCAAGTTTTGAGTGCGCAAAAAAAAACAGTTGGATCTTTGGGCGGCCGGTGGTTGAGAAACTAAGACAAAGGATGACGTGATACATACAATGCAATGCAATGCAATGTAATGTAATGTACTGTCATGTAATGTAATGTAATGTGCTGTAATGTAATGTAATGTAATTTAATGTACTGTAATGTAATGTAATGTACTGTAATGTAATTTAATGTACTGTAATGTAATGTAATGTACTGTAATGTAATGTAATTTAATGTACTGTAATGTAATGTAATGTACTGTAATGTAATGTACTGTACTGTACTGTAACGTAATGTACTGTAATGTAATGTACTGTAATGTAATGTAATGTATGTATGTATGTATGTATGTCTATATATATATATATTTAACATGTTGTTTTGATTGGAACAACAACAACAAGAACAAGAAGAACAACAACGTGTAAATATATATATTATATACATATTGTATCGTTTTATATATTATTAGTGAGTTCATGTGAAACATGGAGATCTGACTTTAATTGTTTAAAGCTTTTACTTGCGAATGGTGGTTGTAGCTTGGGGCCACTGGCCACCATTTCCTTTACAAATTTAAGCCCAGAAACACATCCAATTGACTTGCATTGGAGGATGGAATGTATCTCTTGCGATCTCTTTCGCTTTTTGTTTGTGAAATGCGCCTTTGAAATTGGGACACTGAAAAGCCAGGGTTGTCATTCCTTCAGGATTTCCAAGGATTTGTACGTTCGGGATCCCAAATTGTGGTGAGAGACAAAACGGATACACTCTGGCAAACCAATATAGCTATGCAAAATCACGGAACATCATGGGAAATCACCATCTTTATAGCAACATCACCTATAAATGGTCCTTTTTGAATAATTAGCTACAACTTAAGATCGGTAGGTGTTTTTTGGGGGCCGGAACTTCGCTTCTGCCAACTCGATCGTTGGCTTCCACTCATGAATCCAGTAGGTCAGATCGAGCAGATCAGCAGCAGGACTACTGACTGCACATATGGATTTGTTTTTTAAAAAATGCAGGTATGAACACAAACAATCACAGAGCAATGTATACATATCGTTACACTATGTTTGGACATGCATAAACATATGTATACTGCACAGTTCTGTACAAACCTACAGGCATAGGTCAACATTTAGGCGCCAGCATGAAGATCGGATGAGAAGAACGTCAATAGCAAACAGATTGCCTCAGGGATGTATGTGTTTCTATGTTTCGACATCTATCAACTTTCAAAAACACTATCAAGTATGAGACCCAAGTGATATGAACCGCTTATTTTACCAATCAAAACTGGGCTCAAATAAGCTAGCATGATACAACACGTTGCTACACAACCTAAAGTACTCATACAAAGTACCATATAAAGTACAAAGCATTTGTTCCCCCAACCTTGGTATTCTGTGAGTCAAAAAGCTCCAGCACTCGTGGCGCCATGGCTTCAAAGAGTTCCAACGCTGAAAACGACGCGGCCAAGGTGGCGACGCTCACCGAAGAAGTGCCGCATGGCACGGATCGGCACGGAAGCGAACCGTGGGATCTCCAACGTTACCGTGGATGAATATTAAAGAATGGGTTTTATGAATGAATCAATGGCCATAATACGGGCTATGTAAGGGGATATCCCCCTAAAATATGGCCTTATATGGTACAGTACCTCCATTTTAGGATCCTGGAATTCCCATTGAATGAATGGGATATGATTTGGGTATTAATATCAATTCAATGGGATAATATCTATAATGATGATTGCAAGTAGCTGTTAGATAAATATGAAACACTGGGACTGGTACTATAATGGCATTCTGTTGGGATAAAACATCTACGAACCGGTGCCAGATTTCTTCCATCCACAGTAGGTTACGGTTGGTGGTGCCCCAGATGGTGATTGGAACTATGGTTTGGGCCATACAAAAAATTACACAACTACTGCAGGAAGGATCCCTTGCTAACTAACGATTGGTAGGTTGGGTTCTAAGTTAGGGTTATTACGGGGTTTTTGCCCAACTTGTAACTATGGGGGCATCACCTTCTACTGGGAACATTGGCAAATCCAGCGGTTTTGTTTGTAGAAAAATGTTAGGACATCGATACACCCATCACTCGATAGGTCTCTCAAAACCCTTGAATCCATATAGATCCATTTAGGGGTTTCCATAAATGAAGGAATCCCCAAAATGCTTAATTATTTATAATGGAACATCTTTTTGAAATGGATGGTTTGGGGTTACCACCATTTTGGGAAACCTCCATATGTTACCAGCAATTCAAATTTTCTGGGTTTTCCTGTAACATGTCCATGGTGGGAACTGATCGCCTTGGGGATAGTCTCCTCGCCACATCTTCAACTCCCGTCGCTTGCTTTGTTGCTTGGCGGTCAGCTGAACTGGTGATGTTGATGATTTTTTTCCAGCAACCTCACGATTTTATCCATACATCTACCCTTTGGTAATTTGTTACATAGCTATTGAAGCCATGGCCATAGAAATAGTTAAAACCTGATTGAACATGGTGATTTTCCATAGTTATGTAAACGTTTACCAGAGGGTATTTTACAGCACTAGATTGTGGAGCGAAACTGACCCTCACTCTAGAATCCTTTTTTTCCTTTCCCTGTTTCAACATGTTAAGAAATAGAGCACTAGATGAACGTCCCGAAGTAAACCCTATATTCTATATTATTCTATCATATTCGATCAATATTTGCGTACCTCTCACGAATGTGTAGAGGAATGTGCCCTCAAGCTAAGTTGCGAGTTGCAACTAGCTTCACAGATCCCTGATTTGCCGATGATGTCAGTTTTTTTCCCCAGGGAACATCCACGACTTGGGGAATCTTCCTAGGGACTGTGCTTTTATTTGTTCTTGTTGGCGTTCCTTAATGAAGTAAATCCAATGTATAATATATATATACATTGTATACATAGTTACATGGGGTACTAATATACATATATATATATATATATTTAATATAATATATATATATATACACATGATATCCCAACTTCTAACTGGAGCGGGGGACACCGTTCTTTCCCCCTTGTTTTGTCGCCGAGGCACACGCTTCGCGTCAAGTTGAAAGATCTTCAGCGCGGGCAGCAGGAGCTGACGGAGCAGCTGGTGCCTATCGAACGTCTCAAGTCTCAGATGCGGAAGGCGCGGGAGTGATTCGGAGCTCGGGACGGAGGAGCATCGAAGGACTGGGAAGTGGTGACCGTAACCATTGTTAGTTCACCTATAAATGGGATGATATCATGGGATAGAATCGGAATGAATCGGATATATGATGATATATGGATAGCTAAGTTGGTTTAGTTCACTACAATAACTGTAGGGTTTCTGATACATTTATCATTATATATATATATAGTTCAATGATGTTCAATGTGCTTATACACCAACTTCTAATAGGATATTATGGGATATGATGGGATGTTGATAACTATGAAAATGTGAGAGAAGATCATCCTTAAGCAGTTCATAGCTTGGAGGATCATACCAGGGATGTAACATAAGAGAAGTAGAGACCGCGCATAATTGTTTGTATCCTATAGACTGTATACTTTGGGGATTCCAGTGGCTACCCCCTGGATTTATTAGTCCCAACTAGTTGGCTGATCCCGTTTGTTTGATGAAACGAATCACAAAAACACGACAAAAAAAAACCGTTCGGAATGCCTGGGACAATCCTGGGATAATCCTGTCAGCCTGTATTGCTAATCAGGGGTTGCACTGCCAGCCACCGGAGCATTGGATGCGACAGGAGAAGAAATTGAAAGAAGAAGCGGAGCATCAGATCGAGGCCGGTTTGTGCTTGAAATGATCATTGTCTCCTGGATCTGGTTGGTGGTTTGGAACATGAATTTTATTTTTCCATATATTGGGAATAATAATCCCAACTGACTTTCATATTTTTCAGAGGGGGTGAAATCACCAACCAGGGATCCTTTCAGTTCCTTCCCATCTGAAATTGTACTATGTAAATTTATGCAAATTTCGTGTGTACTGGGATGGATGAAACGTGTGCACACGTTATGTTCATGTAATTTCCTTTCACATGCTTGACCTATAAGCCCCATAAGTATCATTGATGGACACTCTGAGTTGGCTAAAGGCTTGGTACTTGTAACAGGTAACTGCTTTCCAACCAATAGGCATAATTGGAGGCCTTTGCTAGAACCATCCTGGAATTAAAGGACGATTCCGAAAAACGGTTGACAGTTTGTGTACGAACCCAGCACAAATCATAATATATATATATATAAACATATGTTATGGATAATGGATCACGGTTGCCTAAAATCATTCGGGCTAGACTGTGGCGTCCCAAAACGATGGGCAACTTGGTCTAACGCAAGGTGAACTGCTGGGTTGAAACTGTTTCTAATTACATATAGGAACATTGTTAGGTTTATGACGGTTTATGGTGGAGATTCATCCACAGCTGAATGGGTGTGCGTCAAGATCTCAGACGCTCTCAGACGCTTCCAGATTTGGGGGCGCTGCTTTTAAACCGATTGATCTTACCAGTTGACATGCCAAGTGTGACCTGTTTCGTGAGTGTGTTTAAACTCTTATAGCACTGTGAGGTTTCTAGCGGTTCTTCATGGCTGTGGTACCTTCGAGATACAACATGGTTGATAACCCGTCTAACATCTACAGTTATGGCCCGAGTTATACCAGTTATAACTACTAACAAAACCTCATTTCTAGAATGTATAATCCCATATAAGCAGTTATAACTAATAAATGGCCATAACTGTATATAACCAGTCGTTATTTTACCCCGCCTTGCATCCAGGCCATCCATGCCGTGCTTAGAGGTCTGACTTCGGTAAACTGAGATGACTGAGGTCCTGGAAATGGAGAAGAGGAAATTGAACGACGAGGTCAACAGACTGCTGAGAGATTTGGTGTTTCAGAAGCTAGCCATGGAACGGGCGGAAATCATTAATGGATCATGGGATCTTGATGGCATCTGAGGGATGCTCCAACCCATAGGCAAAATAAGGGCCACACTGTGGCGAAGAATTAGGGTGACAAGCTCCACTGCAATAGATGATGCTCAGTGGAAGTTTCCCATGGTTGGTGGAGAGCTGCTGGTATCATGTGAGGGACTGCACTGATTAGCATTGTCCATACAAGGGCAGCAAGGGGCCTGAACTTGCCTGTGGGATTCACAAGTACATGCTCAAGATTTGCCAGCAGCGTGCACGAGTTCGACTGTGTGAAGTCATGCCCAAGCTGAGCGAACAAGAAGCGCAGTTCTTGGTGAACGACTGGCACAGCGCCCACAGCCGACTCCTGTTAGAACTCGAATTCAAGCTGATTACTGGGAATTGTTGCCTTGGAAACTGTGTGGCATGTCCTGCAGTTCGTTGAGCGTTTCTCAAATCATGGCGAGAGAGTGTTTGGGAATGTGGGCCCTTCTAACGCAGGCACAGAAGAGGAGCAGCCATCCCGTCCCTCGACAGTTCCAATGTTTTCCCATAGTTTTTCCATGTTTTTCCCATGATTTCCCCAGGGTTTCCCCATGGTTTCCCATGTTTTTCCAAGGGTTGTCCCATGGTTTTTGTTATGTTTTTCCCAAGGTTTTCCCATGGTTTCCCATGTTTTTCCCAGGGTTTTCACATGTTTTTCCCCACGGTTTTCCTATTGTTGTCCCATGGTTTTCCCATGTTTTCCTCTGTTTTTCCTATCGTTTTTCCATGGTTTTCCCATTGTTTTCCCATGGTTTGCCCTTGTTTTTCCCAAGGTTTTCCCTATGGTTTTCCCATGTTTTCCAATGTTTTTTCCCATGGTTTCCCGTGTTTTCCCCATAGTTTTCCGATGGTTTCCCGTGTTTTTCCCCTTCTTTTCCCATGGTTTTCCTATTGTTTTTGCTCACGCCGCCTCTAATGACCCCAGGCGGTTTGCCTCACGACTTCGGATGTTCTCACGTCAGGTAGAAGTTTTGGGTGTCAACGCCGCTAAGAGGCCATGTGCATGTTGTGATTTTGGGGGGGGTGGGGGGTGGGGTGGGCTAATAACGTTCATTGCTGTGCGTTCTCTTACACTTCTGCACATACGTCATGCTACGTTGCTGTGCGGTTCTCTTACACTTCTGCACATACGTCATGCTACGTTGCTGTGCGTTCTCTTACACTTCTGATGGTGTGGGGTGGGGTGGGGGGTGGGATGTTGACGGGTGGGATGTTGACGTTCCTTGCACTTCGTACATTACATGCTGCTACGCTGTAGAGATCTCTGGGAGCGTTCTTGCCCGTGTGCTACATCTACGCGGTGCTACGTTGTTGTCTCATTTTGTAGCGTTCTTGCCCGTGTGCTACATCTACGCGGTGCTACGTTGTTGTCTCATTTTGTAGCGTTCTGGCACGTGTGCTACATCTACGCGGTGCTACGTTGTTGTCGCATTTTGTAGCGTTCTGGCATGTGTGCTACATCTACGCGGTGCTACGTTGTTGCTAAGTTATTGTGTTACCTTGGTGTGGAGATGCAATGTGGCCAAGGATGCGAGATTGAAAGAACTTGGCACGTTGGCAAAGACTTGCAAGTTAAAAATACAAAAACATCGTTTTTTTTAAATGTATGGGGACAAAAAATGAATGCTTTGACCAATGTAAATTCATGAAAACGACTACAAAGTCATGCAAATACCAATAGAAATGCAAGTCATGTCAAAATGCGAATGTCACAAAACCCTGGAAGGGTTGCAAAACTGCAAACTGAGATGCTGGAAAAAAGGTCAAATTGCGCGGGGTCATTGCGGGCGGCGTGACCTTGTTTTTCCCATGGTTTTGCCATGTTTTCCCGTGTTTTTCCTATGGTTTTCTCATGGTTTTCCCATGGTTTTGCCATGGTTTTCCAGGGTTTTCCTATAGTTTTCCCATGGTTTTCTCATGTTTTCCCATGTTTGGGTGCTCCCATTGATTTCCCATGTGTTTCCCATGTTTTTCCCATTGTTTTCCCATGGTTTTCCCGCGTTTTCCCATGGTTTTCCCATGTCTTCCCATGGTTTATCCCATGGTTTTCCCACCATGGTTTTCCCATGTTTTCCCGTGTTTTTCCCATGGTTTTCCCATGCGTTCCCATGGTTTTCCATGGTTTTCCCATGTTTTCCGGTGTTTTTTCCCATTATTTTTCCATGGTTTTACCATGTTTTCCAATGTTTATCCCATGGTTTTCCCATGTCTTCCCATGGTTTTCCCATGTTTTTCCCGTCCTTTTCTCGTTGGGCATGATGGATGATGGTCTCAAGTTGAGTTTATAACCAGATCCAAGGATGTACTGTAAGCCATGGTAAGTCGAGGGATTTCAACATACAAAAAAAACAACTTAGCCTTAGCTATCAAATTGGGGCACCACCTTGTTAAAGAAATATATGGGCCAAAAAAAACGCTGGGCACGTGCCTCTCCCAACAGCACCGAGGAAAGGTGAGACGATGAAATTTGAAAATCGAAGCCCCTCGGCAATGGTAACGGGATACGGTCAGTGGTGCCCCTTTTTTCCTCCGCTAAGTTGGTGAAGTAAATAGGTTAAAACGGTTAACTATAGGATTTATGATGATGATTTATGCTGATCACAACTAGAGTGGGATGGGGTCACAAGATCATGAATGGGGGGGCTGAGTACCAATGAATGCCATCCGCCTCCTTTAAAAGATCAATGTAAAATGACTTGGTCAGATTAGGCGAATGTTGGAAACCCAATGCCACACCTACCATTTTTATGGGGATGGTTTAACCATGTTTAACCCATAAAAATGGTGATGACTTGGGGATGGTTTACCACATTGCAAAACTCTCCAAACTCTTTGGAGGTCTTTGTTTTTGCGGCAACTCCTGAAGGCTGATCATCCATCCTTCAAAATGACTTAACATTCTTATGGGTGGTATAGATAGACCATCAAAATATGTAGGTGATTATAGGTGGATATAGGATGATATAGGTGCTTTATGATTGCTTTACTAACATAATGTTGCTGGGCTATAACTCCAGCTATGCCGACTCAAGCACCAATCCCAGCAACCAGGGGATTTTACTTAGGTGACTTGACAAACGGCATTTCTGAAAACTCAGGTTTTGTCACTTAGAAACTGGCTGCTTATCGTATTTACCCTCTGGTAAACTAACATTGTAACTATGGAAAATCACCATTTTTAATGTTAAAATCCACTATAAATGGCCATGTTCAATAGCTATGTTTGTTTACCAGAGGGTACAACTGGGTTGATGTTTATCTTTTGGCCCACTTTACCAGTTGGAAGGTGAGGCCCCCGAACGATAGCGTTCAGTTGACTTATTACGACTGCTTAACGAGTTGGTGTATGGAGGATATAGCACTGTCAATGAGTTTATAAACCAACAAACATAGAGGGGGGCTAAATTTCCCGTTAAGTCCCATCAAATCTTCGATCCTCATTCAATCCTGATTTTACCATCAACCCCCAATCAGCTCAGGTTTGGATCTGGAGAAATTGGTAGTACAACTGGGTCAGTCTGAGCGAGGGGCGCAAGGTGAACTGCTACGCGCGCAGGAACGCGAACAACTTTCGCGAGTGCCTGGGACTTCGACAAATGGGCAAAGTCTTCATTCATGGGGCTTTGATGGGATTTGATGGTTGACGATGAGATATTTTGGTAGATAAAAGTTTTTCTATAAGTAGCCAAAAATCTCGGATGTTTGAAATTGGTAGGAAATGTCACGCGGTTTTTAATGGGAGCCAAATGATGCTAAATGGGATCTAAGAAGCTCTTCTCAAGCAGCAGCGGCCACCGGCGGCAGTTGCAGCAACTGCTGCAACCGGGTGGAGGGTGCATATTGATGAATATTGGGGATTGGATATTGGGAACCCTCAAATACTCAGCCTCCGTTCCCTCGAATATAGCCTCAGATACCTCGAACTTAACATTATAATATGTTATATATAACTTTACCAATGACATGGATTTTGGGTGTCCTTGGCTTGGCGTTTTTGGTTCCGACGGAGCACAACTCAGTAATTTCGGGATCAGATGGTTTTTGGTTGGCCAAATGTTGCCCCCTAAGAGTGGCTGGAGGGTTGGGGTGCCCCTCGATGGGTGACTTAGTTGGAAAATGCAACTGGATGGAATGAATTCCCTAAAGAGGATACCTTATAAGTTTGAGATAAACTGCAAGAATAGCTCTCAATCATGTTTAATCTATTATGATATATCTCGTAACTTTGAGATAAGTTACAATTAGAATAATCAAGAATAGCTTTTAAATTCACGATCCACTTATATAAAACGCCACTGTTCTGTATATATTTCCCTTTTTAAAAAGGCCTCCGCTATCGGTCCCCGCCAGGTGGATGCCTTCAACAGCGGCATTGCCAAGCGAAGCGCGGAGGAAGACGCGTGGACCATCAGGGTTCTCCATGGGAGGATTAGCCCTATACATAGGGACATTAGCCCTATAATTTAACCATATATTCAGCCATGTTTGAGGAATATGAACCATACATATATATATATATATATATATAATCCATGTATTAGGAAAGTTCGAATCGGGAGGATTAATATGGTTTAAGTGCCTTGCATGGATTTATATAAACATATCATACTAAAGGTTAATCGTTGTTTGAAATATTACCGGTGGATTATAGGTAGCATTTCGATCCCAAATGGGGGTGTCTACTGGGATACTTCCTGGTATGCAATGGTACCTATTATTAGATATACTATTCCAGTTGAATATGGCACTTATGGTACCCCAATTTACGCATTGATCCAATAGCGTCCAATACATTCCACCGTTTCGTCTTGGTGGTGTTTAAGATTGGGAGGAAGGGTTTATGTCCGAGTGCAGTCCCGATTATTTTTTGGGTAAAGCCGTACAAAGTATGGTCTGGTTTATATCGTAAATGATGGCGATTATAAGTTATGACTATCTATGAACTCAACTGCACCTCCCAAATTTCGTACCTGGTTAAAACATTTTAGATTACCATTTGATGGTATATAATATACCCCCTGAAAAAAATAGATATTGAAAAAAAAACAATGATTTCTATATATCTCTTTTGGGGCTGCTTTTTATCGGACTAAGTGGCACCTGGATTTTTCGGATCCGTCGATCCACAGCAAGTGGGACTGGGGTTCCCCTTGGATCATATCCAGATGGCGATGCGATTCGCATGGTGCTGTTGTTTTGTTAAAAACTACATGACTTCAATGGCCATTTCAGGAATCTAAATCGGAGGTACCTACCATATATAAGGCCTATTTTTCAGGCCTATGTAAGGGAATATCCCGACAAAATATGGCCTTATATGGTACAGTACCTCCATTTTAGGATCCTGAAATTCCCATTGATGACTGGGCCATAAAAATGGGGTTTCCATGTAGGTAAATATTCCATGAACAACCACCGACAAAAAGGTAAATATTCCATGGAACATCTGGGATATAGATGACTCTGTAACAGGTTATAGACGAAGCACTACCAGCAGGTACAGTCCATCGCCCCAATTCAAGCGACCTTGTAACGACCTCCTGATAGATGATAAATAGGAGGAGGAATCATTCCGAATGTATTTTTTTGTTTTCGGATATGTGAGTATTATTATTTTTTATTTATTTTTATTTATTTTTATTATTTATTATTATTTATTATTATTTATTATTTATTATTATTATTTTTGTTTATTATTATTATATATATATATGCATACATAGTATTATATATTTATTTATATATATATATACATATTATCGTTTGTCCAGATTTATTTCGGGCTTCAAGCAATAATTGGTGGGTGTTGAATAGGCTGATCAGGGATTACAGTCCCATTCCCACCAGGAATTCGAATCTATTCTTATGTGAGAACCAGCGCGCTATCTAGTGGGGCACCAACTGGGAGGGCAACCAATAACAATTTAACAACTATTTTTATGTTTTTTTTTGTTTTTTGTCTTATGTTTTTTTTGTTAGTTTTCTTTGTTTTATTTTTCTTTTTATCATTTGTTTATTTTGTTTTATTTGTTTTCTTTATGTGTTTTTAGTTGTTTTTATGTGTAATTATGTGTTTTTCCTATATTTTCTTATTTGTTCCTATTTTTCTTATTTTTGTTTTATTTTTTCTTATTTTTCCACCTTCGCAGGCCCAGCCCAAATAGTCACCTACTAAATAGTGACCTCATCCTCATAATTGATCTATGAACCACGTCGATAAACGCTACAAGAATCCAGTAGCTCTTGGCTCTTGCGGGAGATTTCTTTGTACCCCTGAAACGTGATGGTGTAAATTTGTATAACTCATTGCCAAAATGTTTGGACCTTTGGGCTCAAATTTGACATACACATGCACATATGTGCATTATCATATGTATATATATATATATTAAATAGAGAGATGGGAAGAAACAACTATATATATATATATAGATAAATAGACATATAGATTGATATTGATATAGATACATAGACAGATGGACAGATAGAAAAAAAACAAACATGCATATAGGTATATAATATATACAGTATAATTATTTAAGAGAAAGTACATTCGTATGTGTATATCTATAAATTTGGTATGTCCAGCACTTCGAATCATTGTTTGTTCTCCTTTGGATGGCTGAAACCTTTGAGTCGCCAGAATGTTCTTGCGCTTCGACCCGTTTCCTCGAAAGAACGCTAAATATGTGTAGCCTCCAGCAAAGTAACATATGTACGGAAGTTCGACAATTTACCGTGAACATGTTGATTTTCTATAGCTATTTCAATTTGCTGGAGGATAAGAACACCATCAAATCAAATCTCAATAATTCCACATTTATTGATGTTTCAACCACATGTTTTTTCCATGATGATGTCTGGGTCATGGAAAATGATGACTGAAAAAGCTGAGATCGTGTTCTGGCGATGCAGAAAGACACAACGCTCCGTGTTGCTTTTGAATGATGCAGAGTATGCCAAGTAATAAAAGTTAGCAAATTCCAACGAAAACAGGGATAAATTGAAGCTGTTCTATCTCTGGGAATTATACTCAAAATGAGAGTGGCTCACTAAAAAAGTTAATCACCATGATTTCCATGATTTGACTCCCTGATTTCCAGTTCTGCATTCGTTCGGCTCAGGAAAGGGACGAGGCACTTGCAAGGGCTCATAGCAACTGGGTCAGTCGATACGTGGCACTGGAGTCATGTGTCGCTTAGATATTCCTACAGTATCTTTTTTTGAACCTAGTTAGATTGCTTTAAAATTTAAATTGTAAAAGATAAGATGTTGTAACCAAGTGATCAGAACTAACCAAGGTTTTATAAGGTTTTATAACATTCTACCACCAATGTAACTATCAATCCCGAGTGTTTGGTGCTTAGATCCAAAACTTCCTCATTTCTTGATGGTTCATCACCTTAAAAACTCTGGTTGATCTAGTTCTAAACACACTTAGCTAACGAAAAATTGGGCCACCACCATGGTCCACCGTGTTTGAATCCCGCTTCGCCGCGCCGAGGTAAGGAGCAGCAGCTGAAGGCATTGAAGGCGGAGTGGAGCGTGCTGTGCCATCACCATGAGAAACTACAGGAGCGACGGTGGATCCAACTGTGGGAGAAATCATCAATGCATACACCATCTTTTTGCACTACTGGCTGGTGGTTTGGAACATTGATTTTATGACTTTCCAATACTTTCCATATCTTGGGAATGATACTCCCAACTGACGAACTCATATTATTCAGAGGGGTAGGTATACCACCAAGCAGACTAAAATGAATACAGCATTTGATGGAGTTGTGTGGTTTAGAGTAAAATAGAGTCAAGAACATGGATGTTTAAAGATATTTGTTTGATGGATTAGTGAGATTCTAATATGATTTTCATGGGTTTTTATTCTAGGAGTATTATAGGGCTATCACGGACATTTCTGGGAAATTAGAACTAAGCAGCTGGGATATGCTAGAATATGGGAGATTTTGCCAGCAGTATGGGATTTGCGAAGCATGGGTCAACGCTTTACTGACCGTAGGATGAAACTCTACGTTGCTGGTAGCCATAGGCATTATGCTCAGATGATGCCAAATTTATTGAACTGGGTGATTTTGGACAAGGGCAAATGTTGGGATTCATATTCCAGCACCATGGAGCATCTGGATATTATTTCCCCGTATCCTTGGGATCACTTGGGATGGATTCTGCATGACGGTTTGATGCGGATAATGCGGTTTGATTTTGGTCACGATCATTTGTGAAGCATCGTATGTTTGGGTACCTCCATTGACAAAAACCCAGTTGATGCTCGAAAAAAATGACTAGACCGTCCATTTACCCATCCTGGATCTTAGTACTTGTATGTAGTCGTGTTTTTGTTTGTGGTGCGAGAATAGGTGTGAACCGCATGTCCTCCAAATATAGAGCGGAAAAGTGAAAGCAGAGAGACCTGTGGTGACGCCTCTGGACATGAGCAGAATTTGACATGACATGACCCATTTTCCGGCCCTAGAAGTACTGGTATATTTACCTAGTGATTTTTGTTTCTTTTGTTTGGTAAATGCTGGCAAACACAGCACCTTGAAGCACATGGGCTGGATTTCCGCACAACAAGTTCTTGGTTGTCAAAGTGGTTCCACGGATCTACTGGTAATCATTCAGCCAAAAATGTCCAAATAGATCATGCATTGACCTCACACGTTTGCTGTTTATTTTATTTATTCTTATTTGAGGGGTTCAATTAGAACAACTGATTGCGTATTGTTTCAACATGATTTCAAATTACATTTGCTTTCCAAACAACCAATTCTTGAAGCCAATGAAAAGACAAAAGAAGACCAAGGTAAGACCCGTTCCGCAGGAAGAACTTGTGGAAAGAAGAGTCGAGGTGAATGCTTTGACCAAAGACCAGGTGGGAGGTATCATGATTTTGGGGGAGTTAGCCAGTGAATCATTCCCGTAAATTCCCGACGTTTAGCACCAGTAAGAAAAAGACACTCGGCATTGACATTTTATGGAATGCGTGTATATATATATATATATATATTATATCTGGTTGGTGGTTTCAAACATGAAATTTATGTTCCATTTCATATATGGGTTGTCATCCTTCCCATTGACTTTCATATTTTTCAAGATGGTTAAAACCACCAACCAGATACTATTTTATACACTTACGGCCCTTTATCCGTTACTTAAGTCAGTTGTATCTGGATTTATGCAATGATAAACCCGTTTATAACAATTTATGAGTGGTAGAGGGCTTTAGCTGTAGTATGTTATACTAATGAATCACCTATCGGTTGGTAAGCGAAGAGCTAAGGAGCTATGGGTCTTATGTAATTATCCGTATTGCCTTTAAAACTGATAGTCAAGAGCTATTAAGAGTTACCCAACAACAGGTAGTCGGTAGTCACGCAATATATTGGAGATTAACCTGATGACACAATCTGGATACATTGTAGCGACCTCACCTGTCATGATGTAAATGATGGGAATTGCAGGTTTAGTCGTCCCCAAGTCCCCAAGTGGCCTCACTTTTCAGTTTGGTGAATTATGTTCAATCAATCCAGACACAATACATATGGGATGAATGATGAATATGATCATTTAACGGGATATAATAGATGAATGGCATACGGAGGTTTCCTAGAATGGGGGTACCCCCAAATCATCCAAATTAAACAATTTGGAATTGAAACCCATGGTTGTGTGGATCCTCCATTTTAAGAACCCCCAAAAAGAGTTAAGATGGATGAATATAGCCATGAAATGAGAGAATATCATGAAGTGACTCGATTTACCAACAAGAAAAGATAGAAAAGAAATATGGATGGCTGGTTGGTGGTTTGGAACATTTTTTCCATAATATATGGGATAATCCTTCCCGTTGACTAATATTATTCAGAGGGGTTGAAACCACCAACCAGGAATGGGATCATCATATGCCAAGATGTTCGAACATTCTACCGATCTCGGGGGCTGACCTCATTGCTTTAAACGGGGGGATGGGCCATGGATTCCATGTCATCTATGGCCATCGGAGATCCGCTGTGGGTAAAACAATGCCACAATGCCATGGGACATCCACCCATGACTGGGTTTATAGCAGCTATAAAAATGCTGATGACTGGGGGATGATTTCTGATTGTTTTATCAAAATTATATATAAATGGAGGTTCTAATGGAACACTCATGTCTACATGGTGAATTGTCCATTGCCCGCGTTTGATTACCAGAGGGTAATAGGATCCTGACCATTCCAAACCCACCATTTTTGTTAAGTATTCCTGCACCCAAAAAAGTAGATATCTTATGATATTATGAACATTTAATCCCACATGTCACATGTTTGTTGGATTTTGTTGGTACATAATTCAATTTTAGATACTTCGCACGAATATTGGACAACGCCACTAGAAATCTTGGTTTATTCATTACTGGGTCTTTTGAAGACCCCATGTTTTTCAGACTGATTATTAGGATGGGAGACACAGTGATTCAACGAAGAGTTGGCAGATAATTCAGAGCTTCAGCATGGCCAACAATTCTGCGATTCCTGTACAGGATTATGAGCATGTGTATAATCTCGGGGATTTTGAAGTGGGCAACGTAACCGAGTTTGGAAGCCTTACAGATTTGTTCTTGCATGTGTTTTGTGGTTGCAACATTTGTGGCACCTGACACAAGCAGGAGAGACACCGTGGCTGTTTGCCAATAGATGTTTCCTTGTGCACATATACATACATACATACATACATACATACATACATACATACACATATATATATATATGTATATGCATATAAATAAATATAAATATATTTATATATATGCTATATATATATATATGCACATGTACAAGATATGTTCGGTTTCAGCTGATGCGAAACATCCAAAACCGTGTGCAGGTCGTATTGCGAAAAGAACATGTGGAATTACAAGAGTCTGGGCTGAAATATGAAGTTGGCAAAGCGGACACATCAATACAATCCACTCATATATACACGTACAGTACATTCAGATGTAGTGTGAGTAGGGTGGAGTACGATGGATACTGTGCAACTTGCGATACCATTCTAAGGCTTCCCCCCGCTTTACCCTAGAAATTGGAGCTATCAATCTATGCACTTTGGGGTCCCTTACCTTAACAGTATTGTGGATATCGGATATTGCTTTTCAGTCGCATGGTGCCCAAATGTCACTGCCCAGTGCACAATATGTACAATAATTCACATCGACCTGATGCATTCTCGCCGTTTTCCCTGCAAATGAATCCAGCAGCCTCCTATTCTCAGATGGGTTGGATGCTTCGGTAGCTGAAATCTACCGCACCTTCAACCGATTCCTCCAGCTCTCCAAGAAGAATCGCCATGATCCCTAATTGACTTCCAATATCTTCCAATGGAGCTACAATATCACATGTCAGGCGAAACGTTCTGGGCCACATGTTCTGGGGGAGGTTCCACAGGGCTAACTATATTGGGTTATATTGAGTTTATGGTGATTATATGTGACTATAACTATACTTATAGATGGCTTCATACGACATCCTATATCTAGCTGGCACTACCTTGCACACGCATGTTTGTGTACCTGCTTAAGCTTTGTGGTTTGGCCGACTGGTTGTTTTCTTGGCAGAATTGGTGCTGAAGAATGTTGGTTAGCCATACCCATAAGGTGATCAAAACCTGTCAAAAACCGCCTGCGGTGATGAACTGCTATGAAGCCCGGCTATTTTACCCTCTGGTAATTTAACATAGCTATTGAAAATGACCAATTCATAGTGCATTTACCCATTCAAAATTGTGGTTTTCCAGTTCGTTATGTAAATGTTTTCCAGAGGGTATGCTGTTCACCCAGGGATTTCATGGAATGATTTTCCCATTCCATGGCTACAGTATCGAAGCTGGTAGTTCTTCAGGAAAAACATCAGGCACAAGAGGAAGCCTTGCAGTGACTTGGCAGAATTTCATATGGGTGGATGATTGAGAGAGGAAGACAGGAAGTCTAATTCACTTGTATCTGTAGATGTATCATGTATATATGTATATATGTTTATATGTATATATGTATATATTGTATATATGTATATATGTATATATGTATATATGTATATATGTATATATGTATATATGTATATATGTATGTATATATATATATGTATATATATATGTATATATATATATATGTATTTATAAGAGGACAGTTTTACTACGATAAATATGCTTTCACATATGTATAAATATATATACAAATAGCCATGCGCATGGATGTAAATTTGTGTGTGCACATATTTGTCACGATAATGTACTATATATATATAAGAATGGACAGAGCAACATATGTACACAACATTTGCAGGTTGCCTGGCTATGATGGGGCTATTATGTATAATATTCGTTGTTTGTATGTATATCACGCAGGTACTTGTGCCGGCAGGGAAAGATACACAAATGATATAATATTCCACATGTACGGAAGCAAGTGTGCAGCGACATTTGAGTAATGTTAATGTGTATCCATGCATATACATATATGTATATGTATATATATATATACATATATTTATATCGGTATACATATATAATCATATTTGTATGTATATATATATATATACACATAATGTACACATATATTTACAAATATTTTTTTGGATATAACAACTATGAATGATGTTTATTTCCCTACATGCATGCTTTTTCGTTTCCTGCTGTCATCAGTGGGATCCCAGGCAAAGCCTTGCCGAAGTGGAAGCGTTGCGTGTGCGCAGTGACATGCTGGAAACGGATTTGAAGACTTGCACCTCGGAAGCCTTGGCCCCTTTTTTTGCGCTCACGTAAACAATGAGCTATGCCGATGTTGATGATGATGATGATGATGATGATGATGCCGATGCCCTTGACGGAATCTAAACTGGACATTGAAAACCATACCCCCTGCTAAACATACAAAAAGCTATAGAAAATTGTCATTTATAGTGAGTTTTCCCATTAAACATGGTGATTTCCATAGTTATGTTAGTTTACCAGAGGGTAGTATGTCATTTACGTGCATGTGTAGATGATTTTGTTGTCAATACCTGGAAATGTCATTGATTACACGAAGGTATATTTGTGTTTGCGACATCGGCTTGATGTTGTTTGGTTCTGTGGACACTTATGTGTTCATGTTGTACTATATATATATATACATGTGTGCGTTTGCGCACTCATGTGTGTGTTTGATACCCAGAAAGTGGGAACTTGCGAGGCAGGGTGATCAACGACCATAGTGACTTAATCCAGATCCAATACAAACGAATGGTTGCCTGCACTTGTCCCTGGAATCACCCACAAGTATACAGTGTATAACACAGTATAAATATATATATAGGTCTATTTACCGTACATGGATGGTATGGATATGGATTATGGAAGAGTTCCATCCAATCCCTGTGACAATCAACCTTAAGCAAGGCAAACCACCGCCACCAAGCGAGACACTGCCCGACATGGACAATGAGCAGCCGCTGGCGCTTGTGAAGGAGCAAGCGGACCGGACGTTTAACAGAATAGGTTGATATATCTCAATTGGACATGCCCCAGAAACATGCGTTAAATTATGGAGAATATAATATGATATAATATATGATATAATTTACAACATTATAAGAAAATTCTTATATTATATTATATTATATTATTTTATTTTATATTATATGTTACTATTATATATATATATTATACTATGTGATATTATTTTGTGTTACATTAAGTTATATTATATTATATTGTATTATATTATATTGTATTATATTGTATTATATTAAATATTATGTATATATGCTTAATATTCCCCAATATTGTTTGATAAATCAGGGTAATGCCCCCAAATGGGGTATGTGAAAATAGTCTATTGCTGTTGGTTTTTTCTGATCCCAGTTGACTCTCATTATATAATGGTGTTTGGCAGAGTTTCTTGGTCAATATTTTTGAAGCATAGGTTTTTTTGGGTTTGTTCATAGCTCCAGCCATTGGCTGGTGTACTGATGTGAAATGAACGTGTTTGTTGCTGTAAGAGCCCCATTCAAATGGTTTTTGGGTTGCTGGTTTTTTGAAGTTATTGGGATCATTTTCCGTACACAAAACGCAAAAAAATGATCCTGTTTTTGACTTTGGGATGGCTAGCTTAATCAAAGCATATTATACATCTAGATTCAAAACGCAACTTGAGTCTAGTTCTAGTTGGTTTGCCTTTCAGTTTCCTCTTTTTCATTGGTGAGATCACCAGCATTCCCCCAGGTAAATCTGAATGAATGGCTCCAAATGGCCCCAAGAAATGCCTCACATGGGCAAATATTCATAATTATTCCTATGTTTCCAGATCAATCTGATCAATTAATCTGATGAGGCATTAATGACTATTTTTTCCATGTGAGGAAATGCCTCACTCCTATGTTTGTTCCGTTTGTTCCAGATGACTTTGTTCCATGAATCTGATCAATCCACCAAATCTCCGCAAAGCGCAAAATCCGGCGATGGGTCGAGTGACTCGCCACAGGAGTTAGCAGCTGACTGGAGAGAGTCGATGGAGGTGGTCGACCAGGCGATTTTCGGAGATGGATCGATTCGCCGATGAATTCACAGAAAGACCCTGGCAGTCACCGGGGTTGGAAGACTAGTTTATCCATTAAAAATGGGTTATTTTTAGGGTCGAACTAAATTTACCAGAGGGTACATAGTAGGGATATGAACCAGCAGGGGGGATGTTTAAATCCCTTATAAATGGAAGTGGTTTTAATGGACACCTATATCTAATAATGGAAAACCATCTATAAATGAGCCAGATTAATAGGAATAATAGGAACATCAACTAGCAATAATCCAGTCATGTGGAAGTATGGTTAGTAAGGGGAATCATCCCCAAATGGCCTTATTTAGCTAGTTCAATATAATTCTGCAAAATGAACAGGGATATCAACCAGCAATGTCCGCCAAATTAATCGAGGTAATGTCAGATGATATCATTAATAATCAGGCAACAAAAAGACGAGCCAGAATCAGCAATAGTCAGCAATAGATCAGTAAACTTAGGAAATGAATATAACCAACAACATATATGTTATTTGTGGGTAGAACAAACTGTGTTTGCTCGGTCCATCCCACTGATCATCATTTCTGCCGGATAAACCACGGGACTGATGAACATTTGGGGCATGTTTTTTTCCCCTGACAAAGCCATTTGGGGAATCGAATTGCTAGATACACTGTTTCTGAATCTTGTTGGCCCCATTCAGCAGGTGCACATGATAGGCTTTATATATATATATATATATATGTAGTGAAAATTCCCAATGTCTGGTGGAGACGAATTAGCGTCTTACCCATTTCTGGTCGTATGGTTGATGTTGGTATACTACTAGTAGTTCATCGGATGGAAAAATGGTTGATGTTGGAGCCACCAAGCGGAGATGTGTCAAAGTAAATGTCTCCAAAAAATTGCACCCAACCGTGGTTCATCATCGTTTTTTCTTGGCCATGTTGGAGTATATATGCTATAATCATTTGGCTGGTGGTTTGGAACATAAATTGTATTTTTTCATATATTGGGAATTTCATAATTCCAACTGACTTTCATATTTTTCGGAGGGGTTGAAACCACCAATTAGTCATCTATAGTCTATATATGTCCTCTTCTGGAATCATATTGAGAGGAAAATTTTAATATGTGTCTATTTCAGCATAGCCTCGCCAACAGGGGCGAAAAATGCGGACGGTCTCCAGTTGCCAACTACTCAGTTTGATGATAGCCTCCAACGGAAACGCGTGGATCGATGGTTACTGTTGTCACCTATGAATTACCCTCCAGTAAACCAACATAGCTTTGGAACATTGGCCCTTTATAGATGATTTACCATGATTTACCTATATTAAACATGGCGATTTCCAGAGCTATGTTAGTTTACAGAGGGCATCAGGTGTCACACTTCTAGGATGTCATAGAGGATTAGATAAGATATAATCAGCTAGTGGCAGCTATATAGATTGAAATTGATGGTGATGGGTCAAACCCGTACATCACAAACACACATATATATATATATATATATGTATATGTATGTATATATATATAATATATATACGTATATATTGTATATGTATATATAATTATATGTGCACATACACGCAAACAGACATGTGGTTTTACTACCCAGGACAAAACATATCACCGTGCTTGGCCAAGAGGGACTAAAAGCCGGTGTTCACCACTAAAGGAGTATCAAGGTGGCGCACTCCCAGTTGTGCTTCTTGGTTTACAGCCTCAAACAACTAGTTCGAAAATATCCACAAAATAAACCACCACCTTGTTATAAATCAGACTTAGCTACCGTGCAGGGGCCCCAACCTTGTAGTATATCTCGATAAGCCATCACCATTTCTGAGGCTCAGGTTCATTCCATGAACAATGAACAGTATGCTTGTATTTATATATATGGAGGTTTCCTGAAATGTGGGTACCCCCAGTTATCATCCATTTATAGGTTGTTTTTCCATATCAACCATCCATTTTTAGGGTACCCTGATGACTATGGAAACCTCCATCATTGAACCATCATTGAACCATCGTTAACCATTTTAGGAAACCTCCTAAAATATGGTGACAAAATCACCAAACCTGTCATCAGTCCATCACCGGCCTATTCGTGACTTCACCACTCGAAGATGGCCGCGGCTTTCCAACCCCAGCCTCGCTGTCGAGGCGCGAATCTTCCGCAGCGCCATGGACCCGGCCTTGGCCAACTACCTGCAACGTGCCGCGGACCGAACGTTCAGCTGATTTTGAGCGGCCAAATCATGTAATCGGAGTTATTTAACCAGAAGAACATGGGAAAATCATTGAAATTGTCACTTAGATATAGATATAGTTGATAGCTAAGTCGGTCGAAATAACTCGGTTTGAAATTATAGCCTTGTGGTAGTTGTAACTCGGGGGTAATCACCTCATGGAACCTAATGTGTTTTCGACCTGCAAACATGACGTGTTTTTTTCCCAGAACTGGTTGAATCAAACATATTCATGAAAACCCTAAAGTTAGGGTCAAACAAGTTGTTTTCCTGTAGATTTTTCCCATAAACCAAACCATTTTTCTGATTTTCTGAAGAAACAATGCATGTTGTATCCCAACATGTTCATGGTCCGGATTTCAGTTGGAATAGGTTTTACCTGTCATGAAGGGCATTTCACCCTGAAAATGTGGTATTTGACCCCAAAACTGGCATGTGAGTTGTCCCAGAAATGTGGCATTTTGACTCATTGTAGCTGGGGTATGTCCTGTTAATTATCTTAGTCATACAGGATGGGGCCCCCAGTCGATAGCGTTCAGTTGGTTTATTTTTGTGGCGAAAAAACCATGGTTTATGGTAGATATAACTATAGTTTTCATGGGGATTATTGCATGGTTTATGGTAGATATAACAATAGTTTATAAGTGGCTTCAACAATGGTTTATAAGTGGCTTAACAATGGTTTATGGTTAATGGGGATTATTTCATGGTTTATAAACCAACTTATGGGGGGGCCCCATCCTGTAGAGCATAACAGTGTATATGACTTGCTGATGAAGCCGAGCAGCGTCTAACTGGGACAGGTCAAGCCACCTCAAGCTTACAATCAATAGGTCAGTGATGGAGGATCCATGGTGAACATGATTTATTAATTATGTATATATATATATATATAATGTTGTAAATATATAATTATATGTATATATATATAATGTTATATATGTATATATATATATATATACAAAAACCACTATATAACATTATATAAACATGTTTTTGGCATATATTTCCACAGTACACCATATCGCTAATGTCCCTTTATGTGTTCCTCTAAACCTTGATGATCCGATGATGTGACCGACGGACGGACGGTTGAATGTTGATAGAGGGATCATCAACACCTTTTTCGGTAAACCATCTATAAATGGGCCATGGCTTCCATTCTATTTCGATTAGGGCCATCTATACCATGGCTATGTTAAATAACCAGAGGGTATCTGGTTGGTGGTTTGGAACATGAATTTTATTTTCCATAATATATGGGTTGTCATCCTTCCCATTGACGAACTCATATTTTTCAGAGGGGTAGGTATACCACCAACCAGAATAGGTTTATAACCCAGCATTACCCATATGCGAACCATGGTGCTGGTATATAAAAACCTACAAAACTGGGTGATTTTGGACAAGGGGAAATGTAGGTAAATATTCCAGCACCATGGAGCATATGGGTTATGTTGTAATCCATAAATCACCATGAATCATACAGTTTACCTACCCCATTGCTCCAAATGTTGGTAAACCTTCCAGACACGGATCGAGGCAAGTTACCAACTTCGCAAATGATTTGGGACCCCCTTCCGCAGCCCACTGGGCCCCACTCCGAGGTGAAATCAGCTGCTTGAAGTCCCGAAGTGCCCTGGCAGATCATCCTGGGTGGATAGTTTCGCAAATTTCATCATAGTTAATGGAAATCATTCCCTGGCCCAAGAAATCAGGTGAGTGAATTATTATTTCATATATTATTTCATTTACCCTTAGATAGTTTCTGTGGGGTTGTAACCGGTTGTAGCCCATGGAATAATCTAGGGATGATGATCTTCCAAGATCCAAGAGCAGTTCTTGACCAATGGCTTTGGTCAAGTACCCTCCAGTAAACATACAAAAAGCTATTGAACATGGCCATAGAAATAGTTGATTTATCCATTAAAAATGGTGATTTCTCAGTTCGCTATGTTAGTTAACTGGAGGGTAAGCGATATTTTAAATGTGGGTGTCACTGGAAAAACATGGATTGTCTCAGTTTCAATCCAAAATGGTGACCATATAATAATTTAATACAATATTTCAAATTTTGGATAGCTCAGGAATTTGGGGAACTGTCTTGTAGATATTATGTAAATGATCACAACCACAGTTGTGACCTAAAAGCCAAGAAACAATGATGCATTTCCCACACTTGCCATGTATTTTCCATATTATGGTGGTTTACCCAACTGCCCGATGTTCTTGAGCCTGACAAGAACCCTGAAGTCATAAGCAAGGATGAAAGAATGTTTGCCATGGATGATGGAAACTATAAAAAGAAATGGCAGATAGAGACCTTCGCATTGCACATTAAAAAAATCAGAAATTTGGAACTGACGGCATTTTTGTATATTTTTCTGGCCATCCAAGTAGGATTGCCATGAAGTGATAGTACAATGCCTCAAATCTATAAGTGGTTCACAAGTGGGGTCTCGTGGAACATCCCAAGTCCAGTTCGCCATGGGTAAGCCATGGCCCTAATCGAAATAAATGGCCCTAATCGCATGGTGATGGCTTCCATGGCGAACTGTTAGTCATAACCAGATGGTACATGTTATAACCCCTCTACATTGGCAATTGACTGGTTTGTCAGATTTGTCGGTAAATTGATAGCCATCTATACTGGCAAGTAAATGTAAGAACACAGATTCTAAGTACTGTATTCTAACCCCTTTTTCATTGACCATTTCCTTTGGATCCTTCAAACCTTATCTGGCAAATTGATAGCTATGGAACATGACCTATTTTGGATGAAGAATAGATAATAGACACTGATATAGGTATTCAACATGCTCAAACACTGGTTGGTGGTTTGGAACATGTTTTTTTTATATATTGGGAACAATCATCCCATTTGACTTTCATATTTTTTTCAGAGGGGTAGGGCTCAACCACCAACCAGTATAGCTATTAAACATGCTTAATCACATTTAAACATGGCCCAGATGCTCCATGTATGCAATATTTACCTACATTTGGGCCATTTTTGGGACAATTTTGTAGGTAAATAATGGTAAATATGATAGATATTCATAGATATCCATAGATTTCCATAGATATCCATAGATCACCATATTCCATACATGGATCATCTGGGTGGTAATTGCTACCCAGATTGCTGTGCTGCCCAGGAGACTATCCACGCTGTGCTGCTGCGCGGCAGATGCGAGGCCGAATCCTAGACGCGTGTCATGGCCATGGCCCACTGTTTCGCGAGTGAGGCGGGACGGACGCCGGGAAGCCGGGACGATGTCCTGGAGATGTTTGTAAGGGGAATCAAAAACCAACAACACACATCAACATACCATCATATACCAATTTTATCCAATTATCTGGGTAAATTTAATCACGACCTCACTGCGACCGAACCCTGGAAATCATAGTAAGGGGAATCATCCCAAAATGGCCTTATTTCAGGTTAGTGAATTATTGTAATTTGCCCAGAATGGAATGTTGAATGAGAATCGACATCTATTTTTTCAGAACCCAGATGATCCATGGTGCTGGAATATTTACCATTATTTACCTACATGTGTCCCAAAAATGGCCCAATTGTAGGTAAATATTCCATACATGGAGCATCTGGGTAATATATCATAATTAAGAATATTAATATACCTAATATATATATATATATATGTAAATATAAATGTTATGAATCTGAATATGTTCTAAGTTGTTTTTTTTGAAGTGTGAAAGAGATGGCAAAACCACGTTCCGTGGAGACGCTGCGTTTCGACCACCTGCCAAGCAGACCTGCATAGCATTGCGGAGAGGTCGAAAGGATGCGGTCAGGATCATGCAGTGCTCCCTGTTTCAAAATGTGCCAAGTTTGTACCTAAAATTCATGATGATACATCATATAATTATTGAACATATATAATGATTACACATATAATATATTGAATATATAATGATTATGCATATAATATATTGAACATATATATATATACATGTCATGATACATATAATATATTCAATAGATAATGATGATGCATATGATATTGAATATGCAATGCTAATACATATAATATACTGAATATATAATGATGATACATATAATATTGAATGATGCATATAATACGATATATATAATGATGATACACATTATAGATCGGATATATATATATATATATACGACGATGATATATATATATATATTGAATATATTGTGATGTTAAACTATATTGTAATACAGTATAAAGTGTATACATAACAATTTTAATGCCTTATCCATCATTATATTGAAACAACACAAGAAATTGAGAGACTTCATGTTTTCGTTGAGACAGAGTATATCGAGAAAATCCGTAGTTCAGGTGTTTCAGAATTCCTGCAGTCCAGTGTATGGTTGTGCAAGACTACCTCATCCTGGCACAATGCATGATACCCTTTGGCAAACTAACATAGCTACTGAAAATGGCCAATTATAGTTGATTTACTTACTGGAAAACTGGAAATGGTGGTTTTCCAATAGTCATGTTAGTTTACCAGAGGGTACATGCATTTGCATTGGGAAAACTAGGCACAGATATGTAGAAGTGTGGATGCTGAAAGTCGTTTGCAAAGATGAACAGGGAATTGTAGTTTTGAATTTGCCGGTCTCTACAATGTAGAAACATTGTGAACATTGTGAAACATTGAACATGATAAACACCATTGGAATTCTAGATATCCATAGGTCTCCGATTTTAGTGTCATGTCTTCATACTTCCTGGGATGCCAACAGTTCTCCATGATGCTGGCAGTTGGTTCATGTACACATAGGTCGTGTGTTTTCCATGTATGTGCGTCTATAATGTTGTAGAACTATCATGACGTATGATGAATTAATATGAATTATATGAACCAAGCACATAGACATACACATTTTCTTCCTATGTATATATATATATGATAATGGTATGTACACAGTGTGTAGATGTGTGTAGCACATAGCCAGTACATATTTAGGCATTGTCCAATCATATGCGACCCGGCCTGGCTCAACAGAATTCACTTTGCACAGATCTTCACCCATGACGAGACGGTGGATTTAGGCAGCAAGAACCAGGAGTTGGTGAGTGCCCGCGTTATGACATAAAATAGGGATTATGTTCAGCCATCTATACAGTATCTGTATGATGATTTTTCAGGTATTTCATCACCATAAACAGCAGCTAAGCTAGTTGTAAACCAACTTCTGGGGGCACCACAGGGTGGAAATTCGATCAGCACAAATCGGATTTCGCCATGAATAACTGGGATTTAGTTAAGAACACGCCATGAATTGTTGACTTGCCGAATGACAGACTCACACTTGCAATACGACCTGTATCCGCTGACAATCAAGATTACTAGTAAACTTGAACAAGGTGGATAACATTGAGGTATTTTAACGATCTGCAATCGATGTCACACACCACACAAGGGTGCCAAACCATACGTATGTAAACCGTGAAATGCACGTGGCATAGAGGGGATACACCGAGCACACATTACCTGGCTGAACATGATTGATGGTGCTACTTGGATCCGTTATTCATTGTAAGCGATAAATAACTTCAATAAGCCCTGCTTAGTAAGCCCCCGATCCGTGGATGGTCCCATAAATGGGTGAACATTACAGAGGTTATCTCCATCACAGAGTAGCCATCCGGCGACGCCATGTTGCTTGCGACCCATCGTGGTCCGCCCATCGATTTGGATGAGGATGAAGATACAGCCGCTCCCGCCCTGACACTTGGCACTGCTGTTATTCAGGCTTTTCCAGGCTTTTCCTGACCATTCATTCATCATGACTAAAATGTTAAATCATGTTAAATCATCTACGAGATGATTGAATGTAAAATCACATCATTCATCATTTCAAACAGGGTTTTTTCCTACCTACTTCTGTAGATCTTCGGCGCCATGAACACCAAATCATCCCCCAAGGCAGCGAGCGTTTTTCTGTGGAGTCTGGCTTTGACTTGAGCAATTGATCAATAAATAGATATATAAAATGGGGTTACACCCAATGAGTTTGTTTTAAAATGTTTTTGTTTAAATGCAAATTATGGACCATTCCACTCTTTAATAGATACATTGTAGAGTACACTTGACAACTTTAGGAGGCATTATCCATAATAGAAAAACTGGAGAGTCATTCAAGTTGGCATACTTTCATCGACAAAAGTAGAGAATCATGAATTTGTGCCTCAAGGTGGCATTTCTTACAGGATAGTTTTCAGCAGGAGATTACATACGTAGCATACATTGTACATGTGCCATGGGATTACACAAAGTTGCATAGGCTTTTCTTCCCCGTTAGTTCAGGGATAATCATCCATGAATGCGGAATTGCACACCATTTCCGAGGTACTTTTCTTGGACCATGGCACATGTGTGTTTGTCCAACAAAACACAGGGGGGTGATAATAATTACATTTACGTTTGACATGGATCTGCTGTGTTGTGTATCCAAGATTAGCCATGCTATAGGTCCCTAGACGGGGACAAGGAAAGGAAGAATATGAGGATACTTGGCAACTTGGGGGTGCCGTTGATGTTATGAATGGAGATTAATATTATATAATAACTATATATATGGTGTAACAACTGCAATAAAGGATTGAACAACCTATAACTATTGGTTATGTATCCATTAAGATCACCTCAACTGCACACCCACGTAGATAAGACTGGAGGTGTTTCATGACGACAAAAACCCTCAGCGAAATCCTGCCCAAAACGGGTCATTCAGACGTTTCTTGGGTATGTTTCTGTATGTTGCCTTCTGGTAATTTCTTACATAACTATTGAAAATGACAATTTAGTTCGTTGATTTACCTTTTTGACATGGTGAGATTCCATCGCTATGTTAGTTTACCAGACGGTAGAGACTTCCCCTGGTGTAGATGGCTGGTAGTGACCTGACCCAGGTCTCACATGAATAGAAGCTGCAAATTCATCTTGTCGGCCTGAGATTGAGCAAAACATAAGTCGTAAGCAAAAAAGAGTTTCATATTTCTATATGATTTCTATATGAATTCTATGATCATATGAAAGCATAGCAACGTTGTGGGGTCCCATTTGTTCCCGCCAACGTTACCCAGGGATCTGAATCATCCTACTGCCACCTCCAGGACGTCGAGCAGCGTGGCCACACCCGTGCGCTCGGCCTTCCCTAAGCGTCGCTGGCAGCAGCGCCCAGCGAAGTCAGGCGCGGCAGGCGCGCGATGCGATGCGGCGAAGCGCCAAATAGCAGAGTTTCATTGGGAAATGGTCGGCCATTGAAAGTGGGAACCAGCATCAGTCATTGTTATACAGTCATTTCCATTTTCAATGAAACGGCTATTTCCATATTATAATCATATTATGGTGTTGCCATAATTACGTTGGATTATAGTCATTGCATACGGATCTCACCAGCATCAGAGCGAAAAATACTCGGAGAGTCTGGGAAAAAGTATGACGATTTATAGAATGGGATATATATGTATATATATGTATGCATATATATATATATACATATACCTAGCATATTTATAGAATGGGATATACCTAGCCAACAACTCATGATGGTCGCCCAGGCGAGGCCGACTGGCTGAGCCTCACTGGTGACGATGTCCGCCCCGCAGACGTTTCGGACGTTGAGAAGCGGTGGATGAGGATTTCGTCCCAGTCTTCAATGTTTATTGGTGACCATACCCTCTGGTAATTTAACATAGCTATGGAAAATCACCATTTTTAATGGGAAAATCCACTATATATGGTCATTTTCAATAGCTATGTTAAATTACCAGAGGGTAACTCCAATAACTATGGTTTATGATACGGAAATAGCTATAGTTATATAATGGGGTCCAGCGGCTATATAATGGGGTTTATAAACCATCTTATCAATGGGAATTTCTGGATCCTAAAATGGAGGTAGCTACCATATATTTTTGTGGCCTATTGTTCAGGCCTATGGAAGTGAATATCACCACAAAATATGGCCAACAATATGGTACAGTACCTCCATTTTAGGATCCTGGAATTCCCGTTGAAGTCTAAGCATCCGACAAGGTTGAGCTTTCCATGACAGAAATTCAATTTGAGGAACATGGATTTTATGATGGAGACACTCAGAGTTTGTGGGTTTATCCAAGCACCAAAAAAACACTAACGGCAAATCTTCAGCATTGGAACTGGGCTTGGTCAAATTCCCAAAAGAATGGGACGATGGGACGAGTCAAGCGGGATTTTTGTTGTGGGCAAGGATGATTCAGTCAGAAATCAAAATTGACACTCCCCATTAACTACAGTGAATTGGTAATACCCTC